GGACAGGGCTGGGATTTTCATTTCATGCATTTTGCTGGTTGCAAGCATACAGGTAATTTCTGCGTATTGAGGCGGGAGAAAGACAGTTTCTGTCATACGTGCATAATCCCCCAGTTATTCTTGAGAGAGGAAAGTCTGCAGGTGCCCTGGTCATCAGTCATTGTCCAACTAGTCTTCCCCATAGCAAAAGATTATTTTCATTAGATTTCTGTTTTAATAACAGCTCTAAATAGCAGTCAGTGGAACTGGCCTTGGGAGGTGCCTGTCAGGCCAGGAGAGGCAAGGAGAGGTGCTTGGTGACCACCTGCGTGGCTTTCTACTTGTGCAGCACATCCCTCAGGCAAATCTTGAAGCTATGTTGTGAGTGATTTCTCATACCATGAACTTTATCAACTTGAAACATAGGATTGACGGAGTTTCTTCAATCATAGGAGTCTCACTGAATGACTCTGAATACTATTTCTCCTCCAGCTCTTTTTCTGCTGTCCTAAGTGTACACCTTAATTCTTAATGATGTGCCCTACAAACACCTGTAGGAGAAGTCCTTCAGTGCAGTGGGGCAGGGTCATACTGCACTTGTAGCTTCTGCTCCCTTGGCCACTAAACAGGGAATCTGCCTTTCCTGTTGCATGCTCACAGGTTGCTTTGCTCTTACTTTCCCCAAGCTTTTAATAAAGCATTAGATTTCCTCTGTTCTCCTCCCTCTTGAGAAAGAAGCAACAAAAAATGATCTAAAATAGCCTATATGCACTCAGGGTAGAAACACAGTTTAAATATCACATGATGCTGTGCAGAGCAGCAGCAGTTTTACTTTCACAGCATCGCCCAGGGATTAGCAAGTCAGGGAAAACCACGAATGCTTCGATTACACAAACACCGGGAGCTGAACGATTTGCCTTGTCACCCAGGCAAGTGGGATTTCTGGGATGCCTGGTGTTACTGCATTGGGTGTGTTGTCAGAGCAGCTGTCCTGGCACTGACTTACAAACTAACACCACTGCGTGTGTAAGCACACACAGGTTTCTAAACAGAGCTGAGGAAAACATACTGCAGCTGAAATCTGCTTCCCCTCCCGTTTTCTGAAGTTATGTCAGGACCATCAATGGGCCTAACAAGGGAGTAAATGCATTCACAAGCTGGGAAAGAAAACCAGCAGGTTTCTTTGTTCCCTGTGGTCTGGGGGAGCTAACACTGGTGGTGATTCTGCTATCTTGTAGTAAAGGAAAGAAGTAAGGAGATGAGGGGGTTTGTTTTGTCTCTTGGAATGGCTAAAGATAAAGGAGTGGCCAATATAAACGCTACATTGTAGGTACATGTCAATTTAAACCATGTCGTGGGAGCACAGGCTTAGCTTTTGCCTGGCAAAGCCTGCCTAGCCGTTGCTCCCACCATGAAATTTTTTTCCAAGTTCCTTAAGAAAAACCCTTTGGTAAGTGAATTTTTTCTTCTTTTTTTTTTCAGTGGAAATAAGAGAAAAGCGAGAGAATTAATTGAACTCCTGTTTCTCTTTGAAGGCACCGGCAACACGACTCTAATGCTGACATGTTATGGTGCAGAGGCATGTGAACGCAGGCAATGCCATGGCTGGGAGCTGCTCCTGCCCCAGCCTTGCCTCTGCTTCACCCCCCAGCACCGGCACCGGGGCAGGGGCAGGCTGTCAGTCCCCAGTGAGATGTTGCTCTTTCCCAGGGCTCAGCCCCTCAGTCTAACTAACTTTTCAGTGAACTTGGTTTTTATTGTTGAACACAAGCTGCTATTGGGGCTTCTCTTGGAGCTGAAGCCCAAGTCGGTTTGTGGCTGTGGCTGCAGGCAGTGGGTCTTGGCTGTGGGACCCGGGAAGCCCCTCCTGCAGCTTCAGCATTGGCAGCCTGCTGAAATGTGAGCACTTTGGTTTTAAGTGGTAAGTGTCTCTTTAAACAATGTTACCAGATAAATGCTGGAAATGAGATATGACTGAAACTTCAATAAATATGACATCACCTCCTTGGCCATGCCATTTTTCTCTTTGAAAAAAGTCTATTTGAAATAGCAGAAAATCTTTATTGAATTTGCAGTCAGCTCCCTGTCACCTTACAATCGGGTGTTAAAATGCCCACAGGCTTCACACAGGTGTTCCTGCTCTGCCTTGCCTATTAGTGCAGTGTTGCACAGGTCGGCTGGACGGGAATAAATGGCCTGGACCCTGTGTTCAGCAACAGGGATCACTGAGGGAAATGCATGGTGATGCTCGCCACTACCACATGGTTGCTGTAAGAACTGTTGTAGCAGAAACACAATTTCCACAATGTAGTGTAAAAATGAAAGCTCAGCACTGTGAGCAAGTCAGGGCTGCCAAACCTGAGCCTACAGAAAACTGGGTCATCTTCAATGTAGTGCTTGATGCTGCAGGAACCACCTGGGTTTGCTAGGAGAGGGGAAGTATGAGAACGTGTTGATGACAACTGTGATGGCCTTTTACCCCTCTGGCTAATGAGTGCTGCCTATCACAGAAGCAAAGTATCACCTCACCTTTTACCTCACCAGAAAATTGGGTTTAAAAAAAAAAAAAAAAAAGGAGCTGCTTCAGTTTAAAAGGTGAGTTTGTGGGAAGGTGAGGAAACAGAAAGCAGCATTCAGCTCCAGGTCTCCCCTGGCCACTTGGCTGTGTGGCCTTTTCCTACACAGGAGTGAAACTAAGGCAGAAACTGCTGAGGGGCCCATTTTTGGGTAGTGTAGTTAGCATTTACTTAATTGCACAAGAGGGTGGTAAATGGGGACACCTTGGTGTGGTAACAGTTCAGAAAGACTTATGGCTTTTTTGTCTTCTGACACTGGCTGCTGTGTAGGAGAATAAAAAATGGGGTATAAAGAGAGCAGCCACAAGTGCCTGATGTATGGCAATGGTGCATGGAAACTGCAAGCACTCACTGGGAGCAGAACCCAGGAACAACCCCCTCCCCCCCCTTTGGCACCTTATTTCACGTAAGAGAGCAGGCTAATTGGCTCAGGAGCAGTGGGGTCAGGTGGCTGCTGTTGTCCTGATGCAGCACCCCAGTGACATTTACCAAACCAAGGCACTGGGGGCTCTCCAGGCAGCTGCTCCTGTGGGAGCTCATGCGTTTTGGAGAAAGCACTGCAGGAATCAGAGAAAAATCCCTTCATGGTCTCCTGGCCCTCATGTAAAGTGAAGCTCCTGCATAAAGGTGATGGCCAAGTGCTCAGGAAATGCTCCGAACTCTTCTTGGACTGAGTATTCACCAAATCTGTGAAGAACTCAAAGTAAGGGTGCCAGCATTAGATCTCATCAGACTTGGCCTCCTTCCTCCATGCCTGGTTCTCCATCTTGGACCTCAAAACAGGCCACATCACCATTTCCTGAAGCACAGCAGAATCAGCACATCCTCTGCCAGCACCTGGAAAGCAACTTTCCTGCCAGCTAAACAGAGGAACCATACTGTCCGGTAAGTGTGCGCGTCGGGATGGTTGCATTAATCACCATGCTGTTGGTATGTGGTAACCCTAAGGTGACCTGCGTTTTGCAGAGGTCTCCTTCAGTTTGGCCTCACAGCTGTTGTTACCTGCTAGCTAGCTCACTGGGCTGAGGTGCGGGCCATCCAAAGAAGGGTCTGGTGGGCAGGCAGGCCCCTTCCAGAGCGTTCCTCTGCCCAGGGCAGCGGAGCTGAGGGGCTGCAGGCCCCGCTTGCTGGACACTTTAACAGACAACGGCTTCCCGAGCAGAAAGGACAAGTTGCCATGCTACAAAGCTGTGAGAAGGAAATCCAAACGGGTACGGGGAAAACCTCTGTTCACCTCGAGGGTGGTTAAGCACTGGGACAGACTGGAGGGGTTGTGATGTTGCCATCTTTGGAGACTGCCAGACCACAGCTGGACAAGTTCCTGAGCAAAGTGATCTCATGTTGAAGCTTATCCTCCTCTAACAATACGAATGGTTAGAAAAGCATAGGTTCAGCACTCTGACTCTCTCTGGTGCAAGGGTGGGGTTTGTGGACTATCATCAGCATAGCTCAGCCTCATAAAGAAACAATTTTGCAATTTCTTTTCTCAAAAGCTGTGAGCTAGGTTGGAAAAACGCCTTTTGTGACAATACCACAGACATGAAATTTGTTATTGCTGACACCGAGGAATAGACTGAACTAGACCATTTCAGTTGGAAGGGACCTACAACGATCATCTAGTCCAAGGGCCTGACCACTTCAGGGCTGACCAAAAGTTAAAGCATGTTGCTAAGGGCATTGTCCAAATGCCTCTTAAACACTGACAGGCTTGGGGCACCAACCACCTCTCTAGGAAGCCCGTTCCAGGGTTTGACCACCCTCTTGGTAAAGAAATGCTTCCAGACATCCAGTCTGAACCTCTCTGGGTGCGGCTCTGAACCTACAGCTTCTTTGGAAACACTACAATATCAAGTCCTGTAAGGAAAGTAAAACCACTGATGCTTGTAAAGCAAAACTGGTTCTATTTTAAGGCTGTTTCTTCTTGTCTTACCTAGGCTTATTCCATTGAAGAGCTGCTCCTGTATTGAACAAAACAGGAAGAAGTCATAAAACCTGGCAAAATAACCACAAGGATCCATTTCATTTAAGCCTGACCTGGTAACCTTCTAAAAGGCCATTTAATCCCATCTACCCAGTTCAGTCCATTTGTATAGATAAGGGCTTATGTTATCATCTTCTGAGGCATGATTTCTTGATTACAAGGGTGGAAGAGGGAAAACAGAACCTTTCCCCAGCAGTGCTCAGCTCTGAAAAATTGGACACAGGGGCTTACTACAGACTTATGTGTCTGTACATACAAGTATTTCTGTGTAACTATACTGTTGCTTTGGACCCAATGACTTTATTCTGACAGTTTGGCGGTGGCTGTTACAGCAGCCAATACACTGTTTTTGGTAAGCTACAGTGTCTCTGGCAGAATCCCAAAAGCATGGCACAATTCAGGTTGTAAGGGACCTCAGGAAGCTTCAGGTCAAACCTCCCAGGCAAAGCATGGCCAGTTACAACAGCTTGCTCAGGGCCTGTCCAGTCAAGTTTTGAAAAACTCCAAGGCTGAAGGTCCCACAGCTTCTCTGGGCACTTGCTCCAGTGTTTGACTACTCTTATGGTGAAAACAATTTTCCTCCCTTGTCGCAACTTGTGTCTGTTGCTTCTTGAGCCATTGTTGTGCAGCTCTGCAGAGCTTGGCTCCACCTTTTCTGCACCTCGCCATTACGTAGCTGCAGACACCAGTAAGCTCTCCCCTTGGACTTCTCCTTTTTAAGGCTGAACAAGCCCAGCTCCCTCAGCCCCTCCTCGCATGTCACGTCCTCCAGCCCTCTGCCAGACTCATTTCAGTATGAGTCTTCCTTGCACTGGAGACCCCAAACCTGCATGCAGCTCTCCAGATGTGGTCTCACAACTGCTGAATAGAGGGGACTAATACATTTCCTTGACTTTCAGATATGCTTTTCTAAGAGCAGCCCGGTACACTGGTGGTTTTCTTTGCCTCAAAGGCACACTGCTGATATATGTGCAACTCCCACCCCCGTCCCCGGCTCCTTTTATAGTAAAGCTGTTCCCTAGCCACCTACCTAGTCTGAGTTGCTGCATGGGCGACTTTGCATTTGTCTTAGCTGAACTTCACGAAGTACCTGGCAGCTCATTTCTCCAGCATCTAGAGGTCCCTTCTGAAAGGCAGTCCTGCCCTCCGTGCAACAACTGCCCACCCCATGCCCCGGCAGGGCAGCTGACACTCTTGGGTTATCACAAACCTCCCCAGACCCAGATTCGGTGTGGTCCACAAACTAGCTGAAAGTGCACTCTCTCATGTCCTCCAGGTTGTTAATAAAGACATTATACGGTACTGGCCCCAATATTGATTCCCTAAAGACTGCCACTAGGAACTGGCTGCCAGTTTGACTTTATCTGGACAGTTGCACTCAAAGGATGGTCATCCACAGTACACTTTTCACCTGTTGTAGTTAGCGATCCAGTCCATGTCACCAATTTGACTATAGATTGTTTTAAAAAAATAAATAAAAAACCAACAGAAGAATCCTTTTATTTTCAAAGTTTGATCAATCCATGAAAGAAAGAGCAGCACATTTCTGCAAAGCCCAAATAACTGTACAGCTCATTCTGCAGATAGATTTTTCTCACCAGAAAGGAAGTGCCTGTTAAACAGAAGGAACCCAGAAGGGAGCCAGGACCAACTGTGGCCGGCATGGTTCTGCTGGCTGGTACCTTTAGAAACACATTACACCCTTCACACTTCTCCTTCCAGTGTTGCTCTCCTTAAAATCACTGAACACCCAGGTAAGGATCCATCTAACCACAACAGACGTTTTAGCATCCCTGTTGGATCCTATGTCAGGGCTGACCTGTATATTTTGATTTTCATTCACAGGTCCTATGGAAGAAATGGAGCAAAATTCTCCACTGGGGAATGCTGCCTGGCTGCATGAGGAGCAGCCACCTTTCCGTTACACTTTGGAGGAAATCAGGTTGTCTTCCAGTGAGTTCCAGTCACCAAATAATTTTATTGTTACAATATGATGAAGCAATTTTTATTTTGTGCACTTTGTGTGCTCAAAATGTTAGTTTTCACAGTATAGAATGGATGTGACAGCATTTGTCATGGAAGCACTCAGCAGAGTATGTTGCAACTTCATTTAGTTGTGCTGTTTTATGAAGTTCTGCAGTAAAATGTGCCAGCAAATCATGTTGTATTAGTTTCTTTCTGGTGATTAACTAATCATTCGTATAATAAATAGCAGCTAACTACAAGAAAGAGATTTATTTGTCACAGAGTTAGAAGAATGTCAAACTTTTCCCATTTCATGTAAAAAGGCAGAGGAAAAAATACTTCTAAAATGACTTTGCAACATGTGCTTTATTTTAAGTCATTACTGAATCAAAACTACACAGTATACCCTTTTAACATACCCTACCCACTCAATTATTTTTTTTTCTCAATAATTTTTTTAACATGGAATGAAACCTACACTGCAATTGTAAATTTTCATGCTACAATGTTCTCTAATGAGCCATTTGTGTCACTAATAATAGTAATTTAAGAAAAAGGCCATTTTCAAGCTCATATGTATGTCTATATTTGGGAACTTAAAAAGAAAAACCCATCTCAGATGTAAAAATGTGACTTGGAATATGTAAACATTTTTGTATACCTGAAACACTGGAAGAAGAGTATCAGTGAACAGCAAAACAATGGTTGCCTTAAATCATCGAAATGGGAAAAAGCATGTCATGGGGAGCAGAGAGAAGCACACACTATTCAGTCTTTAAAGGGTTATAAGAAATGAAGTAGCTCCTTAGGTCACTGAGTTCACTTTCTTTTCTCCTCTAATGGAAAGCAGTAACTTTGAAGAGAATGGCCCAGCAGAACACCCCAATAATTCACCATCATTATTCTAGCCATTAGTTAACCTTGACGAAGTGTCAAGTTTCAGTTGCTTTTTTTTTTCCTGAGAAAAGTCATTGATGTTTGGTGGAAATGTCTTCTGTGACTGTACAAATAAAATAAGGCATTTAAAGAGATTGTTACTTGTTTTCTTTTTGCTAACAGAGGCTTGTCCACAGTGTCCTTTGTACATCAAAACCTCTGCTTTTCTACAAATGGGTATGGCTAGAATGTCTTCAGTTCCCACTGCAGCTCTGGGTCTCGGGTGTCCTGAAGGCTAGTCAGTGTCCCATTACTGTAGCTTTAAAGTCAGTGATGTACAACAGCATATTGCACAATCCAATCTGTATGGCTCCAGAAAGGGTTAAGAAGGTACACTGGAGTCATCTGTGGGTTCACTCCTTTCTTTTCTCTTTAAGTTGTACTGATTGTCTGGAAAATTAAATTAGCCAGACAAAGATGCAAACTTTTTGTTGATTAAATTACAAAGCAGTCCCCAGATTGTAGAGGAGTGGCACATTAAAAACAACAAATCATCCAACCTTCTTCACTGTTGATCCTTAATTTGAAAGGCAGCATGGATTCCTAAGGCTGTAGCTTCCAGGACTCCTTCAGTGAAAAATCATTGCTACCTAACTATAAAAGGCTTAGCTCTTAAGAGAATATTGTGCTTTTTTTTTCCCTTTAAAATTCAGATGAAATCAACTTGATTCGCAGTGTGACACCAAAGACATCAATTAGTTTTTTCCCTAGTCCACTTGATCATAGTCTCTGGCGAGCGATACAGGAATATTAGTTTGGCATACAGGTCTTCTTCTAGTTCCAGTTCTCCAGTCTCTCGCACTAAGAAAATGTCAGTACACAACTTCAAGATTCGGTCTACGTTGGGTAGCTCCTCAAACATGATGGAGTGAGAGATCCCACTGAAAAATTCACGGACGAACTTCCCTATCACCAGCACAACCGAGGCATATAGTCCCATGATGCTGAAAAGAAAAAAAGGAAAGAGTTCAAATCATGCCTTGAAAAAGGGTCAGCCAAGTGTGAGCAAGCTCATCTACATGGCTAAGTGTAGTCTGTCAGCTGAGTGAACATTAATTTCTAATTAGGATCTTATTTCTGCTGTGCTGCGGGAAAATAAGGTCTCTTCAAACACCACAGAAATCTGGGAACATAAACAGCCGAGGCTGCTGACTTAAATGGTTTAACCCAGTCGCTGACAGTCTCATGTCCTGTCTGCTACAGCTTGGAAGTCACAATGGGAAATCTGACAACGGTTGGCTGCTAAAGGCAAATGATCTGTCAGGTTTCATATCTAGTATTTTTTATTAAAGTACATGTAACTGGTGACAGACTAAAGTTTACCTGTCCTCCCCTGATAAACCTCCTACGAGGAGTTCTCCAAAATCATGCCAGAAGGGCATACCTCCCGGGAAGGCACAGCCTCCTGCCTTCCCCTGTCTGTGGAGATGTATTTCATAACTGTTTCACACCCAGGGTCCCGGCTACAAGATTGGGAAGGTCACCAAAACTGGGCAGAGTTTGGGCAGAACTTGACCTGTAGCTAAACTAACATCTTTTGAATGATTTTAGTTCAATATAGGAAATAGCTGCAAAGGGTGCTTCTGCTTTTTCTCCCACTGGAGAGCAGGTATCAAGGGTAATACCATTCCTTACAAATATGAAGCTTTCTATTGGTAACATTAATAGACATGAACTGGAAAATCTCACAAAACCCCTTTTCAAAATGTTGTTATGTTCAATCACTACAACAATAAAAAGAAGTAAAACCCCCAAACCAGCAAATAAAGTCACCTCTACTTCTATCTTATCTACATGATTTTAATTTTACATAAAGATTCCTTCTTACCCATAACCAGCCAAGAATCCAAGGCTTGGTGGACTGACTTTATCACTGAATATGAAGAGTTCAAGACTCTCTTCAGATGTTTTGTATCTTTTTCCAAGCTGATTCAAAACCCACCACTCACGAACTCCCTCATCAGACACATTTTTGACCAGGGAAACTGTAATGTTTTCCCATCTGCAGTCTATTGAAAAAAAGAAATGTTAATATATATACCAAGAATTGCAAAAGTCGAACTGTTTTGAGTCATATACTTCAAACATCTGCATAATAAAGTGACTGAGCAATGTAGGAGTAAAGGTTCGTAATAATTCTCCTAAAACCTATTTTACATTATTTCTGTACAAAAGTATAATATCTAGACTTCTGTGGTTTTCCTTTTGCAAATCTCATCTGAATGTGCATTAAATAAATAAAATGTTTCATATCACCTATGTTTTCTTCTGTACAACTGTCAAATTATTTCAATATTTTCAGGCCAAAGTATCAATGAATGACAGTCAGCATGTCTGCATTTCAGGCCTAAAGACAGACATTTAACCTGGAGGGATAGCGGTCAGCTTCTGTATGTCAGAGTGCAACTATCACTGTAAATGACTGTTATTCTCCTCTATCAGGAAAAGCATACTATCCTATTACACATACTAATCACACAGACAGGAGGTGAACACTGGCCCTCCGGATTTCTGGAGAACATACGTTAGCAGTGTATACATTAAAGACCTTTTGAATTAAGAGTTCTTTAGGACAGGACCTGACTAATGACAGTGAAGCACTTGTAACTTATCGCTACTTGTATTTTCCCCAACTAATCTAATCATGCTCACTGAACCTTGAACAGTAAGCTACTACACAGTAATGTATTACATAGTACTACTACTACACCGAGTGCCAAATTTAACCTCTGTTGAGCAACCTCTGTTCTTAGATAAAGACTTATTCCTACTCTTCCAACCCAACAGGTTTTTCATTTGCATGTATGCGCATGTGCGTGCATGTATTCTGGAGGTCTATGAGTACCTGTATGCATTCTGATTGGGTAATAGCACTCCGAAATTCAATGTTTTATCTAAGCTGGATTCTTTGTAGCCAATAAGGAAGGAATAGCTAAAAAAATAAACCATTCAGTGTCATTATTTAAGCTGAGGAGCTACATTAGCAGACATGCAGCACTACTGACTGTTTGTCAGGTAGCAGGGAGATGCCGAGAAGTGAAACTTGTCATCACTTCCTCAGAAAACAAGGGAAAGCAGTTCCTGAAAGCAGACCTGAAGGAAAGGAGCTGGCCTTCATCCTTAGAGTCCTTACTGTTAAACACAAAGCTAAAATACATCCAGATGCATTTTATGCCTTATACTGTTTTCCCTCATCTCTCCCCAAGCTTGCAGGCACCAGGTAGAAACCATTGTAAGTGCATTTCAGCCTGAGGTCCCCCATAACAGCTCAGTGAACATGCAAATGTGAGTGCTGTGTTGCACTTCTTTCAACCATACTCTGTTTTCCATGGTCTGGACACTTACCTGTCAATAGCTGCTTTATGGGTTTTGCCAGAGAATCACTAGGAGCCTTGATGTAGTACGGGTACACTGTCTCTAATGTTCTGGAAAAAATGAGAAAGCAAATATTTCATATTTTTATACCTCTAAAATAATTCAGAAATACCTAACAGGGCTATACACACTTCCCAGTAATTCTTGGCTTAAGCTATGATTTTATAGTGTTCAGATGTCACATCTGAAAGTTAGCTGGATTTATTAACTATGTTCTGTCAGTACTTCAGCGGGGAGCTCCATCCATAATGTCGCCATTCACACGCCATGAATCCTACACACCTGGGGCACGTGTGTTTGCAAGGAATGTAGACTTTATATTTTGTTCCCCTTTTTAACAAAGCTGCTTTTATAGTCAGCTATGTAAGCAGCACAAAGAAAGGGAACACATCACCAGTAGTAAACAAGCTAGAAAAATATGTGGTGAGAACAGTTATTTCTTCAGAATTGCAAGATGTTTCGATAATAACACCCGAAAAGAGTGAGAATTTTTGCCAGAATCTTTCATTGGGAATTATTTGCACAGTCTTTAGGAGGATTTCAAACTTAAAAAGAAAGATGTTTGCAAAAGTTCTTCCACTGGACTCAAAATTAAATCACCTTAAGTGGGAATAAATTACCAGTATCCAGAGAGAGAGAGACACTTCATTAAAAGCAGAGATACTGTCCTAACTTTTTCCTCAAATGACTAAAAATTCCAGGGAAGGGGAGCTCTCAGGGAAGTCCTGTGACACTTTGCTACATTGCATACACCAGGCTGAGGAAGAACAGAGGTGGCCAATTTAAAATCCCTCCTGACCACTCCAGCAGGCCTGAAAGATAGGTAAGAGCTCAGCAGCTAAGTTGTCCCAGCACAGGAGGTGGCAGAAAGCTCCTTGCTGAAGTAGGCAAATGGCTACGGGCTGCCACAACCATTTTTCCTTCATGACAAAGTAAAAAAAGCTTAAATCAACACTATTATTGCCACACAGGCAAATGCAGGTATATCTTCTATGTTACTGCTTGTTTCCTGCAAAGAGAGAATTATGAATGAACTACCTCTTCCCACAAAAAAGCAAAATCTACCCTCCTTGGCACTACATCCCCTTAGGAAATATTCCCTTATCCTCACAGAGCAGAAAAGTAAAAGAGGCGTACAATATTTTTTAAATGCAATGATCAGATGTGCAACTGCAGTCTGTTTGGATGTACAAGTGTGCGTGGGTGCAGAAAAATAGCTCTGTACAGAAAAGACAAGTCTCATTTCCACCTACTAACAGATATGAACCTCTCAGAGTTTTCACTGTCCCAGCTGGCCTCAGCTTTAACTTTTCAACTCTTGTGGCCACAAATCAGAACGGGTGCCCCTCAGGGATGACACATTGGCTTAGCAGTATTTAAGAGACTACTGCTGTAGAGTAATCCCCAGTGAGCAGGCGGAAGAAGAAGAGCCAGACTCCTTTCAAATCTGAAAGGAGGCACCACTGCTGTTAATGCTATAAGGCTATATCCATAGAATAATGTTTGATATTCATATGAAGAGCGTGCTCTTTCTGCCTTGTGAATTTCCATTACAGGAAAAGATCTGATGTCAGAAACAACTGCAGATGTTACCCTTTGACCGCAGTGATTTAACACTTCCTTGCCAATCCAGTACTATTCAAGAATAACAATGAGAAATATCGTCTGGATGGTTATTTAGAACAAAAAAATCATCAATACAACATCCTCAGATCAAGTTGAACTGAAATAACTCAAAGGAGAGTTTAAGTGTGAGTATACTGTAATGAACTTGTGCTTATCCAATAAACCAAATAAAAAATAATTGATAGCTTCACCATGCTTGTTGGTGGTGTTCCAGTGTTCATGGTCTTCTCAGCCTACATTTATCACAGGAAATAAGCTTTTACCTTTAATGTTACTATTATGTGACTTCAATGCTGTTGGCCTCTGTGAACAAGGCTCCAAAGTTATTAGAGGGGAACAGATAGGCAGACAAATGATATGTCTGCACAAGCCTGACCTCCTCAGGAAATTAGGTTTAAAAAGGGAAGGTTTGCCTATAAATAGGCGAAGAAAATAACTTACACCTTTTCCAGTTGCTGTCCAGACATCATTGAAGCAATATCTTTTCTGGTGTTCACTGGTAGGGGAAGGGTAAGTTTATCTGATGCTATTTCAGCTTTGGCACCAAGGGTGAGATTTCTGTTGTAAGTAGAAGAGAAGACATATTGTCAACCTACAATGAGAGCATAACTTAAACACTTGATTGCTGAACGCTAGAGGTAGTTGTCTAACGAGTCTAACTGCACTGACCCTGGCTAGCCCAGTCTTTGCTAAAGCAAGTATCATGCTACCCGCACCTGAGATGGTGTGCGTTCTCACAGAGGCTATGTAGCAGCCTTAAAGTGGTATTTTTCTAACTGACTATGCCTTTGTATGTATTACAGGACAATGGTGACAGATTAATGTTAACTTTGCTCATTGTGTCAGTCAAAACAGAATGGGAAAGGGAGGATGCCTCCCAGGCAACAGGACTGTCCGCACTACCACACATTCTGTGCCAGGGCAGCTAAGGATGCTGCAGTCAGCTAGAGCTTCCCAAACCCCCACCTCAGCCCAGCCGACTGGGCCAGTTAGATGTGTGGCTAACAGGATGATAGGACCCCCCTGCCTCCTCCCCAGAAGGCAGCTGGGGCAGGATCAGCTTTTGCAGGACGCCTTGTGCCGTGCCTTGTGGTCGGGATGCAGTGGCTGGGCGAGCAGCTCCCAGGCTGCTGGGGGCTGCACAGAAACATCCCCGGCAGACGATGGGCAAAGGCAGAAAGCACGTATGCTGCCTGAGGGACACAGAAGGCTCATCTTACAGCTGCTTGTGGTGTCCTGGCCTAGGCAAAAGACAGCAGTTTCCCTTCACGGAGAAAAAGTGGGAGGTCACTGTGGTAAGTCTTTACCACTTTCAGTCATTCACGGTCTCAATGTAGTCCACAGGATATAATTTGATGGTGAAAAAGGTCTCTTTCAACCAGTGTATGAATGTTTGTAGTTATGCAAGCATATGGGCAAACTGAGTAGCAGTATTAAAAATTAATATAAGGTTCAGAAATGATGGAGTGATGTAATTCGCTAGCTAATAGCGTATGCTTCCAGGAAAACCGGGGCGGGGGGGGTGTCAAATAAAGTTGAATTAAGGGTGCAGATTCATTACAAGACTATTTTTGACTGTGGAAGGACTGACCCAGCATGTTCAGAGCTCCCACAGTGATTCAGCTGACCCACTTCTCGTGCACAGTCTTTTGCTGAGGATTGCTGTAACAATCCAGCATCTGCTTCCAACAAAACAGGTAGATACTGGGGCTGCAAAGGCACTTAATTTCCATGGAGTGATGACTCAGCTCCAATTTAATCCAGCAGTCTACAGGGATCCCAGCTGGCAGAGAGCAGCCAACAAACCACCTCAGTGACTGGGTGTGCTCTAGCCTGCATGCAACTACTTTATATTCTAGGCTGTCTCTTGCAAAAACTTCATTGTAAAGTAATAGTTCACTGAGGCCAAAGGAACCACAAGTAAACAGGCAAAGGTCTTTACAAAATGGATCTGTGTCATTGTTATGCTATTTGCATAAAAAAGTATCTGAGCATATGTGTATCTAAAAAATAGTTTGTGTCAGTGCCAGGCTCCCTTAATAAGAGGACCAAGGACTTCTGTTTGTATTTCCTCATAGTTTTTCTGCCCTAACTAGGTCTAAGTATTCAGTTCCCATAAAAATGCTAACAATGTTGCTGTTTGGGGCAGTTTATTTGAACATCACCATCTAAAACTGGCTAAAATTGTCTTAGTTTTCCCTCCTTCAAGTCCCACTGAAAACTCCAGCCTGCTTTTTAAAATCATGTACTTGGAAGTGGCTCTACTTCTTTTTTTATTTTTTTGAGAACTGCAGGCAACAAATGTTTTCCTGGGTAACAAAGGTCACTTCTCTCTGTCTCTCTCACTTCCACTTTCTCATTTTTTTGCTCTGCAGTATAATAGAATTTGCTGAAAAACCAAAAATGCAGCGTGGAACTGTTCTGCTGAGTGAACGCTTGGCAAGTCATCTGTCAACCTCATAACAGCTATGTTCGTTACCTTTGAATGCTCCATGAAAGAACTAGAGTGAACTCAGCTGAAAAATCCAACAGTCCCTGTATCATTTTCTCTCTACTGGGAGGGCTGATGGTCCATAAAGAGTTTGAATTTCCCTCTAGATCTGCTAGAGTTATATCTTCTTTTCCATAGCCCTCTAGAAACTGCAAAGCAGCCTGTAGATGCAGAAGAGGAAAAGAAAAATTCAGTGTGTTGATATTCACAAGACACAGAGCCAGACTTCCCAGTCAGGCAGAATTGTAAACGTTTGATTAATTGTAAATGCAGCGGTTTGCACTGATTGTTTTCCTTAGGTACCAAATGGGGCTTTAGATGGGATGGGAAATAAACAAAGTGTAGCTGAGCTAAGGCAAAACAAGAATGGCCCTGCTGTTTGAAGAATGATGGCCACATAGTCCAAAGTGAGTCTGAAAGTTCACCAGGTAAACTCTGCAGAGTCTATTTAAACTTAAGTTAAAATTTTACTCTGTCTTTTGTTGAACATCTTTCTGCATAGAAAGATGTCTGCAAAGGATAAGGCAACTTGAAACTGGTAACTTCCAAAGTGGATCCAGATTACAATATTACTGCTATAATACATGGGCTATTTGGTAGGATCTAATATAAAAAAATGTTAATTCTTGAATGGGTTAGAAGCAAGCACTTCTTTTAAAGTTAGATCTGATCAAGCCCCAGTTACTTTAGTAATGCAAGAGCTTCTACTAATTACTAGTCTTTTTCCTGTAGAAACTTGTGGTAACTGTGCATGTTGCACCATGAAATAGTGAGACTATGTTTAAATGTTTATGTTTTGACATTTTAATGTCAAACCTTTTCTAGGCCATACACACTTTCTTTTGACAGCACCGCATCTCTTCACTGGGAGGTGAAAGCTGTGTGTGCTATAGGAAGGAGCATGGGGCTTAAAAGTGCCAAGACTGTGGTGTCCCCACAGCACAGTACACCAACAGCATCATGTCTCCTGAAGGTCTGTGTCATTTAGAGGGGAGGTTTTTATTCAGGCGACAGCACAACTAGGGTTTCTGTCTTCCATGATTTTGTGCAAAGATGTCGCGATTAATGGTAACTTGTCTCACCATAACCCAGCCCCGTTCTGACAAATAATCTGTCTGAACCCTTAACTCATGCAAACCCTCTTCATGGAAACATCTTCCAAATGAGGGCTGTGCTGATGACCACTTGCAACTACACAAACAACACTCACAAAAGGCCTCCATGGAATCATGCACACATTTTTAAGTAATAAGGTATTCTACATTTCACTTACAGTGTTACCCCTATAGCTTCCCAGAAACGCATCGAAACCGGTCTGATTCAAATCCTTGAGCTGACTCTGTTGAGCACTCATTGTAAAAATAGGCTGGGAAACAAAAGAACACACACTTGTCACATTTACTTCACATCAGCTGCTACATACACAGTACAGCATCCTGTGCATCACAGTCCAAGACAGTTATGGCACTCAATTCAACAGAAGGTTATGATCTTATTCCAATGACAAGCAAGCTACCTCCAATTATCTTATATTTACCATGTGGACCTGTAGGCAGTTACCTGAGTGCACCTGATGTAGGATAATTTATTTGCATTCCACTGCCCGTAGGTTCTGGTTTTAACTTGCAAATGAAGATAGTATTTTACATCAGTGATAAACTAAGGTGTTTTTAAACCCCAAAGGGATCATTTGTGGGTGCTTGCCTGATCTCTTGCGTAAGGCAGGAGAGTTCAATTCAATGAAGGGAATAAGAAATAGCACAAGGAAATACAGTACAAAAACAGAGTTTGCTTTTAGTCTTTTTTCTTTTTTACCTGATAACCTCCTAGAGTTATTGTGATTGATACATCTAGAGGCTTGTTGGTGATGCCTGCAACAGATTTGATTAAAGACATGAAGAGCAGTGGGAACCAGACAATACAAATCAGCAAGACGATAATCATGCCACCCATTCCATACTTCACAACTTTCTTTTTCTTCTGGCCTCTTGGCTGGGGATATCTCTGCAAAAGCAAACAGCAACATGGTAATATCTCTTCTATCAGAGGTACACTTGGTATGATTTGATGGGTGAATATATAACAATCTTAAGGCTTCCTGTCTTCTGTGGTAATTCGCTACCCACTGTCAGGCCAGTTATTTTGAGATTTTTAGCCAAACCTGCACAGACACTGAATTTTTGGTGACAACAGAGAAAAGTGCCAAATGAACCCATGTTGAGAGTGTGTCTGGTGTGAAAAATATTGTAAACCTCTGTGGTTTTGATTCTTCACAACCGTAAAGAAGGGAAAAATTGGGTAGGGTAAGTTGAATTTTTTGCCTGAATGAGTGCAAGCATGAACTCACAGGAACCAAATGTAAAATAATAGCAGCAACAGTAATACAACAATTTGTTCAAAAAAATGATATTGGGAGTGACCCACTTTCTTGTATTTGTCCTTCCAAAAAGTTTTATCTCAAAGGTCCTTAAGGCAGAATTTCTCTCATATTGCTTGAAACGCTGGAAACTGTATTTCAGGGGAAAAAAAAAATTGTTTGCCAGCAACTGACATGCACGACTAGTAGGATTGTCTGATATTGCACTACCTCCACATTCATTTCACACCTCACAGACAGTATTTCTAAGAGCTGTTCATGGCTTGATCCAATCTGTTTCTAGTGAATCCCACTCCAACTGTATTTAAATAATGTTTAAAGTCTTGACACTGCTGATGTAACATCCTTCCCTTTCTTAGCTTCTGAGACCAAAAGTGACTTTGCTTTTATCCTTCTCTTTTCAAAGCATATCACACGGTACGTCTGTTCTGCCTTGTCCATAACTCCCGCCCTCCGTTATTGGCCTCATGATTGAACGCTTCAATAGCTTCACCACCCTGTAAAATGCCTTACCAGCACTCTAACTCATTTTGGTGTATTCTTTTCCAGGATTTAACTCTGCACAGTGTTTTAGGATCCTGTCTTTCATGCACTGCATACTGCATGTGCAAAATAAAGATGTATTGTATTGCACTGCACCTCAAACACGTGCCAGGAATCTGGCTTTCAGGAAATTGTTCTTGCTTTACAACATGAATCCATAAAGCCCTAGGAGAATATTAAATTTGTAATACAATGCTATATTTAAAACAAATTAGTTACTTTTCAAAAGCAGGGTATCAAGTCATTTGTCTTGCACTACAGAATAGTGTTTTCATTAAAATATCATATCAAGATCACCAGGGGCATATTATTTGTCTGTATGAGATTAGTTCAGGCACCTTTAATGATGTTACAGAACAGCTCAGAGAGCCTGTAGCAGTCAAAGTACTTAGGCATACCACTCAGTGTGAGAGAGGGATGGAGAGAATGAAAGTACCTTGAACAACACTCATAAAGTCATGGGTTATTTTGCTACATGGCATTAGCACACACATGCTAGCTTAGATGTGGAAATCTTCCCATGTCAGATCGATGCTACACATAATGCAGAGTGATCCTGTTGTAGCATAAAAAAATGCAGTGAGACGGACAGTCAAAGTGGAACTGGATTATTATTTCACTGACTCCTGAAGCCTCTGATGACACTCCATTCAAGGCTGAAATGGAAGTCATACAGAAAAAGCCTACATACAAGATTTGTGTGCACTTCAGCACTGAGTTAATCTAAGTGACACACTTGGAAAGTAATTGCCATTAAGAGACAGGATTATAATAAAAGTAGAAATACGTCAGTAACACTTAAAAATACAGATGTTTCATTGCAGATGTACAATTTCTGACTGGTTGGGTCACTCTTAGAAGAATGCTTAATTTCTTTTTCAAATTGGCAAAATAAGCCAGCATATGGTTGCAATCTTTATAGCGGTTATAAAGACTCCAGAATTTGCAAGTTTAATTTGAACTGAAGCTTAAATGACTTAAAAAGACTGAAATTCAGTCAGACAAATGGTGGGTTTATCTGGCTTGCAGTTCAGTTCTGGATGTGCAGGGGCTCTCCTGAGATAAAGGAGCCAGCTGAGTTCCCTCTGCAGTTACAGGGACCAGGTGTCCCTGGGACCTACACTGTGGAGGCACAAGCTCTTCCTTCTCCTGACCTTTCTCTATAGCCACAGCTTCCCTGCTACTGCGGGTTACTCATTTAGTTGTTATGGACAAAGTGAGCCTCTGTGAATACCAGGACTTTCAACCCCAGCCTTGAAACTCAGGCATGCAATTAAGCTAGCAGGCACATGCTTGTGGAGCTCATGTTAATGGTGGAAAAATCAGCTAGGCACAAAAGAGAAGCCATCTGAAATTTCACTGGCGACGACTGCCAACTAACATAAAAGTACCCAACAGTCTGAATATTTCTGAACATAAACACCAGGTGTATCTTCTAACAAACTGTCTTTATGGTGGATTTCCCAATTGTTTAGGGACTCATGATTATTTCTCTTCAGTTCTGCATGGGGGAGAGGAGGCCTGGATCACTCATATGGGGCTTCCTTACTTTTTCTGACTCTCGCCAACACTTCAGGATGAATATATGAGCATAGATATCTTCAACACAGATCCAGCTGGAAAGACTGAGAGTGGTATCAGTCCAAACCCAGTCCATTACTGCTCTCAGCTCAGTCAAAAACGGAACTAGGCGGAACCTGAAGGGAGACCACAGCAGGTAACTCATCAGAAATGGAGATCACATTAAAAGACCACAGTAAGTGTATATATGACAAGAAAGAGAACTAAGCCAATGTTAAAAGACAGTTTAGTGGGAGATTTTGCAAAAATAAATACAATCATATCCCAAGATCGCACAGCTAGTACTGATGGTTTGAGGGTGGTGTCTTTTGCCATAGTTCATGTTCCTCTAGATCTCCCTGTCAGGCCATAAACATGCTTTTACAACATTATGCCCAATAACTGTGACTGAGCCACTGATGGAATGGTACAAGAGACACTTCCTTGTATCCCCAAATTCCTCTGACCTGGGAGCGGAGTAGAGGAACATCTTTTCCACAGGATGGTAGGAATTTGTTTTATACCTCCTTACAACAAGTGGTGCATGGCTTCTTTGCAGTAGGTGGGCAGTCCTCAGCTGCATATGGAATTGGATTTTATGACTCAGGATTAAGCAGCAGCAGAAGGTGGGCTAACAGGAAACCAACATGCATATAGCAGCTGTTCAAAGTGCATCACTCCCTTTACTAGTCCCAAATTTTTCTGCTTGGCCAGGTCACAAAGACGATTTCATGTGAAGAAAGCTTTTTTCTGTAACTTTTCCTACTGGAATGCAACAAGCCCATACTGAAAATATTGGGAAAAGGCTGGAATTATTCCAGCTTTTCTGTGAAATATGTCTACACTCTGAACTGGCTTAATCACAACATCATGGTAACAGCGTAAGTGGAGGGTGGGGTATGCCTCCTTAACACCACCTTTCACTCCAAGGTGACGCTGTGCCTGTTACTTGCACTAACACTCCTAACTCCTGAAGGGTTTCAAATATGCAGCACTTCTCAAAAGATACACAGAGGAAACATTCTTTGATGCATAGCTCTTGTTTCTCACGTGTATTGTCTTTCACTTTATTCTTCTCACCTGCTGAGTACAGCCTGTAGACCTGCTCCAAAGATCTTTTTGTGATTTGATGCCTTTTACTAATTTTTAGGACTGCAGTGCAAATAACATTACCTGTTTTCTAGCACAATGTGTAGCCCCTATCTGTTCACAGAAGTGATTTCTTAGAAGTATTAAAAATGTCTCTTCCATAGGCACCTGAATGGCTGACTGGTATGTCAGGCTTCTGGATTCAGAGTGGGGGACTGATTTTTCTGAAATTTGCATTCCTGAAATTGACTTTTTTGTGGACTACAGGGGACATACAGCATATACAGAGTGTGCTGTACAAAATCTACTGTCTCATTTCCAGCAGGCTGTGAAGAGAAGTCATGAATAACCCCAACATCTCATGATAACAGATCCTTATTTCACAAAGAAAGGACGAGGGCAGTAGGTCTAGACTTACCCTTGAAATAAGAACAGGTTGACATAGTTATAACTTTTTGTGAGGAAGTTGCCAAGAACACGAGTTGGATATCCGCAGCGTATCTGATATGCTGATAAGCCGAAATAAACACATTTCACAAAATACCAGAGCTGGGCAACTGTGTTCTGGCTAAATTTCCTGTAACGGAAAAGACAGGTAAAGGAAAATGATGAGCTTTGTATCTGTGTATGACCAAATTAGCTTGAAAAGTTTTGTGCTCCTGGCAGTTTCCCTCTCCTGAGATCCTGTGAAAAAGCCCTTGGTTTCTCACCCCACTGCAGCATTAAAACAGTATTTGAAAGATGCTGGATGAGAAAGTCTATAAACAGCATCTGTTGTCACCTCAGGGTCACAGGGCAGAGACTGGAAATAGGCTTCCTGAAGAGTGGAGGCTCTGGGCAGTGCCCTCTCCCTCTGGAGGCTGGAAGTGTCCTGCTGCCCAACACAGTCTGCCCTCGGCCCCTACGATGGCACATCCCTCTGTGAGCCCTGGGTAGACAGTGCTTTGCCTGGCTTTTGAGAGGGCTGACACCTGGACTGAGTCTCAGCAGCTTTAATGGCTATTTGTGTTCATGGGGGCACCTCCACGGCCATGAACTCATACAGGAGTTGGAGTTGGAGCGACCTCCGAAGATCATCTTTTTTACCCTCCCCTGCTTGAATCAGGTCTAATCACATCAAATTGTTCAGGCACCTGTCCAGTTGAGTTTTGAATATCTCTGAAGAGGGAGATCCCACACCCTGCCTGGGCAACCTGCTCCAGTGTTTGACTACCATCATGGTGAAAAGATTTTTCATCCGTAACTGGAATTTCCCTTTTTTCCAGCTTGTGGCCTATCTGAAAAGAGCTTAGCTTCTCAATGCCCTCTTAATAGGTAGCTGAAGACAGCTCTTCCCTTTCTGTTCTCCAGACTGAGCTAACCCTGTTCCCTCAACTTCCCCTCACATGTCAGGGGCTCCATCCCCCTGACCATCTTGGTGAACAAGTGCCATGTCCAACTGCAGTTCAGCAGCATGGTGGAACTGCAGGAGACGCCTCATGATGGGTGGGATTTGTGAGCCAGACATGATCCAATATTCAATTACATCCCGCAAACCTATTTTCGTTAAGAAATTTGCAGGGGCTTCTAAGAATCAGCCTGACTTAGAAGGAACACAGGAGGTTTCTGACGCAGATTTGAGATTAACAACTTGATATAAATTTCATAAAAGCACAGAAAAAGTCAAAATGATTTTACTGCCTTTCAAGTGACCAAATAAAGCCAGAAGTTTTGCATTGATTCTCAATGTGCAGTAGATAGGACATCCACTTGAAAAATGCTCTTCTTTTTCAAGTTGGGGCGCAATTACTACTGCACTGAGGAAAAATAAAACAATTGGTTTTGAGAGGAAATGAGACCTTTCAGTCTTTCTTTACACTATGCATGTATTTTGTTTTTTCCCAGTAAAATAACATGACTGTTAATGAAGTGTGACGTGCCCAGGTGACACACTCAATTTCCCTGTATAGTCAATGGAGTGAGGTAAATACTTCAAGTCCTAAGAATGGAGTTAGCCACGCACTAGACAGAGAACCTTACCATCTCTTCAGTGCAGACTGAGGTGGTAACTGCCTTGAGCCATGCAAGGAGAAATGTTAGATTTGGGAGTGAACCTGACCAGGGATGTGATACCAGATTTCATGCAGCAGGTGACCACCTCCACATCGCCTCCAGACCCATGTGGCAGGAGCAGGGGAGGAGAACTGTTGCTCTTCAGAAGAGACATCGGTTTTAGACATTCCTCAGTCTAAGGAGATTTAAATCCACATTTCACACATTCCAGGAAAGTGCTAAATTGTAAGTTACTCTGAGAGAGACATTTTCTACTCACTCTTCTAAACCAGTGTGCAGCAGTCTTGGGAGCAGGGAATCGAATCAGAGGGCAACATTGTCTCAGCTGAGGGCTCTAATCATTCAATTACAGGCAAGTTCTCTTTCCCCTGCTTGCATTTTAGCCTAAGTTGGGAATATTTCTGTACATACTTACATAATAAATTCTTCCTCAAACTTATGTTGGCCACAGTTATTGCTGTGGAAAGGCACTCCAACATTCTGCTTAGAAATGAGACCGAGAAGAAACCTGTTCATGATTCCAAAGCTGAGTTATAACCATCTCAAATTTAAATACAAACAACTTGATAGAGCATCCGTATTCCACCCATATTGTCTGATTATAAGGGTTATACCTTTCTGTCACTCCAGGCAAGATAAAGAACATCCAGAAATGTATTCCAAAAACAAGGATGACCTGGAAGATGACCTTTCCCATGACAGTCTTTTTGAGGTACAGTGCTCGATCTACCACCATGGTACCAAACTGAATGAGCACCATCACCAAAAATGCCTCCGGCACCTGGTCCTCTGATAATGAAGAGGTGATATCTGCTGCTGCAGAGTGTTTCTGAAAAGGAAAATACAACAGAGTGGTCAAGGAAGGAAGACACGTGATACTTAGCATCTACAGCATGTAAGTCCTACTGAGGATTTACAGATAGATGCCTCTGTGACATACCCCAAAAGCCCAAAATCCAAACACAATGATGATGAAGTCCACTGTATCTGCGAGGAACATCAGCACATACACATCAGTCACTGCACTGTAGTCTGGATGAATAAGATTGTAGAAAAACTGTCTGATGGGCACGTACACCTGGAGAGTCCTAAAAAAACATAGACCGCAATGTGATTTAACAACACTGTAACTTGCACTGAAGAAAAGAATGGCTGGGTATGGTATGATTACTGTTTCTAAAGATATCTAAGATCTACTCTGACACCCTTCACACGGCTTCACAGATACCAGTCCCTTGTTCTGATTGCTTCTAAACCACTGTAATAGAATTTGTTCAGTAGAAATATGCATAGCCAACAAAGATCACACAGGATATTTAGCTTTTTTATCGGGAAGTTGCCATTTGAACAACTGCTGATTGTCTGAATTTCAGCTGGTGGGACTTAGAGTGAAAGCATCTGCATACAATGAACTGTACATGTACCCATTCATCCCCTTGAATAAACAGGAGTAACCTGCTCTCTTTAAAATACTGTTTTATTGCTTTACTGTTTGGAACCTCCCCCCAAACCCACACAACTCCTCACATTGCTCACTTTTTAATTGTAAAGGCCTTGGCTTTGATCATTTGTTCTCGAAACTTTTCCATAAGAAGCTCTTTTCTAGATTTTTGCTTGATGCTTAACACACTGCTTCCTTTCTGACTGCTGTTTCGTGTACTGGTACTTCCTGAAAAAAAAGGGAGGGAAAGAGAAGCTAATTAAAATTCAAAGTTTAAATACACAAACTAGAAAGTAATAACCCTCGAGACTTCCATCCCGTATATAAGTCCCACATTTGATAGAAGCTTTGAAATGAATTCTTATGCTTTTTTCCCAATATGATAAAATCTTGAGAGCATCCAATAAAGGTTTAATCACTGGCATATCAAAATTTGATTAATAACTATAAAAAGAGAAGACTAGCGATAAAGGCAAGTATTTGATTGATCTGACTCAGTCATCTCAATTGGTAATATATACATTCAGGCTAGAGTAAGCCCATCCTTTTTACAAGATGGGGTAAGTAATCTGCTTCAATATACCTAATCAAACCTTTTTCTCACTTCAAGTATCATCAAATGTAGTTATGAAAAATACACATGCTTTGCATTCCCTCTAGCTGGAGATTATGCTGAACCACAAATTCTGGATCTGGGCCACACTAAGCATTCCTTTCAGAACTTTTGGATAATGTCATTTTAAAAACATAGTGAATCACAAAGTATGGCTCTCCATTTGAACTTTAAGAAGGCTTGGAGTGTGTTCAAACGTGATACTTTGGTTCATATCCTATTTCCTCACTGAGGAGCAGCAGCATTCAGTAGCCTCTGGGATCTCCACAGCAACCGGCACAAGGTTTCAGCAGGATGATCCTATGGGAAATGAATGATTGCTCTTCAAATCCCAGAAATGCCATGACATTTACCTCTCTTAGATCTGTGTGAAGAGAAGCTGGACCTGTGCGAAAGCTGTGATACGCTGCTAGAGCTCTTCCTCCTGATGGCGGTCTGCTGCTCAGGGAAGTGGACATGGATGGACTCCACTGATGCTGCAAGATTGACAGATTTCAAAGAGGCAGAAGAGTCTCTCCTGCCGCCTGTCAGAGACAGCTCATCATCAGTATCCTCTTTATTACTGGAGCTGTCCCCTTTCTCATCTTCATCCCATAATCCATGGCACTAGCAGAAAAAGAAGAGAGCATTTCAACCTTGTATTTCTGTCACAGTATTTATCATAGGCATTGCTAAGCTCAGTCACGTGTTCACAAGGGGGAAGACAAATTCATTGTGTTAGGATATCATAGAATCACAGAATCGTTTAGGTTGGAAAAAACCTTTAAGGTCACTGAGTCCAACTGTAAACCTAACACTGCCAAGTCCACCACTAAACCATGTCCCTAAGTACCACATCTACACATCTTTTAAATACCTCCAGGGATGGTGACTCAATCACTTCCCTGGGAAGCCTGTTCCAATGCTTGATAGCCCTTTCAGTGAAGAAATTTTTCCTAATATTCAAATGAATGACTTTCCTGTATCACGTGAGTGACTAAAAAAATTAAAACTAAAAATTAAATATGAAGTAAGAAACTACATGTACTCAGATTACCTTTAAAATGGATCTGTGGAAGAATAAAGCAAGGAGTTGAACAAGATCATAGTGCACATAACCCTCTTTCTTCTCAATGCCAATAATATTGGGTGGATGGTAGGGTTTATCTTTTGTGTAATCCACATATTTATTCCAAGGAAAGAAGCCGAACTGGAAGAAGTACTTGATGACAATGGCCACCTGTTCAGAAACACAACACACTTGGGGTGTTTTATAAGCATGTGACATTAAGAGGGGAGAAATATGACTACTTTGTCAGTTTTATGAGAAGATAAACAAACATATTAATTGCTACAGAGGAACAACAGTTCATATTGCCTCAGTAATAAAGTCAATCAACATTTACCAACAGATGATGCTCAGTGGTACCTGAGATACCACAAGCAGTGTATACTGTCTCTTGATTACCAATTATATAGTAGCTGTTTGCAAACCGTCTGTTCTTGTCATAACTGCTTTACATGTCAGGAAGGATATTGTTCATTGCAATGAAGAAAAACACAAACAAGACCTTTTCATACCACAGAAATTGCTGAGGACTTCAGCAAATATTTATATTAATATGAAGGGCCAAAGGCCCCTGGTCCCAGAGATCAAAAACAAAAAAAGAGACCATGCAAAGGTTACGACTTAACTTTTCTGGGTTAGAAATGGGGTTGTAAAAACAGCAGCATACCTCAGTGTAGACAATGGCTGTCATCCAGAAACGTTTGCTTGGCCGAGGAACAGAGAGCATGGCCCAAAGGAATATAAGGATGGGAAGCACCAGGGTTATCATGGAGGCAGAGATCATGTGGTTAAGTATGATCACAAAATAGCACACCATTTCTGAGCGGGCCACCAGCGTATTGTACAGGGCATAAATAAGAAGCAAGACTCGAGGCTGACCAACATAGAACTTCTCTGACTCCTCCAGCTCGTCATCATGAAACATCCTGTGAGGAGCACAGTACCATAAATGAAATGAAAATTAATTTCACAAGACCTGCTTTTTAAATTACTACTATTTTTCCTTTTGAAAAAGTATAAAATTCTGCTGCTGAGTTCAATGAAAAAAAAAAAGGGGGTTGGTATTATATGGTATTAAATAGCCTGAATCAAAGCTCAGAAAACAAGAATTTCAGGCAAAATAACTAGAAGCACTGTTCTGCTGTTTTTTTAATTTACCCAGAGAATCAGCCTGGCCCAAGAACTTCTATAAGCATCGCTTTCCTACAGTTGCCCTACCAATGTATCTTAGGTAAATCACACCATGCTGGTGGGGGCCTGTCTGGATTCATATCTAATTTATCAACACGGGTGGGAATTTGGAGAAACTCCAGAGGTCCACCAGGAGACGTATGTTATGAATAGTCCTGTGACATAGGATTAGAACCTAATAAATGCCCTTGAGCATTAGATGTGTCCAATCTTCTCCCCTTTACCTAACTCAAATAAATATAAAAGGCTGCAAGAAATCACTATGTGACTTTCACATACATTCACAATTCTCTTTGCTTTCCATAAAGAGTGCCCTGGCCTGAGAAGAGATCTCACTGAAAAGCAGAAATTACTATGGAAAACCAGAAGAAAAGACACTGCATCTACAAAGTCAGACCTGCACAGCCTCTCTCTCTCCAGATGCAGTCAGGCTGAAAGGCATTTCTGTGGTTTAAGATTTTGTCCTTGCATTCGGGGAAGCTCTCCGCTAGCTCAGCCAGGCTGGAAAGCAGAGGAAGAAGAGCAGCAGCACCATCCCCACCTCAACACTGGTTGTGCTGCTGGGGGGCAAAAGGGGGAGCATCCTATCCCTTATGAAAGTACTTAGCAAGGTGGTCAGCCCTCAGCTCCTACTGGCTTAAACAAAAAACTCTGCCAAAGGTCAGAGTTTCCCTTATAGTAATCCAAAATAATTAAAAGAGAAACATTTTCCCAGATAGCCCTGAAGGAAATGTATCTGAAATCACAGTTGCCTGGAGAAGAGAAGCCCTCTCCACCAGGAATATTTAGAAAATCCCTTGACCCCATGACAATTGCAGCACAGAAATCTGATGCTAATTGGAACAGTTAGGTATGGTATCTGGGCAGAAAGTGGAGAGTCCTTCCAACAGGAATTTGAATCAGTTTAGAAATCTGTAATTAGAACAACTGCACAGGAAATGAGCTTCTTCCCTTAAATCAAACTTAGCGCAAGGTCTGTATAGGAAACTGTAGGCTAGTTCTGAGACAAAAAAACCCAAAGTAATGACAAAACTTCACAGACTGGGACCAACAATCTTTCCCTGTCGAAGGTCCTTACTTGTTCAGAAGCAGCTCACTAGCCGTTAGCTCGTGCGTCAATGGAGGGAGAATCGTATCATTAAGTTTGTCCGTCCGACTGTCGTCTGGGCTCACCATCATGAGGCTCTTACCAGCTGAGTCATCTGGGGAGCCAAAGGGAAGGTGTTCAAAGCTGACAGCTTTGCTATAGGAAGGTGGAGCTTCTGCATTGCTATCCACAGTGGAGTACAATGGCACATCGGTATCGGGAGTATACGCAGCTCCTTCTGAACCCAGGCTATAATCTTCCACCTCCTCTTCCTCCGGCCTTGATGCAGAAGGAGCTCCTTCCTCTTCATGCTCCCCTTCTACCTCCTCAATGGTTTCTGTTGTCCCCTGACGAGAATAGAGCATGGTGACCTGTGTAGGTTCACTGTTGGGGACGGATGAAGAGAGAGAGTTGAGGCTTACAAGGGTCACCACCAAGCAAATTTGCTAATTGTACCATTATGTAGACAGCTGAGGAACCCCACTGCATTCCCAGGCCTTCAAAGTTCATATAATCTGGTAGAAGATACATCATCATGATCTCCACTTACACAGATGGACCATCTGGGTCCATCCACCCCTTGAACGACATCCCACTGAACTCACAGTGATTCACTCTTTTCACACCAGCAAAGGGCAAATTAATATAATCATCAAGAGAAACTACACTAACTTTCTGCAAGTAGTTCAAGCAGTTTCTGACCAGAATCAGGACTTGCTCTTACATCTGTTTAAAGCATGCTCCATGGTGAATGATAGGCAGCCATGGAGTTCCTTCTAAACACGGTGCTTTTAACAACCACCGTATGGGTGCTGTATACAACTGGAACATGAGCTGAACACACCCATCAACTCTGATTCCAAATAAAAGAATAAGTAAATTGCTAACATGGAGAAATACAATCCAGATTACAAAACTGTTCCAGTAACAGGTATCTTGCTTACCTTTAGATTGCCCTATGTTCTTCAATACAGCCTTCCTTTTTACCTTACCTGCCTGCTTTTCTTCTGTGTGTACCTATTTTCTTTTTCAACTGTTCTTATTCACTCTTTTCAGTTCTCTGCTTGTTCACCTTGCTTACTTTTAGCTTTGCATGTCCATAATCACTTTCTCTTTTAATGCTCTGTGCTCTGCAACAGTCTCAGCTGATGTAAATTCATGCAGCTTGATGACTCCAGATGGGAATCTGGACACCATAATTTAAAAAATATTTTCTTGGCTTTGCTTTTACCCTTTTCATCACTTACAAGTATTTTTTCACCTCTCCCCTCGAACATCACTCTCTTTTTAGTCTCTATTCCAGTCCTTCTCCATAGGTTAGACAATAGGTATCAACTCAGTGTCTTTTGTTGGCCATGTGTTCTTGTATCTCAACAGAGACAAAACGAGATTTTACATAGCTCCTATGAAATGAATGGGGCCATGTTTTCACCTAAAGTATAACCTTTTAAAGAAAACTGGCACTGGCAAAGCCAGTTGGTACTACCATCTCCTGCCAAAATTAAAAACTAAGTTCCACCTCTTTTTCTTTCACACTGCTTTCAAACTTACTGTAGCTACGTTAGATCACTTTATTTCTAGCAGACTTTTAACTAGAACTTGTAATACTATTATGAGGATGTCTTTTGATGATTCACAGTAGCACTCATCCTGGCTGAAATGCACAAAACCATATAAACCCATCATTTCAAAACTGATCAACACCAAAAATTTAAGACACTAAATGCTGAAAAAGAATGATCTAATATACCATAAAGTTTCATATTTATAATATTTATAATACTAGTTGAAACACTGTTTCCCAATGTCATATAAACCCTGGGTTTTACCTGCTAAATAGTGAGTGAATGGCTCCGAAAAGTTCTCTCTTGAACTGGATATTAATATTATTCACTATCTTTTCATAGCTATTTTCCCTTTCTTAATTCCAACACCTGATAGACTGTAAATCAATGGTAAAGTAATCAAAACATATTTAGCAATCTTTCCTATATGGGGAAAACTAAAAATTGAAAGAGCTGGGCCAATGTTTGCCTATCTTAGTTTCTAAAATTAGACATCTAAGTCCATATTTAGGATAACTGATTAGCTGAGAAACTTCACTTCCAGCTTCCAGTCTTAATAAGAACAACTAGCAGCTTGCTAACTCTGAAAATCAGACTCTTTTTTAGATGAATCAATACAGACGTCAGCCTGGATTTAGACAGCCAGTGTAATGTAATGGAACAGCTTTTAAAAATACATGAATTAAGGATGAAAACCAAAACCAAAACAAAAAACAGAATAAAAAGTGAAACAGCAAATGAGTCCTAGATTATGACCCTGACTTTGAACCTCAGAATTGTGCCACAACACAGAGGGGAGTAAAGCTTCCATTAACCATGCAACCACTCTGTACACCACATATCTGCAAATGCAAATTTCTGTACCCTGCAGTAAGTATAACGGTATGGGTAAATGAGTGAACAAAGCATGCATGAGTTAAGCACCTTGACACTATACTGCCACTGTCAGCTGATGAGGAGGACATATCCATGCTCTGCATTTTACGAAGCCTAGGTCGAGCGCGCTCACTTGTTTTAGGAACAGTGTCTGGTCCATCTAAATCATCAAGGGTTGACTGCCTTGAGAACAGCATGGTTGCTTCAGTGTAGCAGCTAGCAGCGCAAACAGTTATAAAGATAGTGTTAAATACAAATGATACTACTATACACATGGTTCAGTAAACAAATATGCTTGCCATGCAGCAAAACACTGACACAGAGAAAAAAGGTTCAGAGAGAAGATAAGGATTTGTTTAGAGTCACCATGTAAACACATTTCTAGGCACAGATTGCTCATGGTCACATTGATATAGGGGCTATAGAAGGCTAACAACCATCTATTCACTATTCAAAGAGATATGAAACAAACACAATGCTCTACTTGCTTTCCAGGGGCACCAACTTACATATGTGAGGTTTTATTTTCTTTGTTTCCTCCTGAAATTTCCAAATTCCACAAAAATGTTTTGGGAAGTGACCTTCTCTGTACAAATTCTATTTTATTAATGATATGCTGTGCTGAACCTTTTTACACAGGTACAAGCCAATTTCCTAAAAAAAGCCCTTAAAACTGAATAAGCTCATATTCCACAAATAGAAAAATAGCTGTCAGACATTGGCTAATCCTCTTTCCGAACCAAAGAGCCAAATCGGATATGTTTCTTAGCCAGTATATGCATGCCAAATATAACCTGCTCTGCATGGGATGGCTTTTATTTTGATATTTAGTAGTAAGCCCTGATGATTCTTTCCAGAACATATCATTATTACAATCACAGCTTAAAAACTATTTCAAAATTGGTAACATGCATGTCTTGAAAGAAAGAACAATATAATAAACCCTTATCTCCTTTCACTTATCAAATACAACAGGACACCAGAGACATACACCATACATTGAGCATTTATGTGTTACTGGAGAAAAGAAGAACTGGATGAGTTACGAGAAAAAAAGTACATTATTAAATACAAGCATATAACATAGCAACAGGAAAGAAGCAAATACATTAATGACATATGGTAGGCAAAAGAATTATTTTTCTTGTAAAAATCTTTGAAAAACACAAATGCCTATGAAATAAGTTGAGGGACCTGGTGTTTTAACACATGCAGTGATTTGCCTGAGTCTCTCACACAGAATGAGAGAAGAAAGGACCCCAAACCCCAGGATTTACACTCTACTTTTCTCCTTTTGAGTCCATCTACGTTACACCTGAGCAGAAGCAGCAGGGGATTTGCTTCCTTGGCAAGCATTATGTTTGTCCAAGGGCACAGAGAATTGGAAAAGAGGTCAGAAGGGAAGTGCAATGGCATTTGCTGCGTTACTTTGGTCTTGCTAGCTTGAAGTGAGGAAAAAAATCCGCTGGCATGAAGTGACAGTTTGCAATTATTGCCTTAAGGAAAATGGGGAGGAAAACATCAAAATACGTGGAGCGAAGAAGCAGTTATTCTTAGGCCTACACTCACTAATGGTCTTTTTTGACAGAATGGGCTGAGGCTAGAAGCATACTTTGGTCTTTGAGTAGAAGAAAAGTATCACCAACATACCAAAGGTATTGTGAAATACTTTCCCTAGAAACAGTATTAATGGCAGGGGCACCTCTGTCCTGCCAGTTCATTTGGCCAAGACCCTTTACAAGCCACTTCATTACTTCTGCATGTGCATAAAGGCACACAAGCATCCTCCAGCAAAACCTGGAGGGCCATCTGCGTGGTGCAGGGGTTTGGTGAAGAACCAAATGCTGCTTCCTGCAGGCGCAGGAGATCCACCCTCGAGGCCTGATTCAGCAGCATGGCAATCAGTCGGAGCTCCATGTTACTGGCTCAGGGGGTCATGAGGGAGGAGGTTTCCCTTTGCGCATACACCCATGGAGAACAGCCAGGCAGTTGTACTGTCGGTGAGGTTTTCGTGCTAAAATATAGGGAAATGGCAGCAAGTGGACAATCTGTTTTTGCAGATTACCTTTCTGTCTGTGTGCTATGTTATCCCCATGTTATTTTACATCTCAAGGGCTGAGTTTATTCTTTTCAAGAGCAACACCTCTTACTAAGGTGTTGAAGTATTTTAAATGCAGACATAGTTCAAAGGGAACCTTCCAAGGGCCTTAAGCAGAGCAGCTGTTGAAATCAAAGTAGCACATGCCTGTTCATATATTTTCAATGGAAGAAACATATGCCAGCTGCCCTCTAAAACACCTAAGTTCTGACCTGGGTCCCAGAAAACTCAAAGGAAAAACATCTATTAATCCCAATAGATAAAAACATTTGCCCAGATGGAGTCCCTGCAATAATTTGGTTTAAAGCTGTTTTTAATGAAGGATGAATCATCAGAAGAATTATTGACTGAGTAGCTGCTCTGTATCCTTGAATGTTAGATGTGTATGAGATGACACCTGTAGCACAGTCTGTATACTCCTTATGTACTTTAGGAACATGCTTCCGAACATGGAGGAAATAAGAACGTCAATAAAGTGGAGAGATTTACGCTTGGCAAAGCTGATATTGACTCAGTCATTGACTATCACATAAATTTAATCCAAGCATATCTTCCTTAGTGACTTTTCACATTTGTGTCCTTGGAGACCTTGAAAAGCATTAGCTTCTTGAAATCATTCAAGGACTAGGTATTTTAAATTGAATGTTCATTAAAAGCCCCGAATTCAAGCATTTTATATGAAGTTGATCGGGTATCCATTTCAAATGGGGATATATATAGCAGAGATGTTTTTATCCTTGGTGAGCGATAAATTTCTTACTTTATTGACTTCCTTTTTGCTAAACAAATTTACCCTTCCCAGAGAGTTTATTAGTTTAAGGGGTGACTTACAAATTTTGGGTTTTTTTCTGTCCACGGGCTAGTTACTGACTGGCATTACCTTTATGAACTACTACACTCCCCACACCTGCAAGCAAAGATCCCAAACATTTCCTATCATTCACGCTCCTAAATCAGACCCAGATCCAGCCCCAAACTGGGACTCTCCTTTCCTCTTTTTTCCTGCCTCCCAAGGCAAACATTACATCTCCAGTACTCGTGCCTCAAGCCCTATTCTCCCACCTGGTGAGGGAAGAACAGCTGAAAAGTGGTGTCTGTTAACACCCTGACTGCATTTGTATGTCCACTCTTACAGGAGGGTCAGGGGCTCCCACCTGCAGCCCCTATAAAAGCCTACACACAGGTCGAGTTGGGAACTGAATACGTTATTTGTGATGGACAGAAATTACACAAACTGAGCTGGATACAAAACCTTGGATATTCTGAAATCTGGCTTAGGACCTGTGTCTAGCTGCTATTTCATAATTGTAGGCTAAGTCCCATAAAGGCAGCCAACTGGTTTTAGTAAGTTCCCAACCATGTTACTGAACTTCACAAGCTGTTTAACTTACTAAGCAGTTCATCAGTCAAATGGAAACAAATGGCAGCAAATGCTCTACCATGCTAGCTCCTGATCCCTTCTGGTGGTGCTCTTCGAAGAGCTTGTTAAGGATCAACATCAGTCTCTTCTCCTGGCCCATATGAACTTTGCACTTTGCCTTTAGGATACATGAGAGTATTTATACATAAAGAGAAACCAAACAATTACATTACGAATACCTCATTATACCTCTAGCTGCTGTATAGAAAAATGACTGAGAATAAATGACAGCCCTACTGAAAGAGATAATCCCACATAGGATACTCTGCAAAACTCCTTTTAGAGCTTTATCTAGGGCAAGAACAACAACACTGGATAAGACTTATAAGGGTCAGCCCTGAACTTCTCAAGAAATTTACAGTTCCTGCATCTGATCAGAAGGGCTGTTCTCTCTGGAAATCCAGGGTTTAGAGCACTGTGCTGATACCTACAGTAATTCCTGTCCTGGGTACTGAGGAATATGTATTATTACAAAGGAATAGCTTCTGTGCTTCTGCAGCCCTGTGTACTTCCAGTCATGCCCATCTTACTCATGGACCTCATGTCTACCACAGAATTTACACTTTGGGCAATCAAAGAAGGATAACCAGAATGCTGGTTAGAAACCCTCTGCTCCTTCCCAAAAGTTTTCCATTGCAGTCCTAGATCCATGATCACAGGCATGCTTTAGATTTAATTAGTTGCTTTAACATTTACTGGAAATCATTGTTTTGAAATGTAAAATGCCCCCTTCTCTTGTTTGGGCAATTGAAAAAAAATCACTCAATAAACTCACATGAAGTTTAAAACATTTCACATTTCTAAAAAAACTCATAAGCACTTTTGTAATCCCAGGAATAGACATGCAAGGGTGCCCCAATAAACAGATGGCATTATCATTCAATCAACAGAATAATTTTTCCTTCCTCTAATTACAGGTCATTATTATTATAGCAGATGTCCACAATTTGGAAATACTCTTAGTGCAGGAATATTTGATTGTTCATTACCAGGAAGAGAATTTGAGATTAGAGAAATCAGTTATAATACTGCCTTTGGTATTCCTCTGTTGATAGGTCCTGTGACATCTTCTGAGGAAACTGAGATGACAGTAACACATGTGAAAGATTTAACTTTTTCTGTTGCAAAGCAGCTCCACAGAATCACTGAATTCTCTGAGTTTGAAAAGAGATGTTGAATGTGTAAGTATGCTCAAAGCAGGGTGACAAATGGGTGGTTATTCTGAAAGAAAGACATAAGTGGAGCTCAACACTGGATACTGTCTCATTGAAGAGGCAGAATTTACACATGGTAACTACAGGATTTGTCTTTTTTTATAATTCATTTTGGAATTGGCTTCCTTTTGCTTGTAGTTAACGTTCTTACTTACACGGTTGTATAATAATGATAACTTCTTTTAAGTTTCTATAGTAAACAGTGTGACCAAAAACAATTTAATGAAAGCAGGACTGGTATTACTATTCTTCCTTTAGGTGAAACTGAACTTTGTGGAGTTAAATTCTGCCCTGCAGATATCCAAGTGGCTCCAAGTGAGCTGGTAATAGGATTCGGCTTTACATTTTTCTCACATCATCTGACTCCTGTAAAACTTTGAGACAAAACACAAAGGTGTTGCTTAGTTGGGTAGCTAGACACCGAGAAAGATTCGCTCAGATTCAGTGTTTTTACTGGAGTGAACCTCTCAAAGGCTGGTGCTCAGCCTGGGGAGCAATTTGTGAATATTTTGTTGAAGCATAGTACTCACAGGCACTCTCTTACACTTGCTTTTCAATAACATCAGAAACGAAGACAAGCCCTGGTTATTTTCAGTCTGCTAACATCTACCCATATGTCATTAGTAAAAGCTAAGCATAATTTACTGTACACAGAAGCTATCGAGTTTTCTGGGAGTATCAAACACAACATGATACTGCCACACTTCAGAGCAGAACAGGAGACAACAGAATGTAAGGGATTATGAAACAGCTGGATTTCCAAAGCCCTCCCTTCTCCCCCTCAAGTTGGACAATTTCTTCAGTCTCTTAAAAGTCCAGAACACCAGGGACACGATGGGAACAGGCTGCCTCTGTAAGAGAAGGAAGTGAATATGTGTGCCTCTGTGCAAGGAGCAGCAGGAGCACGCAGTAATTTTGGCAAGGGACTTGACAGCCTCCGTCTTCAGAAAAGAATGGGGAAGGTGGTTTTCCTGCACTAGTATGGGTATTTGATCCACAAACTGTGCAGCTCTGCTGGACTGTAATCATAGCAGTGAGGAAATCAGGCTCTTCAGATGATCTTTGCCCCATGTGTATGAGAGGGGCATTTTGTTCTCTCAGATCCAGAATCTCTCTCAGTACCAATCCTTTTTTGATTTTGTGGGCAGCAGACAACAATTTATTTTACGAAGAGAAAATATTCACAATGAATGATCATTCCCCAAACTCCATGCTGGAATTCCTACAACAGTATCACATAAGCATCCTCAGCAGGGTCTTATTTTTCCATTCCTTTTTACAAGATCAGAACCCCTGTCAATGACTCCTAATTCTAGGGGAAACAGAATGCAGTGGGGTAGTCATGCAGTGGAAAAGAAGTTAAGCCAACGACTGAGGTCACCACTATAAAGGAATAGGAACATATAGCAGAGTTTTTGCTATTCAAATGGCATGGACAAATCAAAAAGAGGATTCAACATACATTAGAAAGTTCATCAGTACTGAAACATTATCTAAAATTATGACTACTGCATGATCCCTCTACCTTTCGCAAAATAAAATTAAATCAATACCTGGAGATACTGTCACGAGAAGCTGCTGAATCTAAACTATCCATTCTTTCAGATGCTTGCAAACCAGAAGCTTGACCGGGATTTTTATCAATTGAGTCCAGTCCTGACTCCTTAGAAAGTTTCATCATGTGGTTCTGGTAGTACATATGGATGCTCTCCCGCGTTGGAACGTTTCCCTGTGGAAGAGAGTGGAGGTAGAGGTACATGGCAGGGGGGAGATGTATTCTTCAAGGGACTGATTTCTTCAGTCATTTGGCATGGAACAGACTAAGGACTGTGCAAACAGCTTCCTAGTAAATAATAACCTCCCACCAGTAGTTCCTTTTTCAGAGTACAAGTCAGATTCTGACTTAAATTACCACTGCACAGTGTTGGGTTTTCAAGCAAAACTGGAGCAATGCAAGCAGTTTCAGGCTATATATAGCCAGGAAAACTCTGCTGGGTGGACTGCAGATCATTCAGCATGAAAATGACGTGTGGGCGGGGACCATGGCTCAACCTATACTCCAGCAACTTTTGAGATATCTCTTTTAGACAGCTTCACTGACTCTAAGAACAATCAAACATCTTATTACTGGTCAGTAGCAGTTTTTCAAACAGAAAAAAAAAAAAAGGAAACCAGGTCATGTACAAACTGATCTAGATTTTCATTAGTGTCCCAAAATAAGAATTTATTCATGAAGTATGGATACAGTTGGAAAACCATGAAAAATACACTGAAGACCTTCACTCTTTCTCTGTGACTTTGAGATCAAGCAAGTTCATGAAAGGATGGTTTTATTAACTGTCAGCCCAGATCTGGGCACAGAATCAAGTCTTTCTGGCTATGATACTGCAATCAAGAATTCTAAAGGCATGTCATAAGAATAAAACTGAGAATTTTATAGCCTGTTCATAGGCAGAAACACATCCAACTCATTCCACTAGCAGTTGCATTGACTTCAGAAGATACACTGAGAGAGAAGATTGCTATTCTTGAACAGTCATTTTTAGGACTTAGAATGAAGCCTTATGCAAGGACTTTTTCCAGCTAAAATAATCAAAGTACTCTAAAATACTGCCCATATTCCATTTATTAGTATTATTAGTTACTAGTATTTCAACTCTGGTCCTCTACGCTGTCCCAAATGTAAAATTTTCAAAATCTGAAGTTTTGTCAAAAAAAAAATAATCTTAAGAACAAAATCTGAAACTCAAGTTTTTAATTAAGTTTTTTTGTATACAAGCTGTGTTGCTTCTGCAGTAATAAACGTGCCATTATGACAGCCTGGCTCTGAAATTATGGCACATGCTACATTCTAGCTCAACTGCAGGTGTGGGATAAAGGACAAGAGCTGTAACAGCAAAAGTGCCCCACAACTAATGGAGGAATCAATTTCAGGTTCTTCTGTAGCTGGAAGAGAGACCAAAGGAACTTCATACATCAGGTTAACTGTCCCCGACTCCATGTCAGAGAAAGAAACACATCACCATGGTGGCTGCAGCAGGTTTCTTGGGCAGCAGTGGCAGGCATGGGACTGCTACAGAGACTTGGGGATGCTATGGAGGGTTTGATGATTCTGATGTTCATGGGTACCAGTATTTCACAGAAGAGGAGAGAAAGATCCTAGAAAAAACCCTGAAGTTGAAAGCTATTGACTAGCGGGAAATTATCTGAAGGGCCCCCAGTACTGGAAGATTTAGGATTGAAGCAGGATATACCAGCCTACACAAGGACATATGAGCTCTACTGTAATCAAAATAGCATCAGGCTGCTGGCAACATGAAATCAAAATAAATAAATAAATAAATAAATCTATTGGGAACAAAGGGTAGGAAAAAATATATTAAGTTGAGGTGAGAAGTAGCAAAGAATGATCAAAATAAGGTCCCCAAAAAGTAATGGCCATAAAAAGGCAGTTAGCCTGCCTTCTGCATAAATGTTAAAAGTCTAAAAACTCAGGGGCGGTGAGAAAGAATCATGTGATTTTCAGTGAGGATGCTGAAATAGCAGGGACTTCTGAGACCTGGGGCAAAAAGGACTACTGCTACAACACTGTACTATCACAGTATGAATTTTACAGCAAGGATGGAATGGAAGATAGCTTGAGAAAGAGGTGGTATGGGTCAAAAAGCATAAAGTCTAACAAATTAAGTAAATTCACTGTGCCAGGATTATCATAGAGCTTCTGTGGGTGGACTTGAACCAATTAATATTCAGAAAGTATAATATGAAGGCTTGATTTTTGACCATCAAACCATGAGTGCACTAGTGCCTGTTAAATACTAAGGAAGATTACAGAAGGTGCCATCAGAATAATAATGTACAATAACTCAAGTTAATCTTCAAATGTACTTATGTAGAATAAGTAAAAGTCATGAAAGAGCCTGCATGCCCAGACACACAAGTCACCAGAATGGAAAAGACCAGGAGGAAGAAGCAAGAAGACATCCTTCAAGAAGTGAAAGTCATGAGGAAAAACAAACAAGAATGAACTTTCTAGAGTTAAATGTAATTTAGCAAATTAGACCAAAAGAGATGCTGAGGAGTAACTTGCTAAAATAAAAAGAAATCTGATAATAAAAACATTTTCAAGAATATCATAAGAATCAGCTGCCAGAAAGCCAGGGTATCAACAGGTGATCAAGGCATAAAGAGGTGTAAGGGAGTTAGGGCAACAGGACAAGAAAAGACTGAATTTTTTCCATTGCTTTTTGCTGCAGAAAATGTCAACGACGTTCCTAGAGTAACTTGAATCCCATGGAATGACTGGATTAATTATTTTATAAAAGACAAGTCTGAGAAGAAACCAATAAACTGAGCACTGACTGGAAGGTCCTCACCCAAGAGCTCTGCAGGAACCAGTGGATGAAACAGTGCCAGGGGAAGAGAAGGTAACACCAATCCTTAAACAGGACTTCAGGAGTGATCCTGAGTGACCCTTGTAAGAAATTGAGTGGTCATGAAATAAATTGACAGCAGACTACATCTACCTCTTGTACTTATCCTCCATTAAAAGACCAGAGACAAAGGGCACAAACCAATGTTTTTTCTTTACAAAGGAAGAAGGTCATTGAGTGGTTCCCCCCAAGGAGTTTTACTGTCCAGCATATTCAGAAATTACCTGTCTAAGGAGGAAAACAGTGATGTGATAAAGTTTGCAGATGAAAAAAAATTATCTGGGATATTCAAGCGTAAAGTTGACTGAAGTACTACTGAAGAACTTGATAAAACTGAGTGACTTGGTAAAAAATGGTAAGAAATGCAATGGGAAAAGTAACCTAAACTGTATATACATAATGACAGGCTTTATGTCAGCTTTTGTTAGCCTTAAAGGTCTTGGACTCAGAGTTTATAGTTGCTGAAAATAGGCAGCATTCACGAAAAATCAAAGGTGCTTGACTGTTAGATCTCACTAGAAAAGCAAAGGAGAACATATCATACTCCTGTATAAATCTGTGATTCACCCACACCTTGAAAACAGTGTGTAGTTCTGGTCATCCAGTCTTAATAAGGCCACATTAAAACTGGAAATCATATGAGGAAGGACAATAAAGATATTCAGAGGCACTGGATGGATTCCATGTGAATAGAGGCTAAAAAGAAAGGGGCTTTTTAACTTGGAAGAGAATGACTGAGGTGAAGACTCCATGCAGATTTATACAATCAGGAATACTAGAGAAAATGGAATACATAGCTGATCCACATGAGACCCCAAAATGATCGGAAGTGGGTTTAAAATGAACAAGAGTAAGTACTCTTAAACACACCATATGGAATGACACTACAGAACTCCGTATTGTAGGATCTTCTGGAAGCCAACATTAAAAATACATTAAAGAGGGACTAGCCAAACTCCAAGAACACAGATTCCTTGGTAGTATTAAACATAATGACCCAGATGCAATTTCTGGTTTAGGGTGCCCTAAACCATCCATTGCCACAAGCTGGGACATATTCCAAAGAAGGATTTATTTTGAATATGCCACATTTCTTTTGCTCTGCTTTATTTATTTATTTATTTGCTATTATTATTATTAACCACTTACTACTGGACACCTTGGGGAAAATAACAGTAACCGAACACTAACACTGAAGCACTCCTCTCTTCATGCTCAGTGCCTCCTGGCCAGACTGAGTACAGATTCCCTCAGACCAGGAAAGCCAGCTTCTCGAACCTCCTGGGGTGGGAGGCAGCCTGCTTATCTTGCCAATAAGCAGATGTCGACAGTGGCTGGGCAATATGGGGCTTTATTAAGGTCAAGAGTACTAATGTGTTGTTGACCTTTTTGACCTATTCATCTCTGAGACAGTCTGCAGCTTTTAACAAAAACTGGAAAGAACTAAAAATGAGGCTTCTATGCCATGTTTCCAGAAATAGTTGGGTAGCTAGTGACATATGTAAAAATAACCTGTGCTTAAAACAAGAGCTTTATCCAACTTCAAGGTATCACCTACTTGCATTTTGAAGATTTAAATACATTTTTAGTTACACTATCAACATCAATCTTTGATAATAATGGGTTTTACCAATACATAACTAGTTTGTGGAGGACCACATAGCTTCACTGCGAGTGAAGAAAATTATGCCTATATTGTCAGTCATTTCCAAGGCAAGTTGGTCTACAAAAAGACTGAAATATTCAGACTGAGGTAGTTTTTGAGCTGTTTAAAATGCCATGCCTTCTCCTCTCTACTTGAATCTATCCTGTCCCCTCAGAAGCACACTTTATCACAGGAATGTTTCAGCCAAATCCTTATATCGACCTCTCAAAGAAATATTTTTCCAATAATTTGTTTTGTGTCCAGCTAATAAATCAAGTAATTTATTATTTATGTATTTATAGAACAGCAAGCAGTAAAAGAGTCCAGACCTATTTTTAAAATGCATGTATAAGTGAGATTTTTAAAATTTTACTTCTTAACACAGTGATCTGAAAAGACAACCTTTCATTTTTCACTGAGCTGGAAATGACATTAGCAGACAAAAAAGACCAAAGGCGTTACCTTCTTAATCTCCCTGGTCAGCATACATCGCTCAATTCTTAGCACAGTGGAGATATCAATGTGCTCTCTTGAGATGGAATTAAGCCAAGCTGTAAAACTGTCTAGTGTTGCCAGGAAGAGGACCCAAGTGAACTTCAAGATATTAAATATCCTCTTGATGATGTTATCTAAAAGAGAGGAAAAGCAACAGAGAGTTAATGAATGCAAATATCTTTCATTGTATTTCTGCTTGCAGTTAGATTCATTTTTTCCTTGTTGTCTAATAATAATAATCCAGGCTGCAAGACCCTGTCATAGCAAGGAATCTCTGAAGATGGTTGGAGGCCTTTTGGCTGTCTGGGGCATCTTCCTGCCTGTATGTCTAGGCTTATCATCCCTTTTCCACGCCGTAACTCCCTGATCCTGCAACTGCTAGTCATATAAACAGTCCCTGATTTTAGAGAGATGCTGTATGTACAGGTCTGCAAAATGAAACCCAAAGATTTGGGCATCTCCTGAGAGCTAGTCAACATCCCCAGCTCCTGTGATCTCAGCAGCCGCTCAGCCAGCGTGTTGAGCTGAACCCCATACCTGTCTATTTACTTGTGTGCATTTCTCTCTGCAAAGTTTGCCTTTTGTGCTTGAACCTTGCTTAGCTGAGTTTTAAACTCTAACCTGCCTAAACAGTCTTTGAATCTCTCCCTGTTTTCCAACCACCTAAACACACCTCTGTGTATTTACTGTTTCCACCCCCTTTCTCTTTTTTTTTAAATAGGCTGCACTACGTCATCAGTGATCTCAGATCAGCTAGCCCAACTAGGACAAATCACATAAATAATTTATGTAATATTACTCTTGCACCATTTTGCCAAAACAGTACACTTTCCCATGAGTAAGGCTTATGGGTTATATACCAACAATAGTAGCTTCATTTTCCTCAACACAGCTGTCTCAAGTTAATTTCTCATTTCAGTAGTTCCTTTAGCATTAGCAACTGCATTTCTCACCCAAAAAGCAGCACTTCCAGGTTATTTTTCTTCCACTCACAAACATACACACCAAGTTATAGTTCTTATACAGCGTTGCACAAATACTGAAAAAATCCTTTCCAACTAGCCAGTTCAAGAGCTAGTAGTCCCTGCTAGGTTGCAAATCCCAGAGCACTAGCTATAAATATCAATTTTAGAGTAACCAGCCTAAGAAATAATAGAAAACTGTCAATAATCTGCCATACAGGGACAAAATATTTGAAATGGATGCTAAGGAGCCAACCTATGTGCTAAAGCATGATGCTTTCAACAACCTCACTTCCTAGCTGTACCACAAGATGGCATGCAAAACTTTGTGGAGTGCACATTCGCTCCTTACAAAGAATGCAAAGGTGAAGTTGTAATAAAGCAAAAGATTTCCTAGGGAAGAATGTGCACATTTCTCTGGGTGTGCAGGCAGGGCTGTATGCACATATATGTGGAGAGAAACTAAGGAAAAATCCATTAGTGGTACCTTCTTGCAAAGTGGATGCTGAAATGGCAGTATGTGCTCATTACCTGAGCAATGCCATGGAACTGGTCTGGTATCTTTGAGCACAAGAGCATTTAGCCCCCTTCACTTGGTCATTTAATTATTTCAATAATATTTTGCTCTTTTTTTCAGGCCTTTTCTATGTCATTTAGAATTGGAGATATTCTATGATTTATCTACTTAAATTTTGTTTCAATGTGCAGGTCTTGAAGCTAAGGAAATCTTGTCATTGGAAATTAAATGTAAGGCTGTTTCTACTTCAAGAAGCATTCATTTCCTCTGAATTCCAGACAATATTATGAATAGGTTAAAAGAAAATATAGCACTCATACACAAAAATATACAACATAGAAATGTTCTTTTTTAACCCACACTCTTCTTCTCTAATATACCATTTCTGCTACTGACTTCAGGAGAATTCCAGCTCTCAGGTTAAAATTATCTTTATTATTGACCACCACTGCATGCCACAGTCTCACCACAGTGCTTTGCCAAGCACTTCCAGTCTAATCTGAAAGGTCATTTTTCTCTCTGGAATGGAGGTGATCTAGTATACATTTTTAATGATGCTGTAGCTGTTCTGGCAGATTTGCTGTTCTCCAGAACTTTTTAAAAATAATCTTCTGGGGATCGATCGCATCTAAACATCTTCAAAAAGGGAAACAAATGTTTATTTTCTGCAGAAACTGTTATTCTAACTCAAAAGGTCAAATGCAGAGGAGGCTTCTCTCTGCCTGAGAGTGTGAGACAGGATTTGATCTAAGGTTAATAATGATACTTATTAACCATTACCATCTAATTTTTCCAACCATCTTCTTTAACAAATTTTACCTAGGACTGGTCAAAGAATTTCAATGAAAATATAAAGCACCTTCAATTGACCATTTCCAATATAAATTAGTTATAAACTTCCTTCTCTTTCCCTAACCCCTGTGTAGCACCAATGGTCTTTCCCTAGAGATGCGTTTAAGGGATTCACCTCAGTGTTTTAACACAGGTAAATGTATCGCCAGTAACAAATAAAAAATCTCCCCAAACCCCACCAAAAAAACCCTATAGCAATGCAACTCATTTATTTGAGACCACTGCTCTTGTGAGAAAGATATGACATCTCCCACATCCTTGTAACATCTTCTACCTAACATATAACATCTATCTGTTACTCATTCAGGGATACTATTCTAACTGGAACTGTGGGAACCAATTTTAAATAGAGAAGAAAAACAGCTTTTGAAGACAAAGTCTCACTCAAGGTAGCCATGATGAAGATTTACGTAAGAGAAGAGTCTGTTTTCTTCTTTTACTCTAGTTAGAAACAAAGAGCCAAGTTTAGATTTATGACCTTTTACACTTCTTTCTAGGAAAACTTTCAATATGGGCAAGATCTTGCAAACTGCTGGTATTTCTTCTGTTGTGCAGAGCATCCTTAACCCTGGTTATGAATGAGAAAGGGTAAGGTTGGGAACATGCCATTTTTTTAGAGGTGATTATTGCACCTTGCTGAATGGGTGAGTATCAGACAAAAGCATTATATTAACCTTGCTAAAACACACTGAAAAAACACAAAGTCTTTGTGCTAATAATAACATATCAGACATTCAAAATCAATGCAGATTTTAACACAGGGCTGTATGCAATCAGGACTGGAAGCTATGCTTAGGTATAAGTTGTTCTCTAAGTAAAATATACAGCAAGTGATCAAGCCTGAGCCTTGTGTAGAGAATGAGTAGTTAATAGTCCAGGAGTAGAAGTTCCTATACTCAGGACTTGTAAATCTGGCAATTGAAAACCTGAAGTAGTTAGGAAGTTCTCACTGCACAGGTTAGAGTGGATTTTGTGGCTTTTACGCAAGCCTGGGATCACCACAGTGCTGTCTCTGTGATACACTGCTCACGCCACTGGTCACAACTGCACCGTAACAGCAGAGAAGCCCTCTTTCTGCCTTCATACCTGGTCCATCAGATTTCTTCTTGACAGGTTCCTCTTCGCTGTCTTCACAGTCTGCATCAGTACCACCTAGTGAAAACAGCGAGTGTTACACCTATAGAAGTGTGGGTGTAAATGCCATTCGAGCTAGAAAATGCTGCAATTACTAAGCAGTAGTGACTGGTTGCTCCCCTGCCACTATAACAGAAAGCACATTTCTGTTCCTGAAGGAGTCAAGCAAGGGGACAACCCTGTCAGCGAAGGTGTTCACAGATGACCACCCCTCCTTGCAATTCGCAGGGGCATTTTCTTACTGAAGAATGCTGCTGAGCAAGATCATCTGTTAGTGTAAACACAGGCAATTTCCCAGTCAGACCGCCTCCACCCTCAGCAGTCTCACCTTCCGCCGACTCACACTCCAGATCATTTCTTCAGCTTCTGCAAAGGGCAACCTGATCAGAGCTTTAACCTCCTCCTGCCTCTGACCCACCAAACCCGAATGAACTGAGTGGCACCTTCAGGTTGAAACGAAGCAGCAGAGTTGGTTTGAGACTACCACATGTTTTTATTTAGGCCTGTAGCAGAAGAGTGACGTAGAGTCGCAGGCAGAACCAAAGGACAGACAAGTGACTCTCCTTCTATTTAATATCCCGTAACTGCAGCTACAGCTTCAGTGGCAGCAGTCAAATTATAAAGCTCCCTCTTTTTGACAGGTGAAGATGCTAAATGGAGTAAAAGTCCAGCTAATTCAGCCTGAATGCCCTCCCCCCCCTTCTCCATCAACAAGTTTCTGAATTTCTATTTTCTTTTCTTGTTTAAAAAAGGAGCAAAAGATTAAGAGGTATGAACCACTTATAAACTGATTTTTTTTTGGAGGCATTCATGATTTTACATGCCCATAAAACCCTATTAACATTTGTATGTTTTCCTTTTGCTGCTGGCTGAATTCACTGTGGTGAATTCACTGGTTCACAGATATTTGGGTTCCTCAGTGAGTACAGCATGGAAAGTGAAAAACATTTCTAGATGTTCTTCCCCATGTATCAACTCAAGCTTCTTAAGGCAACAATATAGGAAATGGGGCAAAAAGAAATAATATGTGGCTATTTCAATGAACTTTTCTTACAGCTCCACTTGAACTACAGATCTTCAGGAACTTCCTCATGAAATAGTTCTTCAACACAAGACATTAAGTCTGTCACATGCAAAACTTTCCCTGGGAATACACATGAATTTATGATCAAAATGAGAGACTTTGAGCAACCCTAGAAAAAGCTGGAGAGCAAGGTAAACCCTTCCATGAGGTGAGGGACTGAAAGGGTAATGTCCTTGCTCTGCCTGATTCTGGCCAAACACCCGGCATTTACACTCCCACATTCTGGAGAAATGCTGTTAACTACCAAGTTATTGGCTTTATAAAGTTACGCCTTCACGGGGTTATGGCTTTCTCTTGCAAGTACTCTACTTCCACAAATGTTTTCATATAGTTGATGTTTTCTGCAATGGGCTGAGTCTTCTTACTTGGCAAAAGTTCTGGGTGTGTGTCTTGCAACTCCTTGGAAAAATACACGTATCTCCCCTTCTCCTTCACACCCCGCAACGCACGCTGTGTACAAGGGAAGGACGTGGCTACGGCCGGCCTTGTCTTCGGCCTGGGCAGTGACAGGCAGCCAGGCAAAGGCTACCTCATTTGTCCAGTTCCTAGCCAGAACTGAGAGCACTGGCCCTCTAAAACTCAGCTGCCTTTCACTACCAGGAACAACAGGCAGTCTAGTTAACGCTACTTTTTTTTAAAATACAGAAGCCTACCTACCATCCCCAGATCCTTTTCGCCTTCGCTTCGCCTCTTTCCCGAAACTTTTCTTCTCTTTGCGCCTCTGTCGTAGTGCTGTTTTAGGGTCAGTAATCCAGGCCTGATAAACAAACTGGAAGGAACAAACTCATTTATTTGAAGGTTCTTCAAGTTTTGAGAGTAAGCCATAGAATAAGCCACAAGCAGGACTATATAGTTTGAGTAAACGCATTCAGATCTGCAGGGGTAAGGAAATATTTTGAATCCCAAATCAAACACCTCCCTTGCAGATCTGCTGAGTTTTCATGTGCTATTTTTGCAAGCATAAAACCAAATGTGAAACACTTGTGGGTGAACCAAGTTTCATTAGAACCCACAAAAATTCGTGCTCTGAACTTCGGGAATTAATGCCCTGTTGTGCATGTGGGCTACTTCACCTGAATCTCTCCATTTAGTTCAGTATTTCTACTTTATCATTTTACAGGCAAGATGCAGAGTAATGGAAACTTTAAGAGAAAGTGCTGCAATCAACTAACTAAAGCATCAAAAGCCGTAGTGATATCTCAGTACAGGTATTCGTGCTTGTACATTCTTCGTACTTCAGGTATTTTTTTTTCACCTCTGCAGATCCCAGTGGAACATTTACAGAGTTGCTCTCTGTGCACAGTCCCAAATCTGACAGTCAGGAATTCCTCAAATTTCATCCTGATTTTGACAATGGCTCCCTTTGTTCCTTCAGATAAGTCACTGATGAATCCTTCTGCTACTGTTTTTCCAGTTGTAGAATGAAGATAGTAATACTTACCTGTGTATCAAAGGGATTTTATGGGGCCAATTCCTGCTCACAGCACTCACTCAGATCAACAGTCTGTTGACCTATATGATTACAGGAAGCATGGAATTGGCCCAAAATATTTATAAATGCTATAAAAGTGAGCACACACGCACAAAAAAAAAAAGTAAACAAAAGTTACCCCAAAGTAACTTTTTGAATAGTTCTGCTCAGGCTGTGAAGAAAGGTTACAGAAAAAAAGCAGTAACACTTGTATCTTTTTGCCCTATATGACATGGAATGTGAATAACAGAACTGTTATAATAAAGTAACTGTATCTTCTCCACAACTCTTTAGGACAAAAGATCTTCTTTTGTTCCATTTATGGTTTTCATTGAAAAGTAGTAATCAACTTCAATTGGCACTGCATTGTCTTCTATTTCTAAGCAACACAGGCTAGTAACAGAGACAGAGCAGGGAGGCACACAGATGCAGACACAAGGGTAAAAAAAAAAGCACAGTAACAAAACAGCTCTATTAATTCACAAGACAAACATGCAGACAATGACAAGAACACACGTGTATCTCAGTGAAGCTGGAACTGCCCCTGATAGGACAGAATGGTAAAATTTCTATTTGGTTTATTTATATTTTTAAAATTTGCATACACAAATTGCTTTGGAACATTAGAAGCAATTTTTTAAAACTGTCAAACTGACTTTTAATGAATTTAAAAGGGAAAAATACTTTGTTCTGTTTTGTGAATACATACAACAATGGAGAGGAACTTACTTTGGTACTGTTGATAAGAAAATTCTCTTCCAAATCTCTCAAGGTCTGTACATTTATTTTTATATGTCTGACTTGTTCAAAACAAGCACCACATAAGAAAATACGTGGGATCAGAGGCACTGGTCTCTCTTTGCTTTGTAATACGTGTTTTCTACTGAAGGTGATCTGGGGGAATGGTGATACTTCAGTGACCCAATACTGTGTTACTGAAAGTCAGAAACTGTCAAAATCTGCTACTGAACAGTTAGCTGAGAAACTGTAGGCTGGCCACAGTCATAGTATGAATAAAGAAACTGGAGGTAAAAGGAAGACTTGGAAGAGGGTAGAAGATTAGAATGAAGAAAGGGCATTTGATTAATAAATTTAATGTAACTACTTATGGTAAGCAGTGGATATTTTAAGAGCTGACTGGGTGCACACATATCTATTACTTCAGATTTTTACCACTGGACCAACTTTAAATGCAGTATCTTTTAGGCCTTGGGGCTGGTACGCTCCTTCTGTAACACTCGCTCCTTACAAATACCATGTCACATATATGGAGTGTAAAATGATACACAGTGCTCAAAGGTAGGAAATGCTAAATGTATTCAAGGAAGACAAGAAAGAAGATGCACAAATCTTTTTAATGATGATGAAGGCCAGAAAAGTAGACCTAAAAGGGGCAGAATGTGCATTTTACAAAGGTTTTACCAACTTTCTGAGATCAATTACCACAGTGTCCATAAGATACATGCAACCTGATGTGACCATCTTGTATAGCAGTATCAGAAGAAAATGAGAATTTGGGTCTGCATTTTCTCTCAGGGTTGCACTTAAAAAGAGATAGACCACATTTCTTGTGGCTTGACCACTCCAAAAGTATGAAATGTATTGCATTTACTAGGAGTGAAGCTTTGGCTGTCATTATTTTCTTCAATCATTCATATAAGAGGAAAAATGCAGACGAGGAGAGAGGTATACATTACATCAGGAACTATGGGATGGGTCACATACTGAGCACTCACAAAACGTCAAGTACCTTTGCTGCTTTGATTAAATACTGAAGAATAGTTTTGGGTAGTTTAATGACAGACTTTGGCAAGGCTAAAATGGCTGAAGCAAATTTCCCAATAGCTCTCTATAAAGAAGGACAAAGCAAGAGCAATTAGTAGAAAACAAGAAAATATTAATAAAAAGTATCTACTGAATGATTGTATCTAGATTATTAAGACCAAATTTACATTCATAGGCTCGAATATGAAAAAAGAGCACTTGTGACGTTCACAATAAAATTTCAATAACATGATTCTTAACTGCCTGTGTTCTCTAACAAATAAAATCTCCAAGTTAACCCTTGAAGTGACTATTGCACACAATTTACACTAAAAGAAAAATCAACAATTAAAAATAATTCTTTAGCAGACTCTACAACAAACAAGGTCACTTTGCTAGTATTTTTATTAAGACCATGTGCATGGTGATGGAGGGCAAATAAGGTATGTTGACCAAATGATGAACAAGCTTTTCATAAACAAAACCAATTTTCTGTTCTATATAACTCCCCTCCTACAAAAAGCCATCCAACATCTTCATGTTGCACATATTGCAGAACTGGCCACCTATACAGAACGTCTGACCAGATTTTTGAAATAAACAGATCCTCCATCCTCAGATTAATAGTTTCTGCACGGAGCTTTAGTAAGTAAGACCAAATGAACAAAATCCACAAAACCCAGAGTAAATGAAAGAATCTGATTAGGTTCTGACCTCAAGTTTAGAACTCTCTAAAATCTCAGTGCTTGGCACCAGCACATCTGAACAAAATGTTGTCACCAGTTTTTTAAAAAATCAGCAGAAACAAGAATGCAAACCTTCCTCTGTATCTGCATGAAAACCAGAAAGAAAAAATGACCTAGAAATTCATGAGCCATTTTTATGGTCCAAGGTGAGTTAAATGCAAAATATAAAAAAAATTAGTGTAAATAGCAGAAAATAAAACTTATCACATTAATTTTCATCCAGATTTGTTTTGCCTTTTTTAAGGACAGGAAAGTCTTTCCATGTCATTACCACATAGGCAGTTTAACAAATGTGATCAGTTGGTAATGTAATATAAGTATATAAACTAAAGGCACATTGTATCAATTAATTAAAGTATTTCTTCTTGAAATTCACTCATGTTGTCTGGGAAGCTTTGTTTGAAAGCTGTTGGCATAAGGAATAGAAGAGCGCGGAGGCAGTTTCTTGCTCTTGCTTGGGCTGGGCTTTCAGTAATGTACCAGTTCTGCAGTGACGTGAGCTTGCATGTCGATAGGAATACTCATCTGCAAAAAGCTACCCCTTTGCTTAAGCTTTAAAGTTACTGATCTGAAAAAGTTCTTTGGTATTTCTGAAAATTTTCAGCAAGTAAAACTTTACTCTTATGAAGATTAAAGCAATACTACATGCATGAGTAGTGCACTAACTTCTTCACCCAAGTTCTGCATTTAAGCCAGTGGATTCAATACCTGGTACTGTCTAACATCAACCAGTCTATATGCAGGAACCCAGTTAGGAAAATTCAGCTATCTTTTTAACATTACAATATCCTCTTACTTCGACACAGTCTGTCATTTAAAATGCAAACATATTAGTTAACATTATCCTGAAAAAGAAAAGAGAGAAAGTGATGTGGTCTCCTTCTGTAATTTTAAACGTTAAGCTCTTTATAACCCAAGGATGTATTTCTCTGGTCCACTAGGACGAATAATAATAATTTTTATTTTTTTAAGTAGGTATTCTTTTCTATGAAAAATCGCTTACTTTTGGGATCATTTCTTCATGGAATGGTAACATCCACTCAAAACCAGAAAACCACTGAAGCACTGTACAGCAGTGCCAGAGGCAAGTCAGCTTCCTCACTTGTCTTTATTGCAGTGCAGAAAAAATAAAGCTCAGATTCTTAACCTTTGTTTTTGTATTTTTGTTTTCTTCAGGCTTAAGTGAATGAAGATATGATTTCACTACAGTTTCTGTAGGAATCTGGCAATGCTTAAAACAGGCAAACTTGCATTTTAAATTGGCAAGAAATTTCATTTCCAATACTTTTCAGGTCTACTTTAGATGTACTGGCTGCTTTAACATATGTGCCTGTGTTATGAGAAGCCTACATTTTTTTCCAGATGTCAACTAGAAAGCAAATTACCATAAAGTACCTGAAAAGCAGATTTTTTTCGAGGCTCTTCCTCTTCTTTTTTCTCCTCTTCCTCTTCCTCTTCACTATCCGTCTCAAACAAATAATAATTTCCACTTCTGACCACTAAGTGAAACAAAATATTTTCTTATTTTTCTGAAAATTCTTTTCTCAACTGCCCCAAGACCTATGAACAGCCAGCCAGTCATTTAAAAATTCATAACCAGGAGAGGTGAAAACAGAGAAGAAGCAAGAGATGAAAAGGTCTCAGGCAATTTATCTGATGTTAGTCTGCGATACTTTGGGCATGAATGGGAACTATACAAGAACTAAGGAAAACGTCACCATGAGAAGAAAATGTAAAGAAAAAGCTTGAAGTATATCAAGTTACTAGGTTACATTTTTTAGAAAAAAATGGCAGTTAAGTCTAAATTAACTGGGAACTGATGGTTATTTGAGGGAGTAAAAAAAGCCCAGCAGGTAAATAAATGAATTTACATGAACAGTACCACTGGACAAAAAATACAGAACTTCTCTTTAAAATGCTGAGGCATCCTTTAAACTACAGAATGGGATGGTATTAGTCAATGCTTTCTTCAAACATTTAAGCTTTGATGAGGTAATGGAAAACCTTGGTTTGTTTGAAGCAAATCACTTGGATTCTACTAACGTGATCGCAAATGAGTTTCAATTTTTTGCCCATGGATTCAGAAAGATTCTGAAACCTTGATACAGTAAAGATGCACAGTGAATAAGCTAGGCCTTATATCCTTGAACAGAAGCAATGTTTTTATTTCTCAGATGGTAACAGGCCTACATGAATGAACAAGGGAAAAAAAAGAAATGAAAAATAAGGTAATGAGCAAGAGAAAAATCAAAATCACAGCATTACATTCAGCAGTGAAAACTGGTAAATCATTTCCACATTTAAGCTGAGATATTTAAAGTAACAGTTACTTAGATGAAATGTCACACAATCTGGATATATGGAGCAATACGTATTTATATTGAAAATTATATTTGACCCTCATTACAGGTTTCTGGAAAAGTAACAATTGCTTTAATTCAATCATACCTTGAATTTGACACAGATCCTCTGTGCACAGATGACCACACATGACTATCATAGAAACCTCAGGGTAAGCACACTGTGAAATTTGCCAGAACTCTATTGGATCCGAACTTCAGCACCTAAAACTCCCTCACAGAGGGAATTTTGTGCCTCATGTGCCTGGTTATGAATTTTAACAGAAATGCTTGCTCTGCAGAGGGACACAGAGTCCACTTCAGCAGTTCTAATTGCTGAACTGAGGTGAAAAGAAAGTTTGGAAATTTCTTGGATCAAGCAAATTAATTATTTGGTGTCGGGTCTTCTAAGAATGCCCATTTAAAGTACATTAAAGAGATGAATGTCTTTTAAGAGCCAGTAGTCTGCAGTTCTTTTTCACAAAAACGTATCTTGTAGTCAGCAACAGAAATTGTCCACACAGAAGATCAGCAGGATAAGGTCTGACATCTAAGGGAAACCTCCACTGCAGCACAGTTCCTTAAAGGCTCAGAGTAGCACCTGGTCAAACTTGGAACACCTGAGCTGGCAGAAAACAAATCTACAATGATCCCCCTCCAGAACTTTTAGGTTAAAGTGTATCTGAGGGGACACTGTAATGTAGCAGTATGTCTCTTTTACAACTAACGAGGGAGGTATGATTGAATAGCAATAATGCATTCTTGCACACATCAAAATGGAATAAGAAGTGTGTTAGTCACCTACAGGGATTACTAAAGACACCAAATTCTACTAGTAAGACAATTCATGGCCAGACTGGACTTGGGGGACCCCTCTCCTACTGCAAAGTGTGACTTTCTACTGAGAAAAGGGACTTGCAGGCTTTCCTTGTGGGATGAGCTGGAGGAGGCAGAAGGGGAGCCATGCAGGAGACGTCAGCATCCTCTCATAATCTGCTTGTGCCCAGAAGGAAAGAGCTCCCCAGGGCAGCTGCAAGCACCATCCTTTGCACTACATCAGACACAACTCTGTGCCCCAGGAGAAGCTGAGGACCTTGAAGCATGTGGCCCTAACTCCTGCTGATCTTTGTGGGGCTCCCTAAGTAATCCACAAGCACAGGAGGAACCATACCTTCCTGCGAGGGAGAGTGTGAGTGAGTGTCAGTGAGGAAAGCCTCAGTGATGTTTCCTATCTGTTCTACTCAGACCCAAATTCACGACTGTGTTTTAATTCCTATGATATACAAAATGAGGTATCTTTCTGTATAGTAAAATCATAACAAGTAGCATAAAAATAACAATAAAAATCTAAATTAAATATCAGAATTGGCATGAAACTTCAAGCTTGAACGACTTCAATATATACATATATACAGGCACAGCCACAAACTCAGTTACTGAGATGAACACCCATGTGTAGCGGAATGCTGCAGTTAAGCACAGTGTTTCAAAAAGGACAGATGGGCAATATCAGTCTATTTCTAGTCTGTATGTCTGTGAACACTGACTGTCAGGGCCACGTTTCAGTGAGTGTGGATGCAAGCAACATGGCAGGCAACCATGTTTGCAGGATAAGGGTCTGTGATGTTTCCCACAAGGTTTTGCATTATTGCAGTAAATAATTTCAAGAATGCTCACTGTTTAAATACCAAAATGCAAGTTGCTACCTAAGAACATTAAATAATGAGGGTGAAATAAGTAGAAGCCAAAGTCAATGTCTCTCTTTGAGCAGTTCTTCTTATTACAAAACCAGTGGTGAATAAACAAAAGACCATATCCCATTCCTTCAAAATCACCGTAGCTTGAAATTCTACAGTAAAAACTCACAAATTTTAGTTTTGATCTGTTTTGTCATTGTTGTTCTTAATGAAACTAAAGGGCAAGAAGTTTATTTTCATAAGACTTTTGAAAAGGGATAGGTCTCTCTAAAGTGGCAGTGTGCCCTTTAGAAAAATAAAGAGAGGCACAGTTTACTTGTGACTTGATAGAAATAAGCATACGACATTCTGTTTAACGCTGTTGGCAAATATATATGCTGGAGTTATAAATAAATACACACAGGTAAATGAAACAGTATGTAGATGTGTAAAAGTGTTACTTGGAGTAACTCTTTTAAACTAAATGACCAGGCACAATATAGACATTCATATTTAACTCTGGTCAGTGCTATACACTTGAATATTTTTTAAATCTTCAGAGGTTATTAAATACCTCATGTCTGAGTTCCTTCAACAAAGATCCAATAGAAGAGAGAGATTGCAGTCTACTCAGTTTTCTTGTTTTACGCAATCCACAACATAGGGAAGAACTGTATTCTATGTCTGGAGTGGGCTAAAAACAAACTAACTTATCATAATGCAACAATGGTATGAGCGATGCAGGCTAATAATTTCTTGTGCACAAGGCCGAACAGATTTCTGCTGTCAGTTAAACACAAAAAAATGGAAATAACAAAACAACTGGCATCAACAGTACATTAAAGTGTGATCAGAGATATTCAGCTGAGCTCTACAGAGCCTAGTCCTGGGAATAGTCTTGCTGCCTTACTGTGGTACTCAGATTTCCACAGCTGACAGTAGAATGACTGATGAACCATGAAAAAAGATGTATGATGTGTGTACATGAAAAAGAAATTATGACTGATCTTAGAATGCATTGGCAAACCTTCACCTTCAAATTTTTAAATATACTGTGCTTTGCAGTAGGGGGGAGTTAAGACTTTTGAGGCAAAAGTAAGATGCTTTTTGGTACATGTTTATTTGTTTTGATATTTTTCTAAGAATGCCCAAAGTATCATGAGCTAGCTATGCTTCCAACACACAGAAGTTCAAAACATGGTTAAACTCACTCCTTGAAGATTTGGAAAATCTTATTTTGAAAAAAACAAGCCTTCTATCAAGTCACAATCATAAAATCAGGCATAAAACAAACAGGTCATGGGAATGCCTTCATTCTGGTCAAGGATATAAGGGTTAAATCCACATATTTGTAAGATGATTGAGAAAACCTACTGGAAGCATGATCAACCCAAGGCCGCCACCACAGCTTTTTTTTGCCCTTGGCTTTCTCTTTGTCTGCTTCTCCTAAAATAAAATATGTCCAAATATTAATTTTACAAAATGAGAAACATGTTTCTTACACTGATTAGTCATTTTTAATTTCTCTCAAAAGAGCTAAAATTTCATGAGCACATCAGATGTTAGATCTACTGAACACATTCAATATTAAAATCATTCAGAAGCATGACCACTAAGCAGAAATACTCTGGTTTATGCAGCAGTTAAAACAGCATTCTACTCTAAAACAGCTAAAAAGTTCAGGTTTGTGTTTTAAAACACACAGTCACAGTTGAGTGTAATTTCAGGAGGAAAAGATTTTCCCTCGTCTCAAATCCCCTTACATTTCAGGCTCCAAAAAGTTTAAATCCAGTAAGTGCTGATCCCAAGTCAGTGCTAGAACTGTGGCACTGGATAGGTATCATTTTATCTGTTCCCATGTTTTAAACCACATTTAAAAGTACGCAAACATTTCAGTGACTAAAAAACCCTCACAGCATCCAGAAAATGTTGCCGGAAAAATGTGACTGCTACCTATTTGTAACACTGTGGTTGATATATAATGACTTTGTTCAAAACAAACTTCTGCTGCTATTCAGCTCTTTGCCAACAACTGAAAATTAACCAAAAGTAACCTTACAGAAAACCATTTTCTCTAAACCTTCTTGCAGTACAAAAATCCCACATTTTTTTGGCTAAATCAAACTCCAAACTGGTACTGAGCTAACAACCTTGTTATATGATGACAGTTTTGAAGAACAATTTATCATTTGTCCAACTATTAGGTCCTTAGTGCTCAACCGCAATTACGGTACAACAATAGCTAATGGTACCTTCGTCATCTTCTTCAGAAACCTTCCGAACCTCTGGCCCCTCTGAGGACTCCTGGGTCATGCTTAGCATCCTCTCTTTACCTTTTTTGTATTTTTGCTGCCTGGCTTTGATGCGATCCATTCTAGCAAAAGGAAGAATCTTATTAGATTGATGTCTTCACCCTTTCTGACCCACCCTGAAAAACAAGTGTTAAACACATCCATTCACACTCACGCACTCCAACATTTCTAATGGAAAGATACATTCCACACTGTCATTAACCCTGCCCTTAAACATAAGGAGTTAAATGGCTCTGAAGGGGCTGGCTGGAAGGGTCAAGCCTAGATGTTTGCCCACTGGTCAGTGAGAGCTGGGGTGCATGCTATCATATGAGTGTTTTACCTATTCCCCCTCAACTATCTCTTATCATTTAAAAAGGAAAGAATTGCTGTCAGGAGCTACAACACAGCAAATGAAGCTCTGAGAAAAATGGACTTCTGCCTAATGCAGTGGTTTTCCTGAAACTTGCCACTCTGAACCAGGGATGTGGCTGTTCCTGCACTATTTGTGCTACATCTTCACCCCTGAAGCTCCTTTGTCCCACGTATCTAGAAACGCAAAAGACTTAAACTGGTTCAGTTTTGTCCAGATGTAGGCAAGCCTTCAATTCTCCTTCTTGCAATCCTGTAGAGTTAGCACAATCTGGTCTTTTAAGACTTCTGTGTTTTCACAGTTTTTAAAATGGTAGTAAAAAACCCCTGAAATCAACAGGAGTAAGTTCTTTCAATACAACTGGATTAGAAGCAAATGATTCACTAACTTCAGTGATCAAAATGGACTTAAATACATTTATTAATCTGTCCATTTGTTAGGGAAGAACCACCCATTAGAGAGGAAAAAACTCTTTCATCTCAGCTAGTTGCTATTATTCAATAGATAATTAGATTTCTTTCCCTGTATCATTTATCTGCTGCTGAAGCGACGCTACATCAGTCAGGACAACTTGGTTGTTCAAAACTTCTGGCCATGCCCTTCATCCTAACTAGCCTAAACGGTATGAAATACTGATGCATATTATTGAATGAAATAAAACAAGCACCCTCTAATGTTGAAGTCAGACATCCTCCAAACACAAACTAGCGATTTTTAGAGAAACATACATCAGCTTTGGCATTATTGCAAGTAGTATCATCTCCTTGATCTTAAACTCTGCAGAACTAACAGAAATTAATGATTTCCAAGACAGGCACGTCCTGTCAATTGGGATAAGACTGACACAAGCATAGAACAGCAACAGCAGCAGCCCAATACATCATCGGGGGGAAACCCCAGGCATACGGGTAGGGAGCCCAGTCCCTGCAGCCTGCTGATGCTTCTTCAATTATGCAGGCATGGAAGAAGCTGTCAGGTGTGGGCTTTGACATCTGGTTAGGAAACAGTTACGGCTTTTCATGCATGGTGGTGGAGGAGCTTTGAAAGCTTTTTGCAGTTAGTAAAAAAGCATGCTGGCTGCACCCAAGAGAAAGCAGAGTGGCTTACTGGCTGTATAAACAGAAAGGATCTCCAGGCCAGTTAAGCTGAATGCAAATATCTTCAGTGAAGGTAAACATATGTATTTTGCACTCAAGCGCTAGCAGAAGAACCACAAATGAAACGGAAGCAACAGGCATACAGCAAATTTTACTAGGAATACAGACACACAGAACAAACTTCTAATAATGGTAAAGTCAGTGAGAATATTGTCATCCATTGCAGCAGGGCCAGGATGCTACTCAGCTTCCTTAGCCCATAGTGATTTCAGGCTATTTGGGTGGCTCTTAACTACAGCTTCCCTAACTAGGCCCTTTGCTGTTCCAATTTCTGGTTGTTTTTTTTTTTTTTTTAAATCCAGTTCCTGTGTCTCAGTCTCCTATTTTCTAACCGTCTAGGCTTGCACTTTCAAGTGAGACAGGGTTAATATGGCACTTCTGATTAGTAATCTGCCTACCCTTTCATGATTTTCATTGGGGATTTGCATTTGACTGTCCTATTCTTCTGAGAGATGGGGAGAGACAAATTGAGAGAACAGCAGGATAATTAGTGGAGAGAAAGAAAGAGCAAAAAAGATCCCCCCCCGCCCCCCGCCGTTTCATCTGCATTGCATGCATTCATACTACACAAAACAGGATAACCCAAAACTACAACTGAGCTGGACCTCTACCAAAGAAAAAACATAGCAGAGATACAGATCATCTCTTAAAGAGAAGACTGCATGGTCATGTTACTAGGTTACTCAGGTGTGGAACAGTTAAAAGCTGATCTTCTTAACCTGTCATCATTGGATTTCTAAGGTTTAGAAGAACCTTCAGAATAAGCAGGAGGGTTCACACCTTCTCTCTTGATTTACAGGAAACATCTGTTTCCATTACAATTTCAGGCTCACTGAGGAGCAGGTAAGTCAGTCCATTCCACTTCGATTCTTTATGTTAACTTCACAACCTTTGGTCCTAGAAATGTAATTCTATGTTTAAATGAAAGTTTAGATTCTGCTGTATGTTGTCTTTTTGGAAAAGATGACTCTAAAACTACATAATATTTGAATACCTAAGATCTCTGAATGCCCAGAGAGTAATTTTTGTAATTGCAAAATCATACTTCAAAACCTGATCAGCATTTCTATAAAAGAAGGTGCTAGATAAATACCAACAATCAGTGAAATACATGCACATATATGTGTGTATATATATATAAAAATACATTAAATACATACTGTCTTTTCAGTTGATCCATTGATTTTTTTTCCTCTTCAATTCTTGCCTTTACAGCCTTGACAATTGTAGCCTGGAAAAGCTCAGCACCCCTACAGCAGAAATGGGGGCAGAAGAAAGGAAAAAAGGAAAGGAAACATTAAATGTTTCTAAGTTCCTTTATGCCAGCTAATCACAGAGAACTCTGTGTTCTCTCTGTACATGACCTCATCTGCATAAAACAAAACTAATCCAAGGCCTGAAAGAAATAATCAATTACTCCAGAATACCAATCTGTTTACAGTCAATCATTTCAAGATCTGGGGCCAAATGCTGTGATCCCTATTCAGCCTGGAAGTCCCTCTAGCAGCTATTCAAGGAACTCAGTTTCCAGTCCTCAAGGACACAGAACATGGGTGGGTTCAAGGCCGAGCTAGGACTTCTTGCACACCTCCAGGATTTGGTCTTTATAGTCATGTCAACGTTACAATCGCCTTGTCCCTCTGCCTCAGCCCCCTGGAAGTTGTGAGCAAAGTCCAGCTTTATCCAGGGCCATGACGAGCATAGCTTCAGCTTCACTTTTACCCTCTGAACACTACAGTGCTTTCAATCTGATGACACAAATCCTTGAACAAGTTTCTGGTGTGCCAAAAGAATACGGCTTCTAACTCCATTTCATTAGAAATGTAATTGACTCATTGATTTGGATGTCCAGATCACACATCTTGGCTATTCTTCATTATTCACTCATCAGCTCTTGAAGACTGTCAAAGAGCCTCGAAGTCTCTCTCAAAGAAGTAGCATAGATTTAAAGCCTTTCTTCTGTCAGGAATTCAGTAAGAACAGCTATAGTTTCAGAAGTCTACTTCTAATTAATTTTTCAACCATGTTTTCTGTGAGATTATTCATTCTTCCATGTAATACGCAGGATAACCACAACTACATTTTTTTCAAAGGAATACAATCAAGACTAGGCATCATTATTGTCCCCAAGTATGGTAAAGTACAACAAAGAAGCACACGTTCTCCTTAGCAACTTGATCACACCTGAATTCTTAGGGATTATTGAAAACTGTCACTGGATCCTCATTGCAATTGTTTGAATCACAATTTAATCTTATTTAGGTGAGGTATTTGTTTTTCACAGTATTAACTTTAACTAGAAGACAGGCTCAGACCATGCTGTCTGAATCCAAACCTGACCTTCTCCATTGTCCATGTAAAGCTTGGATTTTAGCAAGGCAAGCAGCTAACTAAAAAAATTAATTATATCACTTTATTTATATTACCCTCCTTCCTGTAATATCTTGGCACTTCCTGGTCATTAATACATTTATCTTTACAAAGCTCCTGACATAGGCCAGCACGTCTCCACTTCTGCTGCTGGAGAACTCAAGCGTGGGTAGGTTCAGTAACTTACCAAAAGACACAAAGCTGGAAGTAGGAACCAAACCTGTTTCTTTCAGCCCAGGCCAGCACCTTTTACATGAGCCTGCTCTCTCCTTCTGGATGCAAACTTTCCAATTTAGGAGGCATTTGGATACTCATGATTTTGCTTTGTGCTATTTTCACTGTGAACACAGCGTACAAAAAAAGCTACAAAAAGGTGGTATCCAGCAATCTTGGGCATCAGTGAAATTCACCCCAGAGCAAAAGTCTGAAGGACAATATGGGATGGAGGTATAAATCTTTTGGCAGCTCTGTTTACAGTGGTGAATTTTGTTCAGTATGGGCAGATAAACATGTCCCCTTTTTAAAGTAATCCCTGGAGGGGGGAGAAGAGGAAGATAAAAAATACTTCCTTTCAGGACATGCAAGTCAAATTTTGCCCTCAAACACAGACAGAAATCAATGTCCGCATGTTTTTCAGGAAAAAAGAAAAATGCCACAATACCTTTAATCCAGTATTGACAAAAATAATTCCTTAGAAATCTTACTGAAATTAAAATCATAATTTCATTCCTGATCTGCCTTCTTATTAAAAACCACGTGAATGGTTGTGCTAGTGACAGCTTTGAGCGGATGCTTGTGGGAAAGTGTAAATATCAGGCCCAAAGAGGGTGATACTTCCTTGCCACAGCTTGTCAGTGTGCAGTGATGTGACACTTCCCGACTGTCTTCCTGATGATCTTCCCAAGCTAGATGCCATAACTTTCCTGTATTTTTCCTCACGTAACGCTTCTGGAGTCGTGATTTGTAAGGCCCATTGTCTCAAACAGGCTCTGATAGCAGAGTGTTTTCTTTCCAAGGCTTAGAAACTCTGCCATTTGCTCTCATACATATTGATGTGGAGAGAATGCTGCAACACACACCAACTTTCACAGCTTTTAATAAGGGCTGAGAGCAGCAGATGCTGTTTGGTAGGAAAGATGGTTTAATTTCTATCAGGTTCTCATTTGATTTGTTTTCTCATGTGTTCTTTCTCAGAGTTGGGTTTGCAGTTATGAATTTAGCATGGATTGTTTAAACCAACGTTAAAGGACTATTTTGGTACTATCTATTGCAAACAAGTAAGTACTGTAGCCATGAGACACTTGAGCGGTTTCATTTAATTTTTTAAAACTTTATGTTACCTTGATGCTAGGATCTGAGAAGCTTTTATATCTGCAACCACATGCAGGAAGTAGTAACTCATGAAGACTCTCCTTTGCAGCAGCAGGAAAGCAAAACATATACTGTCCCAAATGATTCCTGCTTCTCCACTGGGCAGTTTACAATCTAGATTGTTGGTTGCTGGAAAAAGACACCATCAGCATAAGGACTGTTAAGTTTTCTTTTATAATGTTTAACCAATTAAATAATCTTAGCCTTTAAAATTATTTGAATTGAGGTAACTTAATTAGATTTTTCTTAAGAAACCTGACATGCATTTCCATTTCAAGTGTACTGTATTTCCTTTTACAGCAAACTGGAAAGCTTCCAACAATGTGATAACACATGAAAACTGAGAATTCACTAAAAGTGAGCCATTTGCAAACGAATTCACCCTATCCTAACAAGTACTTGAAAATAAAGAATGGGAAAAAAGTATTTTTTGTTAGCCTGAAATATTTGATTTCAGTATTTCCTAAAATGGCATGTTTCAATTTTTTTTTCACTTCAAAGTGACATTCTGTCTCATTGTTCTATTAAGAACACTGTCAACATGAGAAAGAAGTGTTTTATTTTTGACAAAATAATTTTTTGATTGCCACCATCTAATATTTTTATTTTTCCTCTCCACAACTCAGTTGAATGTTTCTTTCCATTGCATAAGAGAAAAAATATTTGAAACCACAAAACTGCTTCCTTTGGGGTAGGAGAAGACAGGCAGAGAGGAAATCCCATTCCTCCGACCTCCAGATTTTGGCTTGGGCTATTTCTTTCTTTCTCTTTCTTTCTTTCTTTGTTTCTTTCTTCTCTAAAAGACAGTTCTCTTGGGGATATTAAAAAATTAAAACTGGGTTTTGTGGAGCTAGACTATAAACCAAGTAGCCTATGCTGCCCTACGGAATGGAATAGAAGGACTCAAGGGATAGACTCTGGCTCGAAGCTGGCTTTACAATCAAGTAAGCCAGTCTAATAGGTCTGGAAGGTCAGGCTCCAAGAGCATCAAAGCCTGCTGTGCCCTTCCCGTGGGGAGACAGAAACCTGTGTCTAAGTTGCTGCTCAAAAAGTTTTGGATAATACAAGAACTACTGGGAAGCATTTATCTTGTGAATTTGCCTCTTCATATTTCCTTTCTTTTCCCCTACTCCCCACTTATCTATTAGGATCAGACATGAAGACAGTAATTCAGAACTTTGCTGGTGACTCACTAGGATGAAATGATTCTTTAAATTCAGCAAAAGACACAGAAAAAAATCAGGTGTTTTCAAACCATCAATTCAGGGTTGCTCTCTGTAATTCATTCCTGCCTTCTCTCACTTCCATCCAGGTACGCTATCCACTCCCTCCCTGTTATCACCACAAACACGAGACTAACTGTAAAAAAAAAATTGCCCAAACTCACTATGACTGCAAAAAATGACCACTTTTATGCTGGCTTAGCCTCTTGCCATTTCAGTGAGCTGAACTGGTTTACCCTTTGAGGAACTGAACGTAAGACCTGGCACACAGGGAGGAGTGGGAGTCTGCAGCTGGGAGAAGGTGCCTTCTCCTTGCAGTGATGGTGAGTGACATTTTAGCTCAAGTTGTACAGTGAAACTGTACCTGCACACACAAGGAAACTGGGTTAAGCGCTGGTATCACCAAATTGTCCATTTACAGCAAATACTGGTTGTGGGTGTGTGTGCGGGGGGTTGATAGCTCTCTCAGTATATGTATCTCCTTTGGTTCTATGAAATATTTTGAATATTCTTTCTTGCTAGTCAATATAGGACCAAGCTGTATCAACTGAACTTGCAGGTATATTTTCACAAAGTAGTATGTCAGGAGGGGGCACAACTTAAATACGGTAGAAGATTTTGAAGGTGATTATTTATAGAAAATTATGAAGAAAAACGAGCTATACTTACGAATACGGTAGCCTTTAACTGTACAAGCCAGGCTAAATGCCTGAATCAACCAGCAACTATTCTTAATTAATGATTCAATGTAGCCACATGCTCCTATCTGGAAAGTAAAAGAACAGTTTCATGTAACAGAACATAGCAGAAATAAACATAAGTATTGCACCTCTTTACATTACAGGAGAATATTGTGACTGCCATTGGCTGTATTATATCTCATTAGTAAAACAGAGATTAGAAGAAAGAGGTCTCTTTACCAGTGACACACATCACTTAAATAGCAAGAATTTGTTCTTTTGACTATCAGTGAGATAGGAGGTATGCGGGTTTTGTTTGTGTTTTTGCAGAGAAAGTGATATGTCTGGCACATGATGCAATGTGACAGCTAAGCAACTTTTATAAATCACTGACTTAATCTTGCAAACATACATGGACAAGCTTAACACACGCGTAGCTCCACTAAATTCCCAAGCATAAAATGAAGCACATATGTAAGCATTTAGAACATTTGCAAATTCAAACCACCCATAAATCAATTTTATTTCAGTACAGTGACTTATATAAATGTAAAGAGAAAAATGTCTGCTTTTTTCAGTCCAGCACTAAAAATGTTCAAAGCTAAAAAGCAATTGCCAGGAATAAATCTAAATTTATCTTTCAGAAAGATTTAAATTACTGGCTTGTCTCAATCACTTATCAGTGCCACTGCAAGAATCCACTCTAAAGAATTAATTAATGTAAGAAAATCTTTAATATTTTGCAGAAGAATTTGACATTTAATTATCAAATATATCTGTTTTCACCTGAATTTCACACTAGTTCTAAAGAAAACAGGAATACAGTTTGTAATTTTGTAGTCAACTTCGCTAATTACATTACATCACACAACAACTGCATCTAGTGCTAGGCTTGAAAATTCTGGTTTTAAAGAAAAGGTTTAATTAAATGTGCACTATTTATCGACGGTATGACTAATTTTGCACTTCTTACTCATTTCTCACTCCACTGAGATTTTCACAAGACTTGTAAGGAAAGACTTTACTAGGGAAAGAAACCAGAACCTTGCCCTTTGAAAAGAGCTTGTGAGCTTTCACAGAGCCCGACTGAATACAAGGGTGCACATTTTCTTATAATGTATATGCATTACCATTCCCTGGATATGCACTTGCGGTTTCTGAATTAAAATGGAGCCTGCTTTGTGCTTGCAGAAGGCTGTGGTCCTGAAAAAGGATTTTTAATGACCACTCAATGCACTGTGCACACTTCCAATGAAACCAAAGCGCTGAGGGCAGAGGAGAGACAGCAGCTACTTACTGAGAGGATGTTCTTCATTGTGATCACGAAGACATTGTAGGCAATCAGCCAGTCCCAGTAACGCAGAATGCTCCTGATGGGCTTCAGCAACAGATCTCCACCAAAGAGAAGGAAATAAAAGCAGGCTACCAAGTAGCCCATACAGAATATGCTGATCCTCGTGGTTCCCGTTATGAAGATTATAGTAAGCACAAACCAGAAGAGGTAACTAAATATTACCACTTTATACATATCTAAGTAGGACCTGGAAGGAAAAGAAGGAGAAAAAGTTACCATTTTCTGAGGGCAATGTTACCTTTCCTCTTTCTGCACTACTGGCTGACACTCGTGTCTATGGTCTTCTGAGCATTCTCATTCCGGTTGAGCATTTGTGCTCCTGCTCAAGACTAACACCAAAGTCAGTGGGTCTTAGCTCATTCATGGGTCTGCCTGCCTCACATGCTCTATTTTAGCTCATTCCTGTACATAAGCACCTTGCTACATCTGGTCAGGGCACTTTGCATCACGCAGGATCAAGCCTTGTATCATGAAAGGGGGGAAAACATGTTCTCACCCAACTTCATGATAGAGTGATATTATCTGGCAATGCTACCTATGCAATTTAAAAGCTATCTGAGATCATCTTTTAAGAAGTCTGAGCAATATTATAGCAAATGTATCTTAAAAAGCCAGCTACAGTACTCCACTGCAAACAATTCTGTATTTATTGATGACTTCTAGGGAATTCAGTCTGGTTAAAAGCCTAGTTTTCAAAGACAGCTGCTAAAAATATCTTTCTCCAATGGAGATGAACTGTAAAAGTTTTGAGGGGTAAAAGGTTTCTACAGAATGTAAATGTGATAGAATTTACTGAAACATTTGCCAGAAAGCTACAAGACAGAGCTATCTGAAATCAGCCTGGCCCGCAGTGGGAAAGAGTGAGAAACAATTTGGTATTTTCAGATTCCTGAAAATCTTGACTTAATATTGACTCAGTGAGCTTTCAAATAAGAATATCTGCCAAAAGCAATACCAAATACTGCATATAGCTAAACACTGCAAAACCAACTAATTCTTAGCTTCCCCCCATTTAGTGTTTTGATTCCAGATGTAACTGTGTTTTCAGGGTCTGTTCACCCAGGCTGCGAAACTAGATTTGTCAGGAAACCAGGCAGGGACACAGCACTATAGGAGTACACAGATACCTAAGCCAAACCACATAAGGAGTAAATGAACTAAACGCACTGTATGAAGCCACATAAAAAGGCCCCTGCTGCTTGACGTTCTCAGACTCAGAACTTTCTAGGAGTATGTATTTATAGCCCTACATTTATAGGCCTGGGTTATACATTTCACTTGCCGAAGCCAACCAAAAAGGCATTTAACGAAAGGTAACAAGAAAGCTCCTTTATGTTTACTTCCCACAAACATTTAAGAAATTTATGGACTATTGCCTGTGAAGTCTAGAAATGTCATGACTTTAGAGATGCTACTGGGTTTTGGGTGATAAAACATTAATGAAGGATCAATACACACTGGGAAAATAAAGAAGTGGAAGCCATCAGTTGAACAGGTCTTCACTAACTTAATATGCACTGGAAATGGTGCTCTCACTGTTTCTCCAGAACAAATGACCATAATATTTGGTGTTCCTTTAATAATCACTATTGATGCCTGGGATGGCTAGGAAGAGATCACCTTCCTGACACTGCTCTAACAATTGCAATATTTCAAAAATATTGCCCTCTGCTACCAACAAAATGAATCAGCATCTTTTGAGAAAAGCCCCAAATGGAACTGAATTGATCAAACAAACAGCAATATCCTAATACTCTTCAATAAAAATGGACTCTGACTCTTAAAGACAACTGGAACTGGCTGGATTCAAACCTTCCAACATATACACATGGCATTTGGTTGAGTCACAGTCAACAGTTATAATGGTATAGGTAGGTTGAGTGCTGTAAGAGCAGGAATGAAGATGTGTCTTGGCGAGGGAGTTTTCAACATATTGCCTCTCAAATCACTGGACACATTCTCAGATGCAAATCTTTACATTCTGACTCAAACCCCAGAAAGTTAGGAAGTGAGGAGTTTCAGTTCCTTGATCTGGAGATTATAATGCAACAGTGGGAGACTGAAGCACAAAGCCACTCCAACAGCCAAAAAGACCCTACACAAACCCAGGTCAGTAAGGGTGCTTACCCTCTGTTTGAAAACTTCTTCATAGACAGCACAAAATGCTTAGTCTTGGATAGCATATACCATATTTTATGCTTTCATGGCAGACCACACAGATCATTAATTTAATGCCATGTAAACCTTCCAAACCTCATCTTCTAAGTGGTCTTTAAATCTGCATCCAGTCACAGAAAGCAGAGGCCACCCTCAGGATGTGGTATTTAACAATACACCTAAAAAATCTGAGCAGCTGCCTCCCAAGGGGACCATCCCACTCCCCTTCATCCCCTCAGCTCTGTATTCCAGCCCTTTCTTTGGCTTTGGCTCTTTGAACTGGTTTCAAGAAGCAAATTTGCAAAAGCCTATTTATTTTGGGGGAGGACAGAAGGAAGAGATACTTTTCTGTCCATTCAGCCTATGAACCAACTCACTGCTGGTGTGATGATTGCAAAGGTGGGAGACTGTAGCTGGAGGCCAGGAATACAGCCACAAGTCTGAGGAAGGTTAGCCATTACACCAGTGTACCAAGAGCATCAAACTATGGCTTTTGGTAACATGATAACCTCTGAATGAGAAGTTATCCGGAAGAAGCCTGAAAGATGAACAAAAAAATAAAAAATGTTGATTTGCCAACTGTGTTATTGGCAGAACGCACTGATACTCTGGATAACATTTTGGAAAAATTTACCATATCACTTTGCTCAAAACCAAAGAAGACAAAGTCTGAAGTTCATTCCACCCATCCATCAAAGGTATTGTAACCTCAGATCGCTCTCCGTATCAAATGATCTGCTTTTCTCTACTAAAGCTTCATTAGTCTTATCACGATTGCTTCAATATTTTATTTCCACAGGAATTAATTTATAACTGTAACACAATCCAGTCAGTTGCAAAAAGATTGCTCTAGGTGTAGTTGTTTTCCCGGAATGCCCAATAATGTGTCTGGCTATGGCCAGTCCAGTGTCCAGACCTCTGCCTGCAGGCACTGAGAGGTGCTGATGCTGCAGCTGACAACCCCTTTGAGGAAAGCTGTTTGTCCTCAGCCAGCACTTTGAAGTTTAGGGAAAGAACACGCTTCTGCTTACATGCCAGTGAGAGCCTGTCGTGCTGTTGCACTGACCGATATAGCTCAATGCTGCTTCATGCTGGAGGAGCTGCTGTTATGCAGCTTCATTGCCTTCCCTTATCAACCACCTGTTTTGCTTTGAGTGTGGCTACCCCACCTCCACATAACCCCAAGACTCTTCCCACAGCCCTCTCTGATGACTACCCTGTTCCTCTCCTCCAGGCATGTTATCCCTAGATATATGCATTCTGTAAGCTACCCCTACTCCCCAGATTTCTTCTTTTCTTCCCCTCTTCCCTCTCTCCTATTCCTTACATTCTTAGCAGCCTGTGTGACCCTGCGTTACAGTCCATTTCCCCTTCTAATCCCAACATCGCGGATTTCTCACCAAGCCTCCATCCCCAAAGCCCTTCCCTGTAGCTCCATTTCAGCCTTCAGAAGGCCATTTCATTGATTTTGCCTTTGCCAATAGCAACATCAAACCTTCTGAAAATTAGCTCCCTTATTTCAATGGACTTCTTCAAATTTAGTGCTGTGGATCGTATAGGTCTTAGTCTCTACCGTTGCTGTTGGTCAAGCCCCCTCCAAGGACTAATATTCTCTTACTCTCACTAGTGAGGTCCTTCCTTCATGCTTCCATCTGCTTTAAAAATTCCCAAATCCAAAGCTGTGTTATTTGTTGAGGATCATTTTATTAGTAACGAAATGTTTACCTGCTTTGTACGACAAATATGACAGGAAGCCTGTAATGATGATTTGCAGATCCTCTCTCACTAACCTAATTTAGAAGAAGTGTAGTTCCAAGAAAGGCATTACAGCAGCCTTTGAGAGACTTCACCTGACTCACTTGGTGATGGTTCCCAGGGTGCAGGTATTAAAGGGTACAGTTCAATGACTGGCTGTTCATATTTTTTCTGCTCTTAAGAGAAAAAAAGTATATTATGATCCCAACTTTTTCCCTGTCAATGTCTAGGAGAACGTCTGAAAACTGCTTGGGAACTGAAATGAGAATTTTCCAGCATTAGAGACTGTGGGAAAGGATTATGCTCAGTGAAGTCGCTTTAAATCCTGTTTCATTTTAAAAGCTCCTACGTTTATTCTTCATTTTTATTTCTGTTTCAAAGCCCTTTGGTTATGCTCTCCCTTGGGGTCAAGCATATATCCCCTGAGAAATCTGGGGGTGGAAAGACAAGAAAATTTCAGGAAATCTCTTCCTTAGACTGTATTTATCATTGTTGAACTCAAGTATTTCTCCAGAGAGAAGAAAATCAAGCATTTGGAAATATGTTCTTTTTCTGCCACTGTTTATATTGCAGTTAAAAGGTTTTTATCCATGCCTTCTAGAACAGTGACCAACTAGCATCTTCTCAAGGGAAGAGGCATTTCAGAAAGGGTGCTTCGGTCTGCAACTGCTACTTCTTTTACATGGCAGCAAATACACATCGGGCTTCTCAGAAAACACATGAATACTAAGCAGTCATTCGTTTTGTGCTTTGTAATTTATTCATAACCAGGTTGTCTTCACTTATTTGTTTGGCTTTTTCTGACTGACTTCTGGAGAAATTTTTTTCACTTGCTTGGATAAGCTTTGAACCAAGTTCTTGTCCATGTTACTAAATGTTTACTCCATTCTGAAACTTTATATGGCAAAGTGCAAGAAATGTTTTTAGACAAAGCCCTTTCAGTTCCAAATTGTCTTGGGTGGAGGCCAGATACATACATTTTCTTCTGAGGTATATCTTCAGTGGATTCTCCAGAGCTTGAGAATCCTTCTTTTTAAAGATTTATAATCCCTAATAAAAGATTCAGTCACTTTAAGAGACTGTCAGCCGTTCTCTGGTGCTTCTTTGAAGCAAATTAGGCATTTAAGATTGCATATGTGCAGTGCAACCTCTCAAAAATAACATCATCTAAAGCCTGGGAAAATCTGCATTGTCGTGAAAGCATTGAAGGAGATACTTAAAGGCTCAAAGAAAGGAAAGATACCATCAAGAACACAAGATCTATTATGCAGTTCATACTAAAGGAAGGTCTGTTTATACCTATATACACCATTCTACAAGTATGTTCCCATTACAGATTCAGGAAGCTAACACTACAAACAAAAAAAGAGAAGTTACAGCTTACCTGCCTGAGCATCTACAAGAAAGGATATCATAAACAGGAATTTCCTCTGTTCCTGAAATTAATGGATTGTCTATTCATTTGATGGATTTTTCAAACAATGTCCCTGTTCTGTTTCATTCTCTGCCTCATTCTTTTCATTCTACTTCTTATTCACACAATATAAAACTATCACATGAAACAGTGGTACAGCTTTCCGTATTTAGCTGGAACAAGTATAAAGTGATCGTAGTTTATTTGTTCAGCTCACCAATACTGATGGGATTCTTTGATCTGCTGTTTTTTTGTACTCTCCTCCAGCAATATTACTTACTGCTCAATACAAGTTGCAAACTCCCAATTAAATGGTTGCATATCATTAATCATCTATAAAGAGGTCTATTTTGTCAGCACATGCCAAGCAGTGTGTTTGAATGGATGCGATGCCACCAATGACTTCAAGCTGATGCATACCATGCATATGAACCAAAACACAGAACTTAACCCAAAGGATTGTGGAGAGGCAGCAGGCCAGTTCAGCTTGGACTTTGCTTTCCATTATAAACCTGACTCTGATTCCCATCCAAAATCTTCAAAGGACATCCTCTGTGCTTCAAACTTTTCATGCTTGGCCATTTAGGAATATCTTCTACAGATGACCAGAAATACCTGTCAGATTCTGGAGAACTTTGAAAAGATGCCAAAAGAGGCTGTTTAAAAAGCAGTGATTTTCTTGCCTCTTTTTCCCTTCTGAAGATAGCCTTAAAACACATTCTTATCATTAATCAGTTTTTTTTCACAATGATTTTTTTTTCTGGACTAAGGGGGAAAATTCGATCTTCTCTTTCTGGTGTCACCAGTGATGGCCTTTGCCAGTGACCAGTCACATTAGTGTGCCTGATGCAACTGCTGTATTAGCTTTCGCTAAGATGGACGCCACTGCAGTGGCAAGATAAAACCTCAGGCAATCCCCCCTACACGTTCCTCTCAACCAAACCCTATTTGGCAGAAGTCTTTTGGAAAGCATCCCCACTTAATGGAGCATTTTGAAGAGAGATTATGACTTCTCTCTTTCTGCTTATGTTACTGGACCTAGAGCACTGGGTCCACTGTGTCAACTGGAAATAGTCAAGGGTGAGAACTGTTCACCCTTTGCCCATGAGTGACTATAAATCTCTGGACAAATGAGTCAATTGAATGTGTTTCAACGGTCTCCTCTTCAAAGCTATTTCAAGATAGATTTGGCCACCATTTCTAACAGAAACACCAGGATCAGCTTAAAGATCTTGAGAAGGGCTTCTGGTGACAGCACTTCTCTGGTAAAAGAAAAATTTATGAGCAAAAAGGAGATTTTGCTAGATATTAGTTCAATTTTTTAAAATTTCTTTCACACTCAGACAGCTGTTGGTAACATGCACTCACAAAACAAACACCTAGTTTGACAAAACACAACAGCTAAGAAATCTTACTCTTCCCATATAATCTTGTAATACTGCGTCAAACTTTCAGAGACAACTTCAATTAAGAGTACGCCCAGCACAACTCAGAAGAGCTGAGCTTATCTGTGTTTGCTGAAATGATCACTTAGGGGTGGCTCCATTGTTTGAAGACCATTCAGAACAGACTGTCTCAGGCTCTGCCCCCTTTTTATATTATTCACTTTCTTAAACAACCTTACATGCAATGTTGAGAAACAGGAAGACATGCCAGTTGTCCTTCCAAGACACTTTTAAGGTTCTTATGCCTAGATGAAATAGCATGAAGGACAGTCTCTTATATTAGAGTATTATTGTAATTGTACTTAGGTAACCATTCAGCAGGACATGAATGATGACTTTGTGGGATTAAACACGTACATGGGCAAGTTAGGACTACAATGGATTCTTGCTAACATGCCTACGTTTTGGGGGAAGCCACCAGACTGATGAAGTCCACCATAAACACTGCCCCACAGGGCATTCATGGAGGGAATACATGCTTTCAGGCAAATTTATCACTGAATATCGCTCTGGGGAGAACTTAAAACAATCAGCAGTGTTAGGAAGACTTGTTTTTATCTGCCCTCTTCTAACCCAGAAGCTAATTGCTCAGAAGCTAACTATCTGCTGTCTCATACAGCAGTGAAAGGTATGTCATGAGATGGGAACATACACGAATATAAATTCCAAGTAAAATTGGAATCTGTGAGAGTTACTTTCACACTAGAGAACTTTTACAAAAAGGAAGTGCTGTTATTTTCTACGTGTTTAAGATTCAGTTCTTACCGGCAGTGAATGAAGTCAGGAACAGGATTATGCTGGCTAAAAGATGCTGCATCAAGGTTCATGCAAATTTCCACATTGTCTCCAGCCATGATTCGTACTGCAGCTTTATTTTCATCCTCAAATGTCTGCCTTTGTAAGGACGCACACAGCAGCAACATGAAATCATCTAGGAGAAAGCAGCGGTTGCAAGGAAAAAGTCAGTAGTAAACTTAGGTGTAGGGAGTGATGGTGATATGCTATGATGTAGTTACCAGACTGTTTTCACATACTTTGAACCTCCAAGACTGTGCTATTTTCAACGCATTTAACACAGATTTGAAATTTATTAACTTTTTTTTTTTAACCTGTCATCTTCTACAATTTTTACTGAGAAGAAAAGGGGAAATAATTCATACTTTTTGATGCCACTTCATTAAAAATGGGATACGGAAAAACAGATGCAGAAATTACTAATTCTTTGAATTTTTCTACTACATACAAAGCCACACTTAGTATTTAATCCCCCACAGAATATGTCAGCTTGCTACTGAAGACTAAATAAAAGGCTGGCTTTAAATTACACTGCACAGATGTTTTAAGCAAAGGACACGTAAACGCTTCACAACTACGTGCTAAAATGCTTACAGACAAGGAAGACAGGGTTTGGTCTCACAATGAAGTCTGGAAAGTATAACCACTTTATGATGTTGGAGTTGAAGTTGGCATTACCACTTCTCCATGGATAGTCTGTATGACAGAAGCACACAAAAATGCAATCAGTACTTTATAACAATTACTTCATCCTTTTCTTCTGAATATTTATCAATTTTCCAGCACTATTCTGTAAAACCAAGCAGCAGTAATTGTCCATAAAGGGTAAGTGTCCCTACCTTTACAAGGAGCAGGTGGGATGCCAATGCAAAGGAAGTACTGGAATGTAATGATGCATGCCAGAAAACAGCAGTATTTTGGCCAGATCTCTGCAATAGCTTTTCTTCTACGTCGATACAATACAGCAATCAGCCAGAAGGCATGAATCATGGCATAAAAATCCATTCGTTGACCAATTACATTCACTGACAGAAGAAAACAGGTCTGGAAAAGAAGTAAAGAAATATAAGCAACATTTGCAACCTCTGGCTAGGCAATGCAGCAATGATAAACTATTCTGGATCCCGACAGAATGTTTGGACATGTGCTGGGGCTGACTGTGGAACCCTGTGCAAACCAACACGCTAAAACAGGTTGTATCTCTCCAACAGCAACCTCCCCCACCCCAACACCCCAAATTTTTGATACTCTTCTATGACTGTCAGCTACATGAATACAGCACTAAAGCAGGTTTCCATTATGTGATATCTAAAGATACAGAATGGAAAGAGCATTGTCACAGTAGCCTATATGTGAAATGTTTAATTGTTGCCAAGCAAAGCACATATTACACAGCCATATATTTTGATAGCACTTACAGATGTGAAAAAGAAGAGGAACTATTAAGAATAGCAACAACTAAAGTGTATCCTCATGTGGGAACCAGACAAAAAGAAAAGGGATTTAGACCATACAACTTCTATTGGCTATAGACAAATCCAGTCAATTCCTGTAAGGCAGCTTTAGTTCTCTATTACTCTAAAGGCTCTGCATCCCAGAGCATTTCTGTTCTTTGGCTCCACTTAAAGTAGTCCCTTCAGTCAGTGCCATGAAGCATGTTTTCAAACTTATTCAATAATTCATAGTGAATCATTTATTCAGTGCACTTCACTATTTTGATTTTCTCTCTCCTCAGATTAGGATGAGGTTAAATTTATTTCCTGAAGGAAACAGCTTGCTGATTAATTTTAATTTTCACTCATTCTTAATCGTCACACTGGCTGTGAAGTTTACCCTCTTTATCAGTAGCAATGGGTGGTAGTATTTAATAGATAGGTCAAAAGCATCATTATGATTAGATTTGGGATGCATTAGCCTAGGAGTTGCCTTCTTCAGATAGCCATAGAAATTTGTGAAAAATCACTTTCTACAAACGTTTTTGAAAGCTTTTTCTTTTTCTTTTTTTTTTTTTTTGTTGGCACTTCTTCAGCAATAGCTTGTCTTCAAGGCAGGTTCAATTCTGATGTTTTGCTGCTGGAGTGGGTGAAGCAGATAGAAGGAATACATTATCTGAGCTTAAACCCCAGCAGTCTGGGGCACTGCTGCTGGCTAACAGACAAGCAGATCTTCTAATAAACAAGACACCGACCAGATATGTAGGATACATCATGGATCTTTAGAAAAATCCCTTCTCTCCTTTCTACCTGCCTCTCCTAATTCTTTGTGTGTTTTTTGTCTACTGAAAAGTTCTTTGGAGGAAGAACTTTGTCTTACAATAGTGGCACAAAGCAGCAATAACCTTTGCTGGAGCTCTTGCTCCTGCAGATTGCTAACAGCTATAGTAACATGTACAAAAAAGAAGGATGCATTTGTACAGCCAGAGGCAAAAGAAGCTTAGAAATGTTTAAATAGAGCAATGGCCTGCTAGCCCCTGCTTTCTTCTGCTGCTCCTGCAGTCCCTGGTTCCCTCTGTGCGTGTGTGCATGAGAGGGTATGCCTCAATTCTGTCCCTTGTCCCAGCTGTTATCCCTTTTTGAGTTATAAATAAGACATACAAAGAAAAGAAAGAGGAAAACCACTACTAGCAGATAGAGAGCAACTGTGATAAGGTCTAACATGAGTGATGACTAAGAAGCATCCAGCTGTCAAAACATAGTTCAAGCTAGTATTCAAAAATAACACAATCAAAAGGTTTGGAATGATAGTCTAAAGAAAATTAATATATAGTGATTTACCTCCAACCCAAATTTGTAGAAGAAATAGTTTATGAAATATTTGACACAGTTTACCAGTCCATCATCCAGATGTGCTCTCGTAATATCATGGAAAATGGTTTTCGTCACAGGTGTGGTAAGGTTATTTCGACACCTGTAGTACTCTTGATGACGGTAGATTGTAACTTCAAAAGCCAGAATAGCCAGCATCAGTAAGTTATTCTAAGGGAGACACAATCAGAAGAATATTAAATAAAAATCAAAACCACAAGAAGTTATAAAATTTTCAGATAAGCATAAACCCATGAATACTCAAATGGATGTTACAAGTGAGCACTTCTGCGCTCCAGGATGTGCTGACACCTATTCCAGGCTACTGTCACTGAAAAAAGTAAGGGTCCCACCACTTCTTGGATTTTAATGAAACATACTGACGTTTATTAAAAAATACTATAATGAACACTACTTGTGGAAAGGAAGGGGAGGAAAAATGCATTGACCCAACCATGTGCCCGCTCATGTTTCATAGCTTCTCTTAAGATATCATGCTTTGCTTTGCAGGAGATAGAGGATACAAGCATAGACCAAGTCGTCTGCAGGGGTTCAGCTGGCAAGCACTAGCTTCCTAAAACTGCAAGGATGCTGGGTAGTGCAAAGAGATGCTGGATACTCTTTCAAATGAACAGTCTATCTGCCAGTCTTCACTCAGGCACAGCTCTTTCTGTCCCAAAGCCAGATTTACTGGGATGCAGTCTTGAGCGGCTCTGAAGTGAAGTTTTTTCTCTCAGGAGGGAGATCTGCCCTATGCTCAATAGAAGAGAGGTATTAACCAACTCCAAAAGTCAGTTAAAAAGACCAGCTCAGAGAAAGTACCTCAAGGAAGCCATAACTGAAGCTGAAGAGGCAATCTCTAGAACTCTGTTCAGTGAGAAATATTTGGACAAGATGTCCTTAGACAGGTGCCACTGTTTTTTTTGTTTTTGTTTGGCTTTTGGGGTTTTTTTGACAAGAAATTATTTTTGCTTGCTGTTGCTGGGCTTCCTCTTCTTGTTGGGGAGAGTTTTACACAATCCATCATAGATAGGCTCCTCACTTCAACACTTCAGACATTTTGAGTGTTTGTTATTAAAGGGGGATAACACAAGTACACTGAGACTTGAAGCTTGGGACCTTCAGGTCTAGCACTGAACTGAATTCTTCTATCTAGAGGAGACATTTTATTTGCTAACTCAATGAAAACCCTTCTGGAATAATTTCTAATCCCAAAGTATTATCTATTTATAGCTGTAAAGCTCCTAGCATCAAGCCAGACACCATTAGGCAACTTCACTCTCAATGCAGAACTCTTGGGTCAGTAATTGCTGTTCCCCACATAAGTTCTTAACTGTGGGAGAGGCACGGCAAAGGGAGTGACAGGCAGAGGCACTACCAGGGCCTGATGTATTGACCGTCAGAGCTCGGCAGGTCTTCCCTACACAAACAAAACACACAGAGTTAAGCTCTCGGGGAAGAAATGAGGAATAAATCTAGTTAGATCAAAATTTGCTGTTGTTCAGTCAACAAATTTCTGACAACCTTTAACTGTGTATACAGAATTTTAGAGATGCTTCAAACTAAGAAGACATGTGCAAGGTTTCCCCTGGGAGCTGGCACATTTTTATTGGAAGTAGGGTTTTTTAATCAAGACAGGAATAATAAAATATTGCTCACAGACATCAACCAAAAACAAGAAGAAAAACAAAAGACAGCCATTTTCTAGTGTCTTAATGAATTATTCCCTTAACTTATTACATTTTCTAAGCTGTGGCTAAGGAATAAGCACTTAAAAAAATTAACTGCTTATAGCATATACTGTCATTCAAGGCAATTACTCCAATTAGACCTATCAGTCCTTTGGTACCCGAAAGCTACGTACCTCTTAATTACTCAGAGTTCTTAAATATCACATTTCTTAGAGTGCTTTTAACAGATGGTAGAGTCAGAAAGCCATACTTCTACATGCAGATTATCTTAATTGGCACTGAATCCCTTCTGGAAATGTCCTGTGTAAAAGCTATGGCTTTCTGCTGCCTCTTCCCCTCCATATTTCCCTCTTATCAATGGCTTGCATTACAATTTTTTTGTGTGGCAGATGATTTATTTCAAAGACATTGCTAATTTCATCACAAATAAGAAAATATCTCAATACAGATAATTAAAGACGTTACCCTTAAGTACACAAGCAGGGGATAAGACTTCCTCAGTCCAACCCACTCTGCAGGATCAACCGGCCCACTGTAGAGGACTGAGGTCTTGAGTTCTTCTAAATTGACCTTAGTTTCATTCTCCCCTGGCTAAAAACAAAATGCAACAGTTTATAAAAAATGAGTTTAAGGCTGCTTGAGGAAGGAATGATAATCAACAATAATACATCAGGTGAACTGTAGTTTTCAGTACTTGATATGCTTCCTTTTGCTCTTCTTCACTGAAGAAGGCAGCAGTCAAACCTTTTTAATATGCACTTGTACTCACCAATGTACAGTTACTGGAAAAAGTGCTGGGATCAATAGATGTGAGCTGGTACAACATTTTGCAGACAATAATCACACATGTCCAAACAGTGCAGATACTTGATGCCAATGGGCGAAACTGAGCATATGGCAAAGCAAGAGCCCAGGCAATTAAAAACACAAAGTTAAACAGAGACACCTGAAAACATAAAAACAGGATGGAAATTACATGGAGTAACAACAGAACTGAGAAAGTATGACCTTTCCCATAGTAATTAAAAAAGAATCATTCAAAAGAAAGGGACATAGAGTAACCGTGAGAAAAATACTAAAAAAAAATTACAACAATATTCACAATAACGGACACAAAGTGGTAGGTGAAGAAGGAAAAACTTAATAGTCGGTTTAGGAAGAACGTCATCTCCTACGTAATATTAATACTGTTAGACCCTAAAACTGCATACCCACCCTATAAACAGACATGAAATACAAAGGACCACATGCTGGTTCTGCTGCTTTAGTACACACGAAACAAAGAAGATGACACAGATCTGTATGTCTGTGGAACCCACCTTCATGTTCTTGACCATCTTCCTCCCAAAGATGTGAGAAAAAGTATTTTTTATTTTGTTTTCTAGTGAATCCTGTCCTACTACCCTGTTCAAGGAATAGCAATGTCAGGTAGAGAACTCACATTGCCCACACCAAAGGCACAGCTAAAGGCATTGCTCCCTTTTTCTTTAGGTGTAGTTCCACACTCCGGTTTCTTCAGCACCAGACCCAGTTTAAGTAATTTTCCTAGATGTTCCTTCCCAACCCTTTTCTATACCCTCCATCCCTGGATGATGCCCACAGCCAGCTTGATCCGGGGAGGGGTTACGTCTCTTGAGTCCAAAGAATTAGACTAATAAACCTTAATATCTGGAGAAAAGGGGAGGGCTGAGAATATCTAGGCAGGTAGAGTATCAGTGTGGAAGAAGATGTCAAGGCAGGTCCACAGCAGCTGACAAGGCCAGCTGGATCCCACAATTTCAGTGAGGTCTGACATGAGGAAGGCATCTCCCTACACTTGGGTGTGCCACTGCACAGCAGATGCTGACCAGCCTCTACTATGGGTAGCAATTTTGACAGCAGGCGTTTACTTGCCTCTTTCACTGTGACCCAGATGATATAAGAGGAAACAATTTTGATGATATGCAGCTCCAACAGCCACCACACAAAGACTTGCATCTTATGAAAATACTCCAGGAATTTCAAAAACAGCACTGTAAGGCGGTCGATCACCAGATGCCACTTGTTCCTTAAGTCTGCAGAGATGTTCAAGCAGAAGCATTGGGAGGAGAAAAACAGAAGGTCTGTGTAAAAATGAATGCTCCACTAGACATCAAGGAGCTTTCTAATTCTTCTCTTCTAGGCCTTAGAGTAAGACAAGGGGGAAATTAAAGCTGTGGCTCAGTGGTTAATGAAGACAAAATGGGGTTGAGGCCCACTTTGCTGTGGTGCTTTCCCTTCTGATCCACATTTACCGGATTCCCCACTTCAAAGTGGTGGTTGTGGCTTCCCTTGCTAGTTCTGCTTTTATTTCTCTCTAGCAGAGCCCTTCTTGGGCTCCATTTTCCTCCAGTATCTTTGGACTTAAGCTTAGGGATCCCATCCAGGGACTAGATCTGAGATGCTCCAGCCCTGGCCCTTATCCGGCTCAGAAAGAATGGGATTTTGTTTGACATTTGGAAGCTATGGACCCAGGTTGTTTTCTGAAAGCACAGACTACTGCTATTCAGAAAGCTTTTCAGCCAACCTGGAAGAGATCCATGCACACTAAGAGTAGGATTCTTGTCACATGGGTTTAGACAGCCATACTATAGATGTCTTCATATGTCACAGTTATCTAAACTGCCTGGCAAACAGCACACCCACCTAGAGTGTGATTTGTGCCCTCCCAAAACAGACATCTAGACCAGGCAAGGCAAACTCCGAGCTTTAGCAAGTTAAGATCCTGAAGCTGGGTGAACGTATCCTTCACAGACAGTATGTTGCTAAAAAACCCATCCTCCCAAATAATAGCCCAGTGAGCAAGCATGTGGCAACATCTATTACATATGAATAATATGACAATACATATGCTGAACAGTGCTCTCTAAATGCTGTATTTGCTTGTGGGCTGGCATAAAACTGTTTCACTAGGCTGGTATATATTAGTATAAAGTCTTCACACTGTATTAGAGGTTTCAGAAGCATTTTGGAGATTAGGAAGGATTTTGCATGCTGTGAGAACATTCTTACAGTTAACAACAGAGATGGAAACATTTGTAAATGACATCAAAACACATCTCTGTTTAAGCTGTAAAAATGCAAAGGATTTACTAGCTTCTGTATGTAATTATTTCTGCTTATCTGGTTATTTTATATATAAAGCAAGCTGAGATGGTTATTCTGTGCTTATTTGTGTGAAAAAACACATGCACACTTGTGTGCAAAAGCTGACTTTTGGAATACCTGACAAGCAAATTTCAATTATTTTTTTTCTTCTACACTTTTTCTCCAACCACAACTTAGAAAATGCTAATAAAAATGCTGAGTGATGTAAATGCTATGACTAAATAATTAAATTTGAAAAATTAATTAAGCTATAGAACTCTAATCCTTCATGTGTGCTTTTATAAGCATTAGTGTATTTTCAGAAAGTCTTTTTTTATAGAATTAGATGTTCTCACTCATTCTTTCATTGCATTTATTTTAATTTGCGGTGTTACCACCATGCAAGGTATATCCAGCCAGTGCCAGTTAAGTGGAACGGGGCAGGTAAGGTACGTAGCAAACTGTGTCTAGCATGTCCAGGCACTACATGGACAGGGGATAAAATATAAGCCTGGCCACATCCATTGAAAAATTGTACATCACTGTGTAATAAAGTCTGAACATGTTAAAATAATGTTAAAACTCCAGCCATATAGCTAAATAAAAATGATATGACTCTCCGGTAGAAATACACGCACGTACAGCTTAAAGATGGATCACACATGGCAAGGAGCATCTTGTGCTATTGCCAAGCCCCACTTGCCGGGGTGCAGAAGATGGCCCAGGGAGAGGGTTGCAGCTCCCCACTTTCCTGCTTGCATGTGTCACTGCACAGGGTAACCTCCAACAGCTGGCCTCTGTCCCCAGGCCTTTTCAGCATGTAGGGATGGCCAGAGTGCATCAAACTCATCACTCCTCTTAGACCACATGAGAGCTACCCAAGAAAGGTTTCCATGGCCCATGAACACCTCTATGAGGGAAGACGTTCCAGCCAGGAAAGACAGTTTCAGCTCAGCTCTCCTGGGGCAGCTAAGCCAGGTGTGCTGTCATTTTGCCTTGACAAAGACCCTGTCGCTATTTATGAGTCACAGTCCTATGAATATTGGCATGAGCAACTAAATCTGTGGTAAGGCCATTTCCAGACAATACAGCTTCCTTGGGTGTTAAATGCCCTTCCCTGGTTTTCACTCATGGCTCATATTCCAAACTGAGTTATGGAAATAATTCATGTTAGGAGTTCATCCTAGCAATATCAAGGATGACAACATCAGCCTTACCCACGTCTGCCCTTAAGTATTTTTATGTTCATCTGGCATCAATTACACACTCCATATTCAGAAGTGAAAAATATGACACTAATGTGCACATGAATAATGAAGCAAAGCCATTGGGACTTCTGGAGTGGAGTGCCTTGAAAGCATGCAGTATCAGAGATTAAATATGTATGTGTATTTTCTTTATTATAAAGAGATTTCACTCCAAAGGAGTTGTTAGGATTTGGGGTAACCTTCTATTAATCCAACCCAGACCACCTAAGAGAAAGAGGTGGGGTTTCTTTTGTTTTCATCCTCTTGGCATCCAACAGATACAGTATGATTTTTCCCTAGAAGAGACTATAGCTTCTTGAATAACTGACAAGTAGCCATCTGCTCAGTTCAGGCTCTTTTGGCAAAGACTGTATGTAAAATTAGAAGGAAAACCTGATGATTGAAGTGAGCGGGGATGACCAAGAATGAACCGTCTGTTGCCACTGTTAACTAAGGCTGAGAAAGGCAAAATTTGCAATCTTCAGAGCTTACCTGTAGTTTCTTCTTCCTCTGATTCACTGTCTTCATCATCATCATCTTCCTTGTCCTCATCTTTCTTTTCTTCTTCTTTTCCTTTTTCAACCCTCCCTTTCCCTCCCTCCCCCTCTGGCTCTTCCATTCTTTTCTCACCAGCCTCTTCCAGCATTTTATCCTCTTCCTTTTCTCTGCTGGCTGTTAAATTCATCATAGTTATGTCAGGCAGGCTTCCATCTTGGTGCACCAGTCTGTTGGTAAATAGTAGCATGTCAGCAAGCTCAGCAGTAATGACATTGTAGTCTTTTTCAAGATGTATAATTAGAAAAAATAAACCGTTCATGGAAAATGCCTTAGAAGTGGAAAAGTTAATGATTCTGGTACTTTCTCCAAACACACACTGCAAATTGAGTTGGAATGTATTAGTAACTACTTCTCACTCAGATACTAATGGTTAGTTAGTAATGAGTGATATTGACACTTAAACTTGACATTTTCCCCACCGGAGAAAATGGTCAGAGTTTAAGATGTAGAAGCATGAAATGACGTTGTTTAAGAGGAAACATTTCATGACTTCATAGGGGACTTACTCATTTTGGTGGTTTGGTATTTTTTTCTTGAGGCTGCTCAAAGTAATTGGAACAGAAAGAAAAAGGGAGATGAGAACAGAGGGGTTACAGAAGAGGTCATTGATAAATATGTCATGCTACATCACAAGTCATAAAGCATTCCCCTGCTCCATCTGCAGAAGCCTTCTGATGCCAAGAGCATGCCATCATGACATTCACAGGGCACTTCTATAAAGAAACATGGAATTGCAGCACAGATGGAAAGGGGGCAACCTATTTACACCAGTGCTAACCATGGTCAATGCTGTACCATGCTGTCAGTAATGCAGCTGAATCATGACAAGTATCTGACTGATTACTGTAAATACATTTCCACCATCTTCCAATTGAAAGATGCAGCTGGGAAGCCAAGGAATTTCCCAATTTTCTTGCAGCTATAGCCTTGGGAACAAATGAAAGCAAAAATTCCATGGCTGTGGCTTCAGTATATTTTATCATGTCTGTCTTTGATAGTGCCATTCATTCTCTCTCTCTTTTCTACATCTCTCACAGAATTTTTCTTAGATTTCTAACTGCCTCTTACTAAATCTATTTGTAATTTTCAGACTACCGAAACTGGGATACAACTGATTTAACACAGAAATGGTATTTCTCTATTACCACAGTGCCAATTTTTCTGAGATTTATTCAGCATATATCTTTTCTCTACTGAGAAAAGAGACATTGTCTTATGGCTTCAGGTATTTTCTTTTTTCTCCCCCAGCTGTGCTGTTGGGAGTCACCTCCCATATTTGCAGAAAGCCCACTTTTCCTAACTCCCTGATCCTGTCTTTTGCTGAGCACAGAGCTTACTACCATAAATAGCCCCTTTGAATAAGACTTCCTGCAATAAGGTCTCCCTTTGGCAAGTGCGTATCTATATGATCGGGTCTCTAAATGTTTAGTTACGCTATTGAAATTACTACACTCAGCATACTTTCAAGCACCTGTTAGACTGTTTCTGGACTAACGCAAGTAACTTTAATACGCTATAGTACCACCTTAGGGATTTATTTTTCATGATGTGAAATTCTGGCATATTACCATTTAGACAGGAAATTCTGCCAATTTTAACTAGAATTTTTACAGTTTGAGAAAATAAAAATCTAGATTTAACCATCTGATCATTAAAAAATAAGAGCACAGGCCAAGCAGTTAATGAGAAAGTCAAACAAGCAGAATTATTTTTCAAATATTTGGTAGTTGCAGTTTCTTCAAGATGGAAACTTTGGTGGTTCAAATGAAGGAAAAAACTACAGAAATTTGACTACACAGTAAGTAGAAATACCATACTGATTACCAGAAAGCAGAAAGATGGTTTAAAAGTAGAATTTTAACAAGACAGTTGTGGTAGGTTGACCCTGGCTGGGTGCAAGGTGCCCACCAAAGCCGCTCTATCACTCCCCCTCCTCAGCTGGACAGGGGAGAGAAAATATAACAAAAGGCTCGTGGGTCAAGATAAGGACAGTTTAATGACGTGAAAGCAAAGGTCGCGCGCGAAAGCAAAGAAAAACAAACGATGTTATTCTCTACTTCCCATCAGCCGGTGATGTCTGGCCACTTCCTGGGAAGTACATGTAGCGGTTGCTCCGGCAGACGAAAATGCCCCCCTTCCATCTCCCTTTACTTAGCTTTTATATCTGAGCTGACGTCATATGGTATGGAATATCTGTTTGGTTAGTTTAGGTCATCTGTCCTGGTTATGTCCCCTCCCAAGATCTTGCCCAGACCCAGCCTGCTGTTGAGGGGGGCAAAAATGATGGAGAGCCTTGATGCTGTGCCTGCACTGCCTAGCAGTAGCCAAAACATTGGTGTGTTATCAACACCTTTCTAGCTACCAATGCAGAGCACAGCACCGTGAGGGCTGCTATGGGGAGAACTAACTCCATCTCAGCCAGACCCAATACAACAGTCAAGCACCAAAAAAATCTCACTGAATAAAAACATTCCTGACTATGATTACTCAAACCCCTCATCATGGATTGGGCAATGAACCTTTGTGTCCAACAATCTGAAAATCTCTTATACACAACAATATATTCAGTAGCTTTGGCTACTGAAAATAGGGCTTTTTGTTCAATATACTTTATTTTCATATTTAAGCTATCATATATACTAATACGATATTCAAATCTCTGTAAAATGGCTAAAGAATATCCCCTAAAATGACATAATCTAACTTCACATATCTACCTAAAACTCTAATACCAACAGGACGGTCATGTATAAAGAAGAGAGAATGAATTTTCAGTTCAGTTCAAATGTTATGGAGATCCCCAGTTACTATAAATCATCAGAGGCCATTTAAAAGGCAATGCCCCATGAAATGAAAGTATCCACATAATCAGACAGATTTTGCACATGTGTACTTGCATTGATTTTAATGAGGTATCTTCCCAACTGACTTTTATAATGGAAAAATCTACATTCACACTGGTGCAAATCAAGGACTTAATGACTTACCTCAGTGTAAACTGGACAGAAACACAGTAACCCTATAGATTTTGTAGGAGAGGACTCATCTTTCTCTTATTCACATAACTCCCATTCATATCCAGGAGATCCAGAAGGTGATGGGGTTATAAAGATGGGTACATGCAATATATGTATACTTGATAAAGCCTCAGTATGAGCTTAGTTTTCAGTATCTTGGCGCTTAGTTCTAACGACATCAGTAGGCTTGAGCACGGGACCATGTGCTCAGGAGATCCAAAGCTAGATAAAAAGCCCTGCCCGCTATTCAGAAAGTTAGTCTACTTGGAAGCTTTCTTTCCAAACTGCCTCATTTATTGCCTGGGTTGTTTTTCCTCTTTTTTTTTTTTAATTTATTATTTTTCCACTACAAGGTCACATGCTATCATGTAACAGACAACACGGAGATATTAGGATACAAAAACTGCACTGGTTTAGAATATCTAAGACAAGCTAGCCATACAGGCTTCACAGCTAGTCAGGTGTAACTTCAGGTTGGAAACCACATACTGGTGGGAAATTATTGAAAATAACACACAGGTATTCTGTCTGATACTTAGGAAGAGAAATAACTAAATAATAATGCAGACAACAAGCCTTGAAGGTACAGCCACTAATGCTTTTAACTGAGAGCATTTCTTACTCTCAAATTCATTAAATAGGGTATCAATAATGAGAAGTGTACTAGTAGATCTAGTTTTAGGCACCAAAGCAATTTCAGATGCATATGTGCCCCAGGTACTTGCTGGACTCCTAGTACTTTATTCTATCTGTAATTTGCTAGAGCAGAAGATTAATTAATAACAACTTACTGGACACATTATGAAGCACCTTTTGCCTTTGATAATTTTTTGCAATCAGTTTATGAATTGCTTGAAACTTTCTGGCTCAAAACAATTTCTCAAGTATCTGTCATGCACAGCTTTAGTAACAGAAAGCTTTCTGCTCTGTGGAACATTAGTGACCCATCTCCTGAATATTCAGCATGCAAGATTCAAACTTGGCACACAGTCCCATACCTCTATCGGCAGGACGCTGAGTGCTTTCCCTGCCCTTGCAGAGGGGTTTGCTGTCTGCACCTAAGGCCAGCTGGCTGATAAGTGTTGGGGTACGTGGACAGGCCAGGAAGCCTCAGCACAGGGGTCCCTCTCCTTTCTTCGGGAGCTGCTTTCACGCCGAGGCCCTCACCCTGACTTTGCAGCTGCATCGCAGCTCTGTCTGTGCCTGGTCCCGTGCCCCCCTGACCCTAAGCCCGACACACAGACTGACTCCCTGCCTTCACCGCCGATCCAGCTCATCTCTGTGGACTTGCTGGGAGCTCACCGGGTTGTAGCTGAGCCTCGTTACCGTCTTGGGATCTGATCCTCACCCTCAGTTGCTGGTTCCCATTGCTGACCCCCTGGGGGTGAGAGCCCAGCCTTGCCTCCTGGCCGTGCCCCTCGGCTTGCCTGCCCTCGCTGCTCCCTGACATGCAGGCTTCTGACAGACCAGGTTTCCAGCTGGGGTGAACTTCTAAGAACCCTGGCCTAAACTATGTGATGACATTTGAAGAAGGAGCGCGAACATGACACATAAATTAACTTCTTGTTAGAGCAGGTAGTCATGAATATCTACACAAGGGATTTTCTTGGCTTTTAAGTTTACAGCCAGTAGCAACAACAAACTCAGAAGTTCTTCTAAGCTTGGAGCTGATTAAACAAAAGCCCACATTTAGTCCAGTCAAATATTTTGAAAGAAATCTACTTTATTGAACTCTTTTCAAGATGCTATTTATAAAGGGATGATGATGATGATGGCAATATGGGCTTTTGTAATTTGGATCCTGTAGCACCCAGCTCAGCCCATGAATTAACAGCCTTAGCATGCAGTGGTTTCAGTGTACTACATATTCCATTTCTGTCTCCGAATCAGGAAATCTCAGTCTGTACAAACTCATAATACATACCACACATTTAATTAACCTGGCCCTCAAATTCCCTTTCTTAGGTGCTTGTGAGGAAGACAGGGACATGTGTCTGTGTGTATCTGTGTGTCTGTGTGTACGTGTGTGCATGCAGGCATGCATCTTTCCATGCACAAACAAAGGGTAGATAAACGAGCCTCCTCAACCAAGTCTATTGTCTGCAGCCAATTACAAATAGCACCAATTATTCCTGTATTGAGGCATGGGCAAAATTTAAGAGAAGAATTCCCAGCTGGGAGATGAACTCACAAAGTATAAATATGCAGGAGAGAGATGTATTAACTGCTTCACCAGCTTTAGGAGACTACAATACCTGAACAACTTTATCTCCCTGCTTACCTCACAGGACTGGGCAGCAAGAACATACTTTCTTTTAAGGCAGTTAAGAAGTAACAAAAAGTTAAGGTTTATCTGTTTTAAAGGAAAGGAAGAATTTAAGTACCCACCTATTAATTATTAGATAAACACGGCCATTGACTTTGGCATGGCTATGAGGTGGGAGATGAAAGCACAAGAATGCATGAGATGAAAATGGGAAATGAATTAGAGAGAGAGAAAAGGAAACCATTAAACAGGAATGAATGCACCTTCCTGTCTACCAAGAGAGACACATTGTCATAACAAAGCACAATCTGACAGTTTAACGCACACCATGCAGTGAAAAGTCTAGGAAGCTTATAAATGCAATACTTAGACATTTAGACTATATGCAACTTCAGTTAGAACTACAGATACTTTTCACAAATGTCCCCAAAATGTGAGAACAGCCTCTACTGCTTTATCTCAACTAAGCCTTAGAATATCCATATTTTTAAAAATAGCTATTTTGCTTCTTTTTTTATTTAAAGGTAATTATGATGGAGCATCATACTGTATTAATTATCTATATCACAGCCTTTATCTCCGCCATACCATAATTCATGGTACAGCAAGGAAATGGGCTTGGAAAGTCCTAATCAGAGGATTCTTCTTTCTCTTGCAGATGTAAAATTAAGACACTCAGTTCTGCCACCTTTATAAATAGTGAGAAGTGTCACGTTGCCAGTTCCAGCATGCCACTTTCTGTCCCCTCTATTTGCAGCTGGCAGAGCCTTACTCTTGAACTCGCTCTGCAAACTTTGCTCATGTGAAGCAGCATCTTAATACATGAACACTCTCAGCAATTTTAACAGGACTCTCCAGTTAGACACAAACATAATACCATAATCATACATGGCAGCTGAGGGGCAGATGGAGGAACTGGAGATGCTTTCCCTATTACCTTCATGACTAGCTCTCACCTGCTGTGGTTGTTTTAGCAAGTTTGCTATTAAAAGGATTGAGTTCTGTCTGCTTACTCAAAATTAAGGTTCAGTTTATTTATTTAAAATTTTTTGTTTGTTGCAAAAGAAGCAGCAAAAAAAGCATTTTGAAAGGTAAACTAGCTGTTGAGTGAATGCTAGTGTTTTCAAAACAAAAGGGAAAATTAAGTTTTAGTGGCTTTGTAAGAAAATTGCACACATACAGGTGAGTCTTTAGTCTGTGTTTTAATTGTCCCTGCAACTTATTTCTATTGCTAGCATTACTGTTAAGCTGGAGCTGGTTGTTGTGCTAGTTCTTATCCAGCTTTATGCATCATCAATACAAATGTCAGCTGAGGTCTCATCCTGAAGCTTTGAACTATAAAGTTGGCCGATGCTCTATACTGATTTATCACATCGAGGGAAGAAAACAGCTGGATCTCAATACATCAGGCAGTGTTAATGGTCGTACAAACCAGAAAAGGTGTTCTGATTTGGGTAACGGACATACTCATGAAAGTTTCTGCGGAGGAACAAATTATGTATGTGATAATTATGATTTTGAAACACTGAAAAATGGCAAATGTAGCCCATACGCCACATTTAAGATTTAAAAATATCTTGCTACCTATCTGAGAGCTCAATACAATCTAGTACACATTTAGACTGAAAAAAATAGCATTATAGTAGCAAGACAAAAAAGCTCATGATCTCACACGATCATGTTCACCTGCCACTTTACTTTAGTAAAAAGCCTGATGCAACAATGAATGTCTACTTTCAGCACTGTATCTCAAGGCTACGTACTCCTGGCAAAAATTTTTGCTCTTGACAAGACACTGAAAACATTTTCTGTCTTTAGTATCAGTGGTTCCATCCTTTGGGAATGATGTGACTTTAGTCACATGGAGAGCTGTATAATATTTTGGTATCTTTCATGTATAATAGAAAGATTTGCAAGTAGTGGTTTCACAGGCAGAGTGTACTGTACCATGAACCCACCTAAATCCTGGGAGTGCCTCGGGTGGTTTTTTTTTCCATTTTGTGCCTCTTGGATTGCACTAGGAGAGAGGAGGAAGCTGTTTCTATGTTACTCAGCACAAGTGCAAAGTGTCTGGGCTACAAAGGAGCTTGTGCAGTTACTGCAGACTGTAATGCATTCCCGCAAATGCCTCAGCCCAGGAACAACCTCCATTTCAGCTCAGACACCTATGTGGGCTCTGGTTTCAGGGCTTGGCTGTCCAGTTCGGAGATGTTAATGTGCACCTGCTGCTGCACAAGAAGTCTGCTATGGGCAAAGAAAGTTTGCTCACAGGCCATTTCAAAGGGCCCTTGAATCTACCATCACATTTAGCAGTTCAAGAAAACCAAAAGGAAAAGGTATTATGCAAACAGCCATTTAAAAAGGTAAGACAAAAAAACCTCACAACATTGTTAGGAAATTTTGTCAAGTTTGATTTGTTCTGGTTTAAGCAATTATTTAAATAAAGAAACCAGAAGCATTCTATAAAAGTACAGCTTATTCTCATGCACTGACGATAGGGAACACAAACATACTTGTACCGTATGCTGTAAAGTAGCTTCATATTAAATTGAATGCATAAAAAATATCTGAAAAGCTTTTGTAAATCTAGCAAGTGCTAGAGCAGAATTCTCTGTTAAGATAAACTGTCATTATTCCACAACACACTGTGGTGTACGGGATGTTATGCAGCTAGTCCCCATTCATAGAAGTGCGGCTGCATTACGCTTACCATTGGGCAGGTAAACACTCTAAAAATTGTGTCTAAATGAATTGGCTTCTTCAAAGAATTAGAGTAAATGTCATTGTATAATGTGACACTGTGTACTCTGAAACCACTTCTCTCTCTTACGCTCCTGGAGCAGGATCCTACGCCAGATACGTTTTTATGCAGGAGAATACAGAATAGTTAAACACAGGAAAAGTGAGGTCCCAGAATCATGAAAAAGTGCTAATGAACTTCTGGATGAGATCGCTGAATGTCTCAAAGAGCTAGCATAGCCAAGGGTCAGTACTTTAAAGGCTAACCGCTGGTTTGGGATTTTTCCATTTCTGAAGCTCAACTTTACAAAAAGGCCTAATTGTCCAGTGCAAATATGGTATTTGGCAAAGATCTCCCAACCTTCATATGGCCCTCAAAATGGACATTGAAAACCAGAAGTGACCCAAATTAAAAGCTGTATTTCCTATTATTGACAGGACTTACAAAAAGGCACACATAGCAGTTAAGCATCTAACTCCCATTAAAGGTCAAAGCCAATCAGATAAATACTCTTAGTACCTTTGAAAATGTACCTCAAAATGAAAAAATTCAGTATGTAGGGGAAAGTAGGGGAAGACAGATACTTTGGTTGTCCTTTGTTTAGAGGGGTGCTGGATACTGAGCATCTTCTTTTTAAGCCAGGTAGTCATAGCAAAGGCACATAACAGATGATGAAAAGTGAGCATTACAAGACAGTCAGAAATAGCATTTTCATACACATAATCAATAGCACCATTTACTTTGTTTCATTACCTGTAAATAGTGTTGTCCTGTTTGCTGGTTACAGCTTTTAAATCGGTGAGCTGGAGAAACCGGTCATGGAAATAGTGAAGGTGTAAGATACACGCCAGTAGGAAGGACGTAGGGATAAAGATGCGTGTGAATAGCTCAGCCACAGAAAACTGTTTTAAGCCAAGGTCTGCTAGTCTGGAAAAAAAGTAAGCCACTAAGCCACCTCTTCACACCAAAATCTTTTTCTTGCCATAAGACATTATTACAAATCATTTGCAATAGGGAATAAGGGGCTGGTCCTTGTTATGTGGTTTTGGTTTTTAAAATTCTTCTAAACCAGCAAGTTTTACAATGCAAGTATCTTGCATTTCGACTCAGTAATGTAGAGACATACTGTAAATGTACAGAGTCAAATAAGCTAACCCTGCCATAGAGCTGTTGAACCAGATGAATTGTCTCTGACTGGAAGTCCTGCACTGGAGATCCACTCATATTGCATATAATTTATCATGTAAGCTCCTGTTGAGAAATGCCCAACACATCATGAGGAGGAAGAAACTCAGCCCTCCTCATTAGCAGGGGGGCAGGTCCACCTTCATCAGCTTCAGACATCCTGCAAATCTACCCTTTATCTCTCCCTGTATCTTGCTCCTATTGTCAAAGAGGAAGAGAGAAGCATTGGCACTGTACTGGGAAGAGGAGCAATGCCAAGGCCTTGGAAGGAAATACAACTCTTTGAGCCCCTGTCATGCCCTTGCTCATCTCTATTGTTACACCAATAAACCTTTGGCTTCAGAGTTGAGCACTTGAAGTCAGCTGTGCCTGGGGATGTTCTCATGATGGTTTTCCCTTGTAAGAAGGAAGACTACTCTCAGACCATTCCACTGCACTGAACTCAAAAGTCCAAGGAAAAAAATGAAATTAAACAAAAACACTTACTTGTTTTCATCCAGGCCTGTCATGTTCTTCCACAACCCAGGGAATGACTCAAACTGGTATGTATAGATGAAGATAAGTACCAGCATCGTGTAAACAACCACTGACATCCAAAAGTACTTTAAAATCCTTCTCCACCATTCATAGTGCACCTGAAAATCACACACTAAAGATGCTGAAACAAGCTGAAGGCAAAGACACAGACAAAAATACTGACAACACTGTACTGGCAAACAAAGGTGAAGGATACCATTTTTCCCAGCTGGCCTGAAGTAAGCAATGCTTACCCAAGGGCAGCTACAGTTCTTTGAGATACAGTTTTTACTCCTGATGAACATGCACTCAAGTACAGGGTCTTGTGTAAAAATGTCTGTTGGGACATGGCCACAGACGTAAAGGCCAGGGACAGCTTCAATCACTCAGTTTCATCACCATTAGGTGATGAAAGTCCAGGAGCAGCGGGAGTCCATGCTCACTGGGGTGTGGAAGCTGTGTGGACCAGCTGTCACAAAAACTGGTGGCTATGTAGGACATGCACAAGCCCAGCATTCTCCCACCCAGATTCCAAAGTTCATGGTGATGTGGGGTGCCGTCCCAGAGCAGAGGTGTGTACTGTATGCATCTAATTTATGTGCACTTTGCCTGTCACTATAATCAAAAGCCAAAGGAGAATTACTCTTAACCCCTTCAAATGATCTTATTATGTCATATCTAACTAAAGAACAAACTCACTGTTTATGAATTCAGTTTGGAGCTACTTTATTACCAAGTTAAAGGTATGAACCGTTGCATTCAAGGACAAAATTTAGTTAACTACAGTTCTCACTTACCTGATAGAGGGCCACACAGAAGAGGAACAGTACCATATAGATGATTTTGTACATGACAATTCTACCCTCAAAGCTGACAAAGAAGAACATGCCCCCACAGACGTAAATCCAGTACTTGATGAACATAGCCATCACCAGCTTCCCCAGGACTTTCATAATATCCTGTTCATCCTCATCATCCTCTTCCTCCTCCTCCTCCTCCTTCTCTTCCTCCTGTTCTTCTGCCACTTCTCCCTCTTGCAACTCCTCTTCTGCAAATACAGAGACACATTTGGCCTCTGTCTGTTCTAGGGACTTTTAGTAAGAATTGAAATGGGTGGAAAGCAAAATCTCTGCACAAAACACTGGAACTTGTAATATTCATAAGAGACTGTCTTTCTGAATCATACATGCCTCCAGAGCAGGGGAAGGAGTTTTAACTTCACATGAGCTTCAACCTGCTCCTGGAGCCATACGGTGCATAGCTATACATCTTACCAGATACCCGTCTTCACTTTGTCTGAAATGCAGGCAACTGTAGTGGAAAATTAGAGCCTAAGGGTTGTATAATGGATAACAGTCAAAACACTTTCCATGGCAATCCCTATACTTCCAGGCAAGAAACCTTTTAAACTGGAAAACAAGGAAATCACCAGCACTACCAGAAACCTCTCATCTTGAGTTTAAAGTTTAAACTCTCATCTTGAGTTTCGTCCTTTAGAGAATATTGTGGTTACCTCTAAAAACCACAAGCAAGAGAAAACATTAACATAAAACCAAACAAGCTTAAAAAATACAAATGCTGCACTAACGCTGCTGTTTTTCAAAGAAACTACCACTTATCCAGCTTCCTCTGCTGTACCTGAGCCATTGCAGAAAAGACAAGCTGCTTTTGCCCTATGAAGAAGTCAGGATTCCCCAGTTATTAACCTTGTGAGGCTTGTGGAGGGCAGGCTAAGTGTCCACCCAATAGCAAGTACCTGAGCAAGTATCTAGATAACATGGCTTGTCAAACTCATAGCATGTAGCTGTAATGCTTTTCTTCCCATTGAGAACAAGATTGAGACTTCACCATCAAAAGGCTTACCCACTCCTTTTGTCCCACTCACCATCCCTCTTCTCAGACTCTTTCCTTGCTCTTGCCTTGCAAATCCTTGCAGTGTTGAGCTCTGACACTGATCAGATGTTTTACTGAGACAAATATTGTAATGAATCAAACAGGAAACTACATCACTGCTTCCAGGGCTGACTTTCTACCATTTCAGTGAGTTGAACTTGTTCAGATCAGCATCCAGAGAGACAGAAAAGGGCAAGGAAGGTTTGGGGGAACATGTGCCCAGTAGCAAAAGAGAGAACAGGCCACTGAGCTGTTTGATGAGCTGAAACTGCAGCAGTAAACTTTGCTCTCAGGTATGCTTCTGAGAGCATGAGCCCCTGCACTGAAAGTACACATGCTTATTTTCCCATTGAAATGAGGAGTTTAACTTCTGGTTTTGTACAAGTGTTTAGGTACAAACACAACTTCCAAGGAAATTAGCGACTGACTTTTCTTATGTAAATGTGGTTAAATTCCTAGGGTAATTAATCTGCTGGTTTGAGTTTGGGACACAGGAGTAAACTGATTATTTGAATGTTCCGTGACATTTCTCAAATGAGTCATTTTAATTGCCTTCCAGTAAAGAGAATTCTCATTTTATTTTAATTTCCAAAGTTCAAAGGCATTTTATTTTTATATCCCGAGAGATAGTTGCACAGATAGATATTGTAATATCTTTCTTGGCTAATAACAGGTATCTTGCTAATTGCTTTCAGCATCACAGAGACGCAGTACTGGAATTTCTATCATGACTGAAGGACTAAGTTGGATCTGGCTTTACCTTTTTCTTCATTTTCTTCACTTCCAACTTTGACCTCAGATAAAGTAGCTTCTTTTAGCTGAAGTGCTTTCTGTTCAGTGAGGTGTTGCCTAAGCAGTAGCCAGAAAGTAATTGTGAAAAGAATCTGCAAACAAAAATCAAAACAAAAACAACAGACTAATTGTATATCCTACATCCTACTAATACAAACATATGTTTTCATAATTTTGCATGCCTTTGATTTCTCTGTCCATCAAAAAATGGCAATGATGGCATCAGTGTCAAAGTGCATCTTTGTGGAAGTTAAGTCATTTAGGGAACATCCAGCATTAAAAGAAACTTTATTTCATTTGCACTTTTCTTTGAGTAATAACTTACCACTCTGCATCTTTTCTTAAAGGTATTTGCCTATATGGTTCTATTCTACTCCGTTCTATTCAGTTTTTTAACTACCGTCTTATAACTTTAAAGATCTTCTCATTACGTATTTCTTGGTATAATTCCCATTTATTCATTTTTCCTCTTTTTCAGGGAAGAAGCACATGCAGGTGAGTGTATTGTCATTATTAGGGTTTGGCATATCCTAAATCTTTTGATTTAGGAGGTTTGGTACTTCAGGTGCTTAAACGCAATTAATTTAAAAATCAAAAATTTCTTTTTACGTCTTTAAGTCACAGAAGACCCAGTCAACTGAATATGCCTTGCATTTGGAGTAGTTACAAGATTTAAGATGTCTCTTAATTCTTTGAAGAGCTTTAAGAGATGATAATTCAACAACAGCAGGACACCTTAGAAATAAATAAATCTCTTTAATGAAAAGTGTATTTCTGTGCTTTCAAAAAGCTAAATTCAAAAGCTTGCAATACTGAGAGATGGCCAAAATTCAGAAAACAGCATGATGCCTATTCATCGCACACTTGATTTTATGTTTACATTCTACAAAGTTTCCACTGATTTCAGTGGTGCAGAACAGGACTTATTTCACTACTTAGCTAGAAGAATAACATCTCCAATAGGAAGCATCTAAGAGTCAAGTATTTTGCACACAACAGAATGACAAGGCCAGTAGTATACAATGTAAAGAACTCTCCTGTTTTTCATTTAATGTGCAAGTCACAGTGAAAAGGAGAGGTCCCAGGCTAGTGACAGCTGTTTCCACTGACACTGCAGCTAACGCTGAGCTGCAGCAGAAGATTGCCAGCCTGTGTGAATTGTCACAGCTTCACCAGATACCTCCACCTCCTGGAGCTCTGGCTTTTGCAACACAAACCTTTGGTATTGTAAAACATGAATTTGTTCTGCAGTCATTAGCTCTGTCTCCCCGCCACATTTACTTCTTGTTCTCTTTAGCATTTCCAGAGCCAGAGCTAGCTCTAAGAAAAGTCTTGAAGGGTTGCAGATCAAAGAAATGCTTTTAGTCACCTTTTACAGTATCCATTTTATTTCCTTTTCAGATCAGGAAACACACACATAGCATGCAGAAAACGATGCAGAAAGAATTACAGTGCATTTCTTTCTATTTTCCTCTCTTTGAAGAATACAGTATCCAATCTTTATTGAAATTCAACTGTTGTTCAAAGGACTCTAAACTAGGAATAAAAGGGAGGGACAGAGTTACTAGCAGCCTTAAGAGGGAGTGATGGACAGGGCTGACAAGCAAAGGGCACCTGGAGTGATGTGAATGAAAGGAAACACATAATCAACAAAACAGGGCTTATGCAGGGTGACCTCAGGCATTTGCATGTAAGCAGGGAAATGCCTTCAAGGCACCATTACAGGGAAACCCTCCAGATCCTTTCTGGGAAATCAGCATGCCAGGTGCCTCTCTGAAGTGCCTGTACACTAATGCATGCAGCATGGGGAATCAACACGAGGAATTGGATACCTCTGTGCAGGGCTACAATCTTGTTGGGATCACAGAGACAGGGTGTGATGGCTTGCAGAGCTGCAATAGAGATACAGACTCTTTAGGAAGCACGGGCCAGGAAGATGTGGAGGTGGAATTGCAATTTGCATGACAGCACAGCTGGAACACATGGGCTCTGCCTGGGGATGGATGATGAGCCAGGTAACCTGGGAGGAACACAGAGACACTGGCCGAGCATGCAGAGACATGGTTAGAAAAGCCAAGGCCTTAAGTTGAGTCTGGCGAGGCATGTCAAGAGCAACAAGAGCTTCTGTAAGTATATAAGCAGAAAACAGAAGGCTAGGGAAAATGTGGGCCCACTGCTGAGTGGGGCAAGGGCCCTGGTGTCTCAATAATCTTTGGTTGTGGTGACTGGGAGAAGTGCCGGAAGATTGGAGGAAAGCAAATGTCACTCCTGCCTTCAGGAAGGGCAAGATGGAGGATACAGGCCAGTCAACCTCACCTCGCTCCCTGGGAAGGTGAGGGTGGTGGGACACTGGAACAGGTTGCCCAGAGAAGTTGAGGATGTCCCATCATTGGAAGTGTTCAATGTCAGGCTGGACAGGGCTTTGAGCAACCTGATCTAGTGAAAGATGTCCCTGTCTACAGCAGGGGGGGTTGGACTAGATGATCATTAAAGGTCTTTTCCCACCCAAACCATTCTATGATTCTAAGGTGATGGAGCAGCTAATCCTGGATATATTTCCAGGCACATGAAGGACAAGAAAATCATCAAGAATAGTCAGCATGGATTCACCAAGGGGAAGTCATGCTTGACCAACTTGATAAACTTCTACTATGAAATAACTAACTTGGTAGATGAGAGAAGAGCAGTGGATGTTGTCTACCTAGACTTCAGGAAGGCTCTTGACACTGTCTCCTGTAAGATCCTCACAGACAAGCTGATGAAGCATGGGCTGGATGAGAAGACAGTGAGGTGAAAACTGGCTGAATAGCTGAGCTCAGAGGGTGGTGATCAGTGGCATAAAGTCTAGTTGGAGGTCAGTGACTGCCAGTGTAGTGCAGGGGTCAACACTGGATCCAGTTCTGTTCAACATCGTCATTTATGATCTGGATGATGGGGCAGAGTGTACCCTTACCAAGTTTGTGGATGACACAAAACTGGGAGGAGTGGCTGATACACTGGAGGGTTGTGCTGCCCTCCAGAGGAACCTCGTCAGGCTGGAGAAATGGGCTGACAGGAACATCATGGAGTTCAACAAAGGGAAGTGCAAAGTCCTGCACCTGGGGAGGAACAACCAGTTGATGCACCATTACATGTTGGGGGCTGACGAGCTGGAGAGTAGTTTGGCAGAAAAGGCCTGCGTGTCCTGGTGGATATCAAGTTGAACATGAGCAGCAAATGTGTCCTTACAGCAAAGAAGGTTATGGTATCCCAGGCTGCATCAAGGGGAGTGTTGCCAGCAGGTCGAAGGAAGTGATCCTTCCCCTCTACTCAGCACTGGTGAGGCCACAATTTGAGTGCTGTGCCCCAGTACAAAAGAGACAAGGATGCAGTGGAGAGTCCAGTTGAATGGCCACTAAGATGAAGGGACTGGAGCACCTCTCCTATGAGGAAAGGCTGGGAGAGCTGGGACTGTTCAGCCTGGAGAACAGAAATCTCAGGGGGAATCTCATTCAGTGTCTATAAATACCTGAAGGGAGGGTGCAAAGAGGATGAAGCCAGACTCTTTTCAGTGGTGCCCAGTGATGGGACAAGAGGCAATGGGCACACACTGAAACACAAGAGGTTCCCTCTGAATATCAGAAAACACTTTCTTCCTGTGAGGGTGACCGAGCACTGGCACGTGTTGCCCAGGGAGGTTGTGGAGTCTCCATTCTTGAGGATATTCAAAAGCCATCTGGGCATGGTCCTGTGCAATCAGCTCTAGATGGCCCTGCCTGAGTAGGGGAGTTGGACCAGAGGACCTCCGGAAGTGTCTTTCAGCCTCAACCGTTCTGCGTTTCTGTGAAATTTACAGAGTGCATTATATTCAGCCTAAACCACCCCACCAGACATCTTCTATTTTATGCTTGTGGCCAAATCATCATATATACACAACAGTCTCCTTTCTTGACACCAGCCAGTTTTAGATAAGATATTTCATGATATAGCTAGTAAGAAACAATGTCAGAGGGGCTAACATATTAAGACAGTTAAAATTCCTTAGAGATTTACAAAGTCATTGAGAGAAACTGTAGAACTTCTCTTGCAGAGGCCCTCGAGCTTTAGCTCTCTTACTAAACTAGCCCTACCTTTATGAGAGAAATAATACAGCACTCACTAATTTTTCAAACGCATTAAAGACCCAGAAATGGTTGTCCAAAGGGCACTGCCAACAAAGAAAATCACTTACAGAATCACTTTAAATGGTAATTAGGAGTCACAAGGGAAGTGATTCACTTAGCGCATGGGGAGCAGTGCCAACTAGATGCACTCTCTGAGACTCCCCTCTTGGGTGCTCTAGGAAACAACTTCCTATTTATGCTCATTCTCTCCCCCAGAAGCAAACTTGCCAAACAAAATGCATTTTGCAGTGCTTTCAAGACATCAAAGACAGAAATCTATGATGCACTGAGGTCAACAAACTCTCTTGTTTCTGACCTGAAATGGATTCCAACTCATGTTGCTTCAGGTGTAAGGATAAAGAATTAAAGCTTGGTGACAGCTATGTACTGCTGCTTGTGCCAAATCATAAGGGAGTGAGTAGTATTGGTAATTGCAATGACACCACTGTTCTAATTGCCATCATATTCAGAGACAGACCTGACATCCCATGGGTACTAATCTAACAAATCAAATCACATCTAGTTTTGCATCCAGTTTATAAAACCAAACAAGTGAGCAATTTCCATCCACTAAGAATTTTCTACAGAATTATCATGAAAACCTACAAAGATGTCTGAAACATTTGTTTTGGTATTAGCCGAACAAGCAAGAAGCTATTTTCTGAACACTATTTTTTAATGACTTATCATTCTCTGTAGAACTGCTACTGAACATGGTTATACTGAATACTGAGGATTCACTCTTGAAATGCCAAGAGATCCACGTTTTTTATCACAATGTATTTTGCAGTTTCATAAATAGATCTCAGCTGTTTGTAACACCTACCTTTGATGCCAACTCCCCAGGTTCCTTTCTTTCTAAAAAACCAGATACTTGAGGAAGCTCATCATTCTTGAGCTCAATACTCCATATATACTGCAACGTTAGCAGTAAATTTCCATAGAAAACCATGAATGGTGAACTGATCATGGCGTATTTCCTTCGGTCGCGAATCATCCACAATGTGCAAGACCAGATCAGTAACACAAAAGTCAACCAGCTGTGATACGTGATACTCCATGCCTTGTGGAAGGAAGAAAGAGAGGAAAAAATGTTCACAGATACATTCAGGAACAACATTGATGCATATTGCCAGTTACACATAACTTATGCTTCTCTACTTAGTGCACATTTTAATTGTCATGAGACTCTCACCCATATTAATCAACTACTGGGCCAGCTACAATAAACCCCTTGGAGAACACACAGAAAGTGGATGCTTAAGAAGCCCACAGCTGAGGGTGAACCCTGCTTTGTGCAGTAACTGCACCTTGGTAAGGTTTGTAAGCAGACTCATTGCTTCTCGTTACACCAAACTAAATGAGATGGAAAATACAGACTAACTTTTGGGCACACAAGATCTTCTTGCAAAACTAGCAGCAAAAAATTTAGAGTAGGAATAGCAAAACATATTCAATAGCTACTACAGTCAAGGCCTTTGACAGACTTACAAAACTATGCTATCTCCACACTGTTCTAGCTTTTGCGGAATCAATTTAAAATGGAAGGCTATGGTATGCACACACTGCACACACCTAACCTGAAGAACATTTAGTCTACGCTAACCATGACAGATTACCTGAAATACTCACAACTACAGAATGTTTTCTATAGCTTCCAGAAATCAGTTACTGAAACCCGCTCTATTAAACACTTAGGGAAAAGGGTTGGTGCTTTAAGTGTTTTTTTATTAACCCTGTGTTATCGATTTAGGACTAAATTCAGCTATATAGATGCTGGTATAACTGTGGAGTAACTGTCAATAAAACATTTTAGATTCCTTTTCAGTTTAAATAGGAAAGTAAGAAACATTAAGAATATTTCAATCAGTTTAGCTCAGCCCCTGTGGAAATGATGTCTTTTAAGGGTATGTGAAAAACACCAATATGCTACTTCTCTGTCCCAATATGAGAAAGTAACTTACACTGAGCTGTCTTTGGCTATGGTATAAGTGGAACTTCCATCAGATCACACCATAATAAATTCATAAATTAATTTTGGTCATATAAAATAGGGATATATCACTAAGAAAAAACCTAGCAGTGTCTCACTATTAAACTACAAGAAAGGTCTTCATATAGATCTTCTCCATTGGTATTGAGAGATAGGACCCTAGAAATGAATTAAAAAGGCAGGGCAGATCATAAGAAGCATGTGAGTTTAAAAAATAGGAAAAAGAGGCACTGTGTCAATATGAAAAAAACTACTTGCTAATGTCTCGGAATTCATCAAGCCTGATCCAGACTCTGCACAAGGAGTCTGCCTCATTTAGTTGAGAAACTTTTCCTGTTAAAGGACAGCAAATAAAGTTTGAAACTTTATGCAAACAAGAAGCAGCCAAGCTAATTTGTTTTACCATTTTTAATGCAAAATTGGGCCAAGAAGGTTTATGGTTAATTTCACCACAGTTGAAACATTTCCAGAACAGTAAAACCAAAGCTTGCATTGGGAATATATAGAGAGATCTAATCATTATGCTGAAAGCTTGCTACAGTGCAGCTCAAGGTATATGCATCAAGTGGGCTTAAAAGAAAGCAACAACACGAGAAAGAGAAATAAGGGTGGTAAACAAAACAATAGCAAAATCTTGCTTGGCACAAAGCTGTATTTTCCTTGAGACTTTTCTGTGTCAATATAGGAAATCAGGCTTTACAGATCTTTTCTTCTCAGAGAGTAACTGGATGCATGCTTCACCCTGAAATAGGAACTATATTTTTTAAAAATTTACTACATCACTATGAAATGATTTAATTTTTTAGGCAAATTTCTGAGTGGAGCAAAAGCATGACAAGCCTGCTTATGCAGAAGCTTGGGAATCAATAGAAAACTGAGCCCCAGTGGTTTTCTGACATTCAACAGACAACAAAACCCAGGGTTCCCAGTCCTGGAAATGTGATGCTTTAGCCAGAACCCCACCCTATTTATAGGTCTGTAACAGGCCTGAGAATTACGCATTAATAACGTAAAATGGACCCAAAATTATGCAGACACCATATTGATATTTTCTAACCCTGATGCAAACACTGAAAACCAACTGATGAAATTACTTTCAGGAAAACATTGAGAAGACACATTTATTTGTAAAATTAACAGCATTTTTTTGTTGTTGTTTCGTTGCCAGCACTTACCATCATAGCTATCAGAGCACATATGTAACTTTGTTTCATGATAAATTGGAACACAGAGACCAGGGCATGTAATTTAACATTTTCTTTTTCTTCCTGAGTAACTTCCTCTTCCTCCTCTTCCTCCTCCTCTTCCTTTTCTAAGTAGAAAAAGAAATCCTTATTTGCAATTCATGCTGGTCTAAAAGTGGTATATGCACTCTCCCCTGGAATGATTTCACTTGCAGTCACTCTGATGGCTACTTCTACAGCAATCAGCAAGCTCAAGATGGGAGCCAAGGAAAAATTACATCTGAGCACAGACAAGCAATGCAAACCCCACAATCACTGCGTTGGTACGCAAAGTATTTTGGATAGTATATGCCTAGAGCCCAGTTTAGAAAATTGCCGTATTTTCAGCCATCATTGTAAGGCAACAGCGATTACTTATCTTCAACAGGCCAAAGAGCTTACCAAAATGAAATACATGCTAGAGGCAGTGACTGGAGATACAGAATAAGAAAAAATATGGAACCAAGTGTAATTCCCACGCAATTCACTACCTGACATGTCATCCGAAGGCTCCCATTTGTACTGCGGTGTTGAGTACACGTCTGCTTTGGCTGGACCATTTTCTAAAGGCAGTGCAGGGTGGATGGTGTGATAGTCAGCAGGGTTCCCGTTCACTGTGACCAGCAGCACCTGCAGGAGACCAGAGAGAGGCACTGCATTTAGGGTGGCTCTTTGAAGAATGAGACTCCTACTTCTGTGCTTCGCTACTGTTGGATTGCCAGTGTTAAAGGAGCTTAACTAGTAACTGCAGTTACTTCCTTCCAAAGAAATTGGTATGTTGTAGTCATGTGGCATGCAAAAGTAGCGCATAACAGCTTCCAAAAGTAATTGTTGTTAGCTTTTTATGCAATATCAATAGAATTACAAATTTGTTTCAGTGAAGTTCTTCAGCAAACAGTAAAATCCTGCTGCAACTTTGAACTTCTGTAAATATTTCCTTCAAAAGATTTCATGATTTTTTTCAAATTCCCAGAATGCCACATTGCATTAGGTAACGCTGTAATTTACACACAAGCAGTCTGAAAAGGAATAGAAGTGTGGATACACAAGCAAAAGCAATTAAGTTACTGCAGTCAGCTGAGCCATGGTAAATGACTATTTGCATGCTCTTGGCCTGTCCTACCTATGAAATTAAATGTAAAGAAAAATCGGTGTAAAGGTGGACTAAGTTAACACATCCACAGCTGGGGAAGGCTAAGGTTGAAGGCATGGCTCAGTGCACACACAGTAACTCAGTGAGCCCACCTTCAGACATCCTGCAGTTCTCAGGTTAAATTGGCTTTTTACAGCCAAGCTAGGAGAGTAACATTGTATCTCCGGCATTTAAGTTAAAGCTGTAACCAAAAATTCATCCTCCTCCTTAGGCAAACTAATACATCAAAATTTTCAGACTTCAGTTCACATCTAATTATTTCCAGTAGTCACAAAAATAATGGTTATAAATTACTTTCCATTTTAAATTATTGCTGGTGAGATCTACATTTGCTGCCTCTAATAAAACCAGTTGTGGTAATTATTGTTATTGATGCCACATTTATGCCACTTGGTAGTACTAATTCAACACTTCTTCATTGTTTTATTCTTGTGACTTATATTTCAGCCCTTGTGCTTGTTTGAATTAGGGCTCCAGCAACCACAATCATAAATATCTCTGGTATTGACAGAAATTCACATGCAATGGGTTACTGATGCTAGTACATGCCGAAGACTGACTTCTCCTTAGGCTGTGAGATAGGAGTGTATTTTGCCTGTTGCTATGCACAGGCATGTGTGGATGGTTTCAGAATAGTATCTGGGTTATGTTCAGTTATATTCAGCAGCTATACTAAGCACAGGCTGTGGAGCACATTTAGATTTGGTTATAGCTGCTCCCAAAGTTCATCCGCACCTCTGTTCTTCTGTGGATGCTGAACTCTTTCTGCTTTCAGAGTCTGCTAGAGTCTACAGTAATCAAGATAAATGGATCATTTCTGTCTGTTCAAACAAAGACTTGGATTTTCTGTAATCAGCAAATTGAACTCATATGTGTTGTCAGTCATGCTTTAAGGGTGTCAGCATTTCAACATGAATGAAAGAAAAAAATACAGCAAAGAAGCTAAATCAAGTTTAAAGATGGCTTGCATTAGAAAGCATATTTTGATATCTTATTTAAACCCAATGAAATAGCAAAGATCGTTTGCCAGTTGGTACTACTACAAGCAGTTTAATTTCAAATGATCGATTTTAGGGCTAATCAGTAGTTTCTCAGTGCAATTATTAAGGAAGCAAAAGACAATTATATTTAGGATAATCAAGGTTATAGGGTAAATGCCAGGCTAACAAAAATAAAGAAGTTTTAAAAGTGTCATCTGAGGTTTAATCTGTGTATGTCACTGTAATCCGTATTTACACACATTAAGAAGAATTACAAAATTACAAAAACTAGTAGTATACTAACATCCGATGGCTTGTATTCATCTTGGGTCATTGACAGAAGCTGCAAAAAGCAATGCAAGGACAAATTATTAAAGAAGCATGGCTCAAGCATTAATAAGTCTAATTTTTTGAATACATGCATGCATATTTGCTGACTTTTGCATATTTGCACTAAGAAATTCAGAAAGAATTCTTAAAAAGCCAGCAGAATTGTATACTATGCTCCATAAAATGATACTTAGTGTGCCATAGCATTGACATAACTTTACTGTATGTTCCTGTGAATTCTAAACCAAAACTGAGAATGTTGCATTGAAACTTCAGATACTAGGTCAAAGAATTAATCAGTATGACATTATACTGATTAACTGCTTTCTAATGTCTTTCTAATGATCCAATGCTTCAACCCTAAGTTTTTTAATGATCATTAGAATTACTGTAATTATAAAAATACCTCCAAAGAAATGTTTATAGTAAAATAAAATGTGATACTCCATTCATTTGCCAGCTCATTTACCATTGCTATTATTATGCAGAATTCTTGGGGCTTGAGTATATGTGGCTCAACAGAGTGTTTGTATATCCCAAATCTGACTGCAAGTTGTCAAATGAAATTTTGCACTGTAGCTGGTGAGGACAGATGGCAGTGCCCCTTACCAGTGACAGTGCTATTTAGTAGTTACAAGGCAACCAGATCTCTACATCAGGATTTAGCTCCCCGACAGACTTTCTAGCTCTTTTTCACAAAGATAATGGCCTCATACCAAAAGCCTGGACCTAAACTTCTTAAATGCAGAAGCCGAAAACATAGAGCACGCTCTTCCTTTATTTCCTTACACTGGCTCTTGGTTTTGTTTTACTGATTTTTACAAAATATATTCCTACTCTGCCACACAGTCTTGATACTGTATCTGATTTGTATAATCACACATGAAGATTTTCTTACTTGCAACCTATATAATGCTGCTTCCTAAATTTCAAAGTAACTGTGAGAAAATTAACTGACCGATTGAAATACAGTTAATGCAGAGACCCTTCCCCCTCCAGCCTTACTTTTCTCTCATCAGTTGTATAGTGGCTTGCATACCACAGACTGCGTCTTCTCTCCGCTGTCATTGGAACTGGGCTGCAGGCTATTTCTTTGTCATCTTCCCTGCTAACAGATTTCTCTTCATCAGGCATCTGCTAAACAATACAAATGACAAGACTAGTTATAGCTCTCTAAATAACTGTCTTACCAGAGGAATTTAAATTTTCCCCTAATTGACGCTCCCTCTCCAAAGCATGTCTTTGAAACATCTTTTAGTGTCTAATGCACTTGGTCTACGATAAATGACTTACTGAGATGACATTTTCAGAAATGATGACAGAGCTTTTCTATAACTGCTGGTCTATCAATGCCAAGATGTTTCCTGATAGTTACAAGATACTGGAATTACACAGATCTCCACATACTGCCTTACCTTACTATGTAGTCATACCATAAGCTAGTATACAGTTTAATTTTCAAGGCAGTGTATTGAAAGAAAATTCACTCTTCTCATCTGCCTACATACGTGAAAAGCCAATTCTGCTTCACTGAACAACTGAAGAACTGAAAAGATCAAAACCTTTTGAGCATATATATCTACCATTAAAGGCTAACCTAACTCACCAATCCATGCCTCAATATGTAACACAGTAGTCAGTGCTGGCCATCCATCTAGGCTCATCTAGCCTTGCTTCTGAGTCAAGCCATAAAAATACCTGTGTGTGCTCATGCTCACATGTCAGACGAGATGATGGGAAAAAGCCAATATGGATTTACCAAGGGTAACCTGATTGCTTTTTATGCTGAAACAACTGGCTGAGTGGATGAAGGGAGAGCTGTGGATGTCAGCTACCTTGATTTTAGCATCTTTGACACACTGTCCCACGTCTTTGCTGACAAGCTGGTAAGATACGGACTTGGCAGATGGACCACAAGATGGGTGGAGAACTAACTAAACTGTCTTGCTCAAAGCAGTGTAATGGCTCAAAGGCAAAATGGTAGCCAGTCATGAGTGGAGTTCCTCAGGGACTGGCACTACGTCTTGTACTATTCAGTATCTTCAAAACTATCGGGATGGTATTGCACCCACACAAAGTTTGTGAGTGACACTGAACTGGGAGATGGGGTAGATGGGCCAGAATGAAGAGCCACCATACAGAGATAGGCTAGAGATGGGCCAAACAAAGATAAAGTTCTGCATCTGGTATAAACCCACATAACAGTAAAGGCTGTGGACAGACTGTGTGGGAAGCAGCTCTGTGGAATAGGCTCAGGGTGTCCTGGTGCACAGCAAGCTAACATGAGCCAGCAGCGAACTCCAGCAGCAATGAAGGCAAACAAGTCCTGGACTGCATCAGCAAGAGTACTGCCAGCAGATCAAGGGATGTGATTATCCTGCTGTACCTGGCAAATGTCAGGCCGTACCTGTAATTCAGTTCTGGCAGCCCCCAGTTCAAGAGAGACATAGAAAATCTGGAGAGGGCCCAGCAGAAAGTTGCCAAGATGATTAGAGGGTTGGAGAAGCCAAAGGATGCAGGAATTAGGGGTTTTTTTCAGCCTTCCAATACCTAAATTGTAGTTTCAGAGAAGACAGAGCTACTCTTCTCACAGGGAGGCATGGTTATAGGCCAAGAGGCTAAGAGCATAATTTGCTTCAGGGAAATGACTTCTGGATAAAAAAAAAATAAAATATATATCTCAAAACTAGTAGGAATGGTGAGGATTGAAAGGTAGACTTACCTTTCCTTCGAAGTACTGCTTTAAAAAACCTGTTTTCCTATGCAAAAAAGTGCTGTAGTACTAAACATACATACACATGATTCTAGTAAGAAATGAAAAATGCTTGAGTCAGGTTCTACATTGCCGTTGAACTTACCAAAGCTCAACAAACTTTGAAGTACCAAATCAAAGAATTACCAAAACTACTTCCTCTCATCACAATCTCAGCCGGTATCAGCTGTGTGCAGCCAAATCCTCATTCGTACAGCTGTAAGGTCTTGCTTCATAAAACCACCCCTATTCAGCAAAGTACCTAAGCGCTTGTGGAACCTGGAGCAAGGTCTTACTGACTTCAGTAGGACTTATGTGGAGTTTCAGGAACTTTGTTGAGCTGCAGCCAAAATACAGATTACACACCTGCTTTACTAGCATTATTCTGAACTTACCCTGCTATTAACTATAAAACAACTGGTCAAGTCAACTAATTGTCATATTTTATTTCAGCCTGAATGGTCTGTTTGTAAGGACTTGAAATTTTTCTCTTACCTATTTTGTCCTCCTTACTTCACAGATACTTGTATTTCTGCTTCAAATGAAGTCTTACTAAGTTGACTTTTGGTTTGCAACAGAAATATCCATCTGCCCTTGTACTTGCTGTTTTACTTAAACTATCTACTGCAATCAGAGAGATACCTCGTGGTGTAAAAGCTAGTTTTTGTCTAACCTTGAGGTGTTTCAAAGGCAGGGTCTTGAACTGGGCTTTTAATGGGAACTAGCTGGCGGTAAGTGTTCTCATTGTTTATGCAAAATCAGCTGATGCAATAGAATAAGAATAAATCAGGATGCTGGGCAGAGGTCTGCAAAGCTACCCACGGGAACAGGACATCCAAACATCCTAGCTGGTTTTGAAACTCTCGCCATTCCAATCCTAACAGTAAGGCCCTATTTTTTAAATCTTGACTTAGATAAACAGTGGTTATTAATTTAGTTTTACTTCTCAGAGGCAATGGTAGCACATTTCACATATGATTGTGTATTTATATTTGATTGTAAAAGGGCATTCCTAGCCAAATTGCAAGATGAAATAAGCTGATCCTGTGCTTAAAATACTTGTCACTGCCATGTGAAACGTTAATATAAACGTGGACTATAAAGAACTGTTTATCAACAGCATTTAGTTTGGCACCAGGGTGACCAAAACAATACCCAAAGACCTAAGATGTAGATAATTATTTTAGCAACATATTTTTAGCCTAAGAGACTATAGGGAAGGGTAGGAAATCTTGTCTTCTCTTTCTCAGAAGAGGAAGAAAAGTTAGAAAACAAAGTACTAGTCATATGGTTACAACTTGTGAGAGTCCTTCGACTTGTCTAATACTTCCAGTTCTTGCACTACCTGAGCAACTCTCAAATGCATCTTAACTCAAACAATTCTAAAAATTCTTGAAGAGGACTCTACATTAAATTGCTGTAACTCTGTTGACTTCTGTACTATTCCTTACCACTCACTGGATGGAATGAATGGGCCCTATTCATGTATTCAGTACTAGCAGTTACAACTATGAGCTGAAATCTCCAGAGGCAGATTGCCTCTTCTTATTTGCAGAGGTAGAATTTCACAAGACTTAATGTTAGAACAAAGCAGGATCCAAAATAGTGGGGATAAAAAAAGCAAAACTTCCACTGACCGCCAAGGGCGTTTTGCATGAGTAAGACCCATACAGAATTCCACACAGAGACGGTACACTGAAATCTCATATGTGCCGTACTTTGACAGACTGTGGCGCACACTCAGAAAACTTCACCCTGAAACTCAAGATTTGAAGTGGGCATTGTTCTTGTAAAAGTGTTCGTCAGCTGCAGTATTCAGAGTCTCAAAAGCGCCTGTCTCAGAGACAACTCCTGCTGCAATCCAGCAGGAATTTTGCCGACAGGAGGACCCCAAGATGCAATTCACACAAGAAGGAAAAAGCACCAGGTCTACATGTCTTACTCTTTTTTTAGAATCTGCTACTCCAGTATTATATTTATTTTACGTACATCTTTTTTGACTGACTATTTCCTTATGCGTGATCTATCAATCACACACATTTTGTTCAAAACAAGTTTTGTTCAAGAGATTCTTTTGAATAAAATTTCTAAGATGAGCCACTTTTTACTGTACATGACAGCAGTATGCAGAGAACAAATGCTTTATGCTAAACAGCGCATAGCATATTGTCTTTGCCATCCATCCAACTGTAGGTAGGTTAGTGGTGAGATCCTAAATACAGTATAACTTTGAAATCACTAGCGATTGCAAAGGCAGGTTATATACTTAGTTCCATAATGAATCAAATGCACCACAAATTCACAAGTCAAAAAACATTTCAGTGAAACCTAGAATACAATTATTTCCAGATTTAAATAATTAGAATGGAGTCTACCAGGAGAAGGCTAGTAAGAGAAAGACTAATTCCTGATCTATAGCACCATTAAAGGAAAAACAAAATGCATATAGACAAAAAAAAAAGCCATAAGGAGAAAGTGTGTTAAATACAGTAAATTTTGCAAATCTCAGCATCTCTTTCTAATGACGAATACTTGCATCACCACATCCTGTGCATCAAAAATAAGCATTAATGCATGGGTCTCATTTTCTTTACAATGTTCTCTTTCAAGTGTCCACTTATCTTTAGAGGGCAGCATCATTCCCCTGGTAACTGCAGTTCCCATGGGAGTGCCAGGACTTTGTATTGCCTCTTATGTAGCCATGGGTTTGAGAGACATCAACTTTTCTTAAATTAATCTCTTTTAATACTTACTCGCTTTAGCTCAATTGCTTAGAAAGCATCTCTAATTTGACCTGTTTCCAGTTCTCAGAGACTGATTTTAGTGTCTTATGGGAAAATCCATCTCAGACAACACAAGCAGTCTAAAAGAAAGACATGCAGGCAAGCCCACTATAGTTGCTCTCTAGTCCCTGGAGGAACTTGCAGGATTCACTCTATCCTGAGATATAGACAGCCCCACTTCTCTCCACTGAAAAAGCACAGTAACTAACTTAGACCTAGCACCAAACTTTAAGATGGTGAAAGCTGGATGAAAACAACCCAGGTACTGGAAATGAATTCCCAGAGATGTTGAGATCACACAGCTCCCACTAACTGCATTTCACATGTGGTTACTCCTCTGTGAGTAGTTCTCGTGATTTTACTACGCAGTTTGTGAGATGTGAAGTTTTAGTTACAGCCCCAATGCTAAAATCATCTTATTATCTGGAAATCTCAGTTTTCACTTAAGGAAAGAAAAAAAGCAAGTTTCCAGCTGCTGCAGCTGCAGAAAAAAAATAATAGGAAAAAACCCCTAAAAGAACCCAATGACGGAGGGCACTGGACCACAATCTTGTGACTTTAGAAAAGCCAGTCTTAAGATTTCTGGAAACTTAAGACATGATTTTTTAGTAATTCAAGCTGACAGTTCTGGCATCATTCACCTTTTATTATGAAGCCCAATATACATAAACCCCATCTCAATTCAGAGGTGATGTATTTTGTTTGCCTTTTTAAATGTTAAATTGCTACGTTATCCATTATATGAAGAAACACCCTTAAAATAAGAAAACCTTCAACATTTTTACTTGCGACCACAAACTCCACTAATTCACAGCTCAGTCATGAGTATTTTCATTGTGGTTTACAGCACTGCTAAATGTGAACTCTAAAACTCACATCAAGCCTCAGAGGATCAGGAGATTAAAATAAATAATGTTTAGGATCATCCTTTTTATACTTCCACTTTCTAAGCTTTTAAGATACCTTTGGGTTCTTACATTCCCTTTTTCCTCTGAAACCAGAAGAAGTAAAAATTTACTTTTTGTCTCCTTTTTCTCTTGCTCTTAAATGAAAGTTGGGATTTTTCACTCAGGCATACAGATTTGGGAGGAAAGGTTTTAAGAGATTTTTTCTCTGTCTGTGATAAAATTGCAAATCTCTGTCTTGTCTTACAGTATCCTGTGCCAGCCAGTATCCTACTTCAGTTCTGCTAGACAAGCCCTGTGTGTTTGCCTTCCATTTGATAGCACCTGCACTACTTCATATTGATACTGGCTTTCCAGATCAGAGTAAGCACTAATGCTCTGCCATTACATTCCTTACATAAATAGTCCTGCTGATTTTAAGAATATCCGTGTAACCCCTGCAAGATCAGACTCTTGAAGGCACGTATCAAAACCACCAAACTCAAGGTACCAGCTTGCACTTGCTGTCTCTTTCCCTTAACTTTCCTGGATGTTTGCACCTCTGTTAGCAAGTATCTGCATAGGCCAGTCTCACAGTCATTAGTGCAAAAAAAGAGAAGGTAGTTACCCTTACAATGGGCTCTTGTAGCCAGAGACGAATAAGAGTTGCGAGGGTGTAGTACATCACCAGTAGTAAGATTGGATTAGCATGGTGATACCAATGTAACTCTTGATTTTTGATGATCATCCAAGTACTTGAGCAGTTTGTCTGAGTAAGAGAAGTGACACCAAACAACCTGTGGATATAAAAAAAATCACCAGTCAAGTTAGAGAAGAAACACCAAATCTTACAATGTTTAAAAATATTTTTTTCGGTAATTTTTGCTCTGTTCAAAAAGAGCATTTGCCATCTTATCTAAAATGCAGTGAATATTTTCATTCCACATGTTTAGTGAAAAGGAATGGCTTTTACACTTGGTTTTCAACATAAAAAATGGGAGTCTAATATTATTACATCTACCATGTCCAATATGAGAACTTTAAATGACCTGCACCCGGTAGGCGCAGAGCTACAGAAAAAAGGGAGAGAAAATCTGGCTGCAAGGCCATTTGGCAAATCCCAGCAACATGACATTTCAGATTGATTTAGTAAACTGCCATACAAAACTGTTCCACTCACTCTGCTAGGACAGAGCTGTGAAATACATCTCCTTGGCACACTGAACAGCTTACTGTTGTTTTTTAAAAAACCCTAATACTATTAATAAATTGCTATCTAATTATGCAAATACATATACAGAGCTCTGCTGAATTCATTGCTGTTGTGAACAGAAAAGGAAAACATTCAGAGAGGCAATTGTTCTGGACAATCAATAAATTGAGGAAAAAAAAGAAGAAAAAATAATTCCATAATTAGTATTAATGTAGTTGCAGTATTAGTATCAATGACATGAGATATTTGCCTATTTCTGGAAAAAATGGGATCTCAAAATATTTCTATCAAATAAGAAACTTGTGTTGGGAAAAACACTTAAGAATAAAAAAAAATAAATCCCTAACATTTTAAATTTAAGACAAGATGTTAGATGCTTTCTAGATATGTTAGATGCTGAAACAAAACTAGTAGGAAATCATACTTAATCTGGTTCTTTCACTGTGAAATATTTTGCAGAGTTCCAAAGCTAGGGCATGGAGTTACCAGTAGCATATGTCAGTATTCAGTATAAACAATTTTGTTCTGTTGACAAAGCTTTTCCTTCCACAATGTGTATAAGAGTTTTCAATTTTTACAATAGATTTGATTCTAAGAGACATTTAAGGAGAACTAGTTCTTGATAGAACAAAAAATCCCAAACTATTGTTACCCTGAAAGAGTAAAACAAATACATTAAAAAAAAAGTTTTTCTGCTGGGGGATTTAATCATAGTGAATGTCTAAAAGATTACTTCTTCCTCTACCTAGTAAGATCCAACATGAAAGGGTGAATGAATACAAAGAGTAAGTATGATATTCAACAGAGATGTGCTGCCTGAAATCTGCCCTTTGGATGCTGTAAAGTGAAAAGAATATAAAAAAGGAGCAGTTATATCTGTTCGTTCCCCGGGGCTTCGTGGCATGGGTATAATACCATTAACTGCCAGAACTAAAGCTCTATAGCATTTTATTAAACAATTTATCAGCACTCACTTCTCATTCTGATTGTCAACACGAGCCAAAGGCTATAAACTTTAAGACTTCTCAGAGCTTTTGGGTGGATCCAAGGTTGGAAAAGAAAAAAAAAAAAAAAAAGATCCTGCATACAAAATAAATTGTTGTAACTTAAAGGAGCCGACAGACCTGTGTCTGGAGTTGACCCAGATTCAAACTTTTGCAGCATCCAAGCTCATTCAAAGTTGGTGTTACGGTTTGGCTCCATCTGACTGAAATTCACGCTGGATTGTATTCTGTTCATATTTCTATCAGCATAGGCAAACATCTTGTTTTGTTTGCTTTCCTCTCTGCCAACTGACTTGTAATTTTTACCCATCAATGATCAGGGTTGTTGAGCTTCTAGTAGTTTCATCTTCTACCTCTGTTTCACAACACACTTCTTCATCTGTGGTTCATTTTAAGCTTTTCTATGTAAGCACAGTACAGATCACCCTATTTCTGTTTCATCAACATATCAGAATCAGAGTGAAATACAATTCCTACTGAAGTAAGAAGTCTTTCCATTGACAGTGAGTGATGAGTATTTCCTACAGAAATGAGGGAAAGTTCCTGAAAGTTCTTGGACCCTTCTGCCAAGCAGACATGACCTTCATATCACATATTCCATTCCTATAGTATGTTTTATAATATACTATAACTATAAAGTCTCAAAAACTTGTGTTTTACTTTCATCTCCACTGAAAAAAACATTCCACATAATCCTACCAGTTAAGAAATTTTATTATGTTTCTCACTCTCTTAGTTTCATTTGCTTGTTTCAAATTATACATTATACTACTGGACTTAATTCAGCTCCCTTCTGGTCCTGCATTCACCAAATATACATAAATTACAATGCGTCTCTTCCGTCCTAGTTGCTACCTGACCAGCAATATATTTATGTAACCCATTTCACTTTGTCTCATAAATCATGAATCTAGAGGAACTGCTCCTCATTTCTGAATTCTACTTGGTTTTTGAGACTTGTTAGTCACAAAGGTACTCAACACAACATTCCCCATCTATCAAATTCAAAATACACTGACGTCTTGGGAATGCTCATTCTGTCTGTTCTGGCCTCCAATAAAGCTACAAGTCGCTACTCATTCTGTATTTATGCTTCATCATTATCCTCAATGAGAACTGCTGGTGCGGAACATTTTTCAGAGACATAGAGTCATCTTCTCTTATTCAAAGTCTATAAATACACAGGAATGACTGCCATAAAACGTATAAGCATTTACGGTAAGCAACATATATTAGGGCATTATTCAGTTCTGCATGTTTCATTCCACAGAGGTCTTTACATTCAGTATTGATCACGATCAGCTACATTTGTGCCCAACTCCAATCTTGGTGTGACTTTGTCTTAGCCAACATACATGTACACCATCAGTAAAGTCAGAATGAGTCCTAAGTGGGGAAACCAGGTGCCAAACAAGACAAGTATAGGCAAGCCTGGATACAGAAGACAGATAAAACAAATACTGAGAGACCATTTACTAATGGAAATACTTTGCTTTTCAAAACACTTCATGTAACCTCAAAACCAACTGGATCTTTGCAAGACGTAATAGATTAATCTTTCTTTTCTTGCAAAGAAGCAAAAATTGTGTTTCTCAAAGTCCTCATCAGTATTCTGAAAAATACATTTCATTAACAACAAAAAAAAAAGTAAGCAGAAATAATTTGGAAAATTTTAGAAATTATAAAGGGATAAGAGGAACTTCTATGTCAGACTGAGGAATGCTCTGAAATAACACAGTGAAAAACAGTTCTTAAAATAAAGGTGGTATCTTTTTGTCCAGTTCCTCTCTATAAGCTTGTTTTCCTAGTAAAGCTTCCTACTGAATCTGTGAATCATCCTTCTGGCAGATCCACTTTCATCTTTTGTCACTCTCCGACAAAGCCATAAGCTGTGACCATAAAAACCCTCCTCTTTTTAAATTAGTCTAGCATTAAAATTCAGAAGAGCAATTTCAATTTTAATTGAAAACAGCAAAACAAACTCCTTTTGCACCCACAGATATTTGATCTAAGGAGCTGCTGAAGTACCGCATGTTTTATTACTGCATTATGTACATTGCTAAAACTTCTCCAGCATGCATTATTTCATTGTTACATTAACATAGTATAAGAATTGGTGTTAGTAATTAGTCATGGTATTAAATATGAACAAAAATGGTTACATAAAAGAATTAAATATATGTCTCATATACAGAATTATCAAACACAGTAATTACAGATGTTAGGTCTGTGAATTTTGCCTCCAGTTAAAATGATCTGGAACATTGTTTTTGTAAAAATGTATTTGTCAGTTCAGATCCTGCATGTACTGATGTTTTAGGAGTTGATTTCAGACCAGGATTTGCCTCATAATTTCCAAGGCCAGGAAGGGAAGTAATAATTCTGACTTCCTGCACAATGTAGGACACGCAATAATTCTTGTATTGAACAAATAACTTGTGGTTGAATTACAATTTATAGTTTAGAAAGGCATCCAATCTTGATTTCAATTGATAGCAAAACTTCTACTGCCTTCTTATTTTCTACCACATTTAGTTTCTATAATAGTTTTGTCTAGATGAGATTTCCAGTTGCTGCATCTTCCTACAACTCTGTGCACTACTTGACATACTACTTTTCACTACACAACAGAGCAGGAGTATTTTTCCTTTATCTTATCTGAGCCTGATTACAGTTTGAAGAAAATGTCCGCATCAAGCCACTTCAGGAGCTGCATTTCCTGATTTAGTACTTATGATTACAGGGATTTTTTTGCTGGGGCCAGTACATATTGGATGGTCATTCACAGCAATGGCATCAGAGACTTCCACTCTACTGGGATGGATTTGGGGAATCCATCTTTGTAGAACTTCTGCATTTGTGTTGGATTTTATTAACTGTCTGAATCTTTATTTCATCTGGATATCTTCTCTTGCATATTTAGTTCACTCTCCTCACAGGGAAGGAGTGGGGAGTGGTGCCTGCAAGTCTGGGGTAGGAGAACAGAGTTTAAGATTGACTGACTGAATAGCTGAGCCCTAAAATGCAGATGCTGGAAGTGGCCAAACAAGAGAAGAAAAGGGGAGAAGAGAAAAGGAGGAGAGTTGGGGAAAGAAGAGAATAGAAAAGGAAACAACAGAGAGGAATTCAACAATAGTAAATCCCCAGAAATGGAGAAAAATTTTAGCCTTTTTGAGGAGGGTGATGAAGGGGGAGTAGTGGTGGTTGTGGCAGAAACCTGCATTTTCTGGGGGAAAGGGGGCTGACATACAGGGAGAAAAGGCAAAACTTCATGTTTCACAGGCCAAGCCCTGAAGATGGAGATTCATGAGGAAGAGTACTTGAAATACGGAAAGGGCTATGTCCCAAACTCTAAGCATTGCTTGAAGAGTGAACCTTTTTTCCAAACATTGACTTAAAGGAGGTACATACTCTTGTCAAATTTGAAAATGTCCTGGAGAGGAGACGGGGGAAGGAGTGGAAGGAATTAAAAAATAAATTAGCATACAGAAAATACTCCTACACAGCCCCCCTAAAAGTCAGAAGTCCCCTGTTCACACAAGATATGCTGTTGAGTTTTCTGTATTTGGATGGCAGAGCT